CCGGGCGCCAACGTGAGCCCCCCGCTGTCATCCATCCCGGCCGCCGTCCAGCCCTCCGACACCGCCCGTCGCGGTCTCAACCGTGCCGCCACCATCGATTTTAGCGAGGCGCGCAACGAGGGCCCCAGCTCCTACAATACCCTTCGCGGTCAAACCTCCGGCTTTCTCGGTGTTCTAGATTCCCCCGGGAACTTTGGCAACACCCAGAACCTGCGGGCGGCCAAATCGTTTGCCGACCTGCGCTCCTACACCCCGTCGCCCGTGCCTTCGTCGGCCAGCTTCCCGGCCGCCCTGCAGTCGAACGGCGCACGCATGCCGCACTACGACGGAGCGACTAGCGCCACCTCCAACACGCCCACTCTGACGCCCGCCCCGTCGGGATCATCCCTGGGTATGCCACGCGATGACGGACTGTTGGTGAACAGCCTCAGCAGCCTTTCGCTGGGAACTGGAATTGGCGGGCCGAACTCGAGCCCGAGGAGATTGCGAAGTATGTTCTCTTGGGAGCAGCCGGAAAGTCAACCTTCCAGTGCTGGCCCCATCGGTAGCAACCGATCCATCGGACTTGGATTTGACGGTCAGTCACAGGAGCGCATGCCAATTAGACAACCCAGAGGCCCCTTGCCCGAAAAAGGTCCCGGTTTTCGACGCCCGAACGGACACCAACCGCGTGGAAGTGACGAGTTGCGCACCAACTCCGGTGTAGAGATCATTGTGGAGTAAGAACCAAACACCAACCCAGCCGAAAAAAAAAAACAAAAATCCTTTCAATCACACACACACAAAAAAAAAGCACCACAGCACCTTGATGGGAGATGAAGACGACGAAACTTGTTAGATTGCTTTGCCGCAAGACGCATACGACTCTTATATCACGAGGCCTGATCCTGTTCTGCGATTATTGGCTTACGATTCGATGAGGGATGACGAGATGACACTCAACCAAGAGAACCAAAAAAGAAAATTTCTCTGATCTAGCCAAGTTTTAGACGTTATTTTGGGGCAGCCCAACAGGCACGTTATTTGAACGGACTCTATACGTTTCTCTTTGTTTCTCGGAAAATATGACAAAAGAAAGCTCTTGAAGTTTTTTGAGACGCGGGCGCCTTTGCATGCAGAACCATTATTATATCTATATTTTTTATTCTTTTGCCCCTTTTTCCTTCTTTGTGTCCGTCGGCAGAAAGCATATTTGATCCCCGAGAAGGCGACCTTGAGAAGGATGGGTTAAACCCCGGAAAAATCACGAAAAAAAAAATAACAAACCGAAGGTCGGGACGGAGATATTGACGTTTCTTTCTCGGGGCTCCACGGGAGGAAACCGCAATGTTTTTTACACTTTTTTTTTTCCTTTCTTGTTTGGTTGATTTGTACATGGGGTGAATCGCATTGTTTAATGTTTGTTTGTTCAAATCAGGTTTATTTACGCTCTCCTCTTCCCTAATTGAATCCAGAGAAATCCGCTTCTTCTGCCTCGTGGATGTGATAGGTTGATGGTCCCCAACAGCCTCCCTCCTATTCGGTATATCGGTTGCTCCGATTCTTTGGTGTTTACTTGCATTTGTTTCTCCCTCTGCATGTCTGATTTGACCGACTTGCATCGAGTATGAGGGGTGAAATTGTGGCGAAACTACGGGCGGATGTCTGACGGATTGAAACAGGTGTACTTGAGTGGACGTATCGAACGCCTTCCCTCGGATTCATGAGAATGGTTCGACTCCGATGCCTTGCACTCAAATGACCCCTTTGTTACCATTCCATTGCTTTTTCTATTCGATCTTCTTTTCTATCTACGGCCGTCTTCTTTTCTTCTCTTTCTCTATTCCATCTGGTCTGGTTGTCATGGCCTAGTTTGAGATGAGATCCAGGAAATCATGTCTTTAGTGCATCTACTGACTCTTATTTGCCTTGTCCCTGTATTGAGATGATTGATAAATGTACGTTTTAGTATGAATATGAAGTATTGTTTGATTTATTCATCATATGATTGATCTCTTTATAAACAAAAACCATGGATTGTCTTGACGAGCTTTTCCAAATGTACTGTAGCCTGCATTTAGTTCTCACCAAGATAATCAATGGGTATTGCTGAATAAGGTCTGAATACGAATGAACAATGATTTTATATTAGATTCTCTTAAATATCCCAATAATCACTTCCTTTCTTCACCTACCTACTTACTACTGTATCTACCATATCATAATGTCCCATCATCTCCGAAGGAATTACCCTATATTTCGACTAGTTTGTTCTGTTAGATTCATGTGTCATTTGATGCCAGAGAATCAGAGAGGGAAGAAAGTCATTCAAAATAGATGATTATATCCTTGCCTGGATGGATATACGCATCGATCGAACATGTATACCTGTATATTTTGCTACCCGTCCTGGCTTCAATCAGGGGATAGCAATAACAAAAAACAAAACAAAACAAAACAAACGACCTAGATTTCCCGAACTCATATTTAATTAACTAGAAAGAAACTCGGAAACAACATGAAGGAATCTAATTCATCTAGATCCGTTCAAATAGCGTCGTTCTCAAGGAAAGCCGAAACTAACCACGTGAATGGACTATTCGAGACTTGACCAGATGAACATAAACCAGAACAAAATGGCGAACCTTCATCTCATTTATTTGGCTATTTAGTATCCTCTAAGGGAGAGAGAGGGAGAGAGAAGAGGAAGAAAGAAAGAAAGGAGAGGAGAATCTACTGATACAGTCTCATCTTGTTAAAAGAAACATCACAATCAAAAAATCAAGATAAGAACACAAAGAAACAAAAACACTGAACACCAATAATCAAAATGAATTAGCCATAGAAAAGAACAAACAAAAGGAAGCGACAATAATAAACAAATTGACATGACAAGAATCCCACTACCGAGATATCCCCTTTTTCCTATTACAGCGCCCTGGTGGTTCCAATTCCAAACAGACGAGGTGAGCGGAGCATACATGAGGAGAAATTGAAATACAAAAGGGGAAGGCCAAAAAGGCGAGAAGGTAAGCAAGACAAGCAGCGTCGTGGAGTAAATAAGGAGATTAAACATGGGAAATAAGCTCGCCGGAGTTCGTGGTGCGACCAAAGGTTTATATCCCCTTTCCATTTGTTTTTCTTTTTTCTTGTTTTTGCTTATAGTGAGTTGGAACCAGAGAGAAAAGAATCCATCGCTTAGCGCATATATCCCAGAGCTCCTTTCAATCGTCATCAATTCAAACGCCATATTCGAGAGGGGGTATCAGCCGTAAAATTAAGCCTCAATCTTGTTTTTCTTCTTCTGCTCCACCTTGAGCAGCAGAGCACGGTTGATGCGGGGCAGGACACCACCGAAGGCGATGGTGGCGCGGATCAGAGTGTCCAACTCTTCGTCTCCTCGGATGGCGAGTTGCAGGTGACGGGGGGTGATACGCTTGACTTTGAGATCCTTGGCGGCGTTTCCGGCAAGCTCGAGAACTTCAGCGGTGAGATATTCGAGGACGGCAGTGACATAAACGGCGGCTGGAAGGGGGTTTCGTCAGCAAATCCCTGAGACCGGGCATCTCACAGATGTGTAAGAAAGCATGCGACAAACTTACCCTTAGCACCGACGCGCATCTTGTTCTGGGTGTTGTTCTTCAAGAAACGCTTAACACGACCGCAGGGGAACTGTATAAGAGCAGAAATATGAGTATAAGTTCGATCCCATCGCAGAAGACGTGTATAGTTCAAAAGGTGGTCAACTGGCAAGTTCGAAAACCACTCGGTTCCTTCGGATAGGAACATGGTGCCTATAAACGACTCCCCAGCGATTCCGGATCTCCCACATATCCTTAAAGTGACGCGTTTAAGGGGAAAGACGCAGCCGAACAGCCAAGAGGAGAGGGGGTCGAGAAGAAAAAAAAAATCCGAATCCCTCCTTCTCACGACCTGGCCAGCAAATCCACACCGCCATTGAATCAAACAAAACAAAGCAAGGCTTTCTATACTGACCTGAAGACCGGCCTTTGCGCTGTGGGACTTCTGGGCTTTCCCCGCAGAGTCCTTCGAACCGCCCTTTCCACCGATAGACTTTCCCTTTCCGCCAGGCATATTGAAAAGCGTCGAGATTTAGGGTCGCAAAAGATGATCCGTCGCGTCACAAAAGGGTTCGAGGCGATGGAGCTCGGTGGTGGACGTTGAAGCGATTCGATGCACCCGTGACACGCGCGTTGTTGATGGATGAAGGAGTCAGAAATGTCAAAGCCATCCTAGTCGCTAAAGACGGCGTTGAGCGTGGAACGGCGCTAGTCCCGATCGGGAATCCTCGAACACTCAGAGCTGCCGAGCATGGCGATCTCCCTCGAGCGCCATCAGCGTGGTCGGCCTCGAGGCAGGAGTGGTCAATCTAGAGGGCCGTTTTGAGAAGAGCACCAGAGAGGAGCTAAAATGCCCGGAGAGATCATTCCCCGGAGACCAGAGGACAGCTGGGAGGGGTTGAGACGACGAGCGTCTGCCCAGCTTCACGAGTCACCCAGCAGTGGTATCTTGCCAGACATGCCGTGCTTGGCAGGATAGATGATAACTTTTGTAAAATGTGCCAATAGGGAGCTTCGATTGCGTTGTCCCATCCTTGTACAAGGAAGTGGTATAGTGGAATGGTCCACGAAAGCCGTATGGGAAGCTGTTGATGTTGGCAAGTGAATCTGCAAAGCGACGGTTGTTGCACCCATTATCTAAGCAACCAGGTGATCTCGATTCAAATGATACAAACTGCGTGCCTGAGGTGTTGATCTGCCGGGTCTTATCATTCCGGCTTATCTATTACCGCCTGAGGCAGCAGGCCAAGCACACCACGAGCGACGAAATTGCCTCTCACGTGACATGGCGCCTTCTGGACAGATGTTCGACTTTCCCCGGGGCTCCAGTTCCGCAGTTCGAGGAAAGATTCTGTGCACTCGCGTGTCTTTCACCTCCCCCAGATTTCCATCACCGCGCGCTTATTCCCGACTCCCTGGAATACCAGTCCTGCCGTCAAGATGGTGTCTCCTCAAGTGTATGTTTATAATTTATCTTGTTTTTCTTCTTTTTTGTCCATGTCTGGGTCTTTTGAGAATGGCGAAATCGCGCTGGACAAAGAATTATGATCATGACTGACAACTATCTCAATCTGCAGGACCAACCTGGTCATCATCGTCGTGATGATGCAGCTGGCGAAGAAGGTTCCCTTTGAGGATCCTGACGTTCTCATGCTCGTCCGCGGGATGTACATCCTGTCCAACGTCCTCATCTTGGGACTGTATCTATACTCGCAGGCCAAGATCAACAGCAAGAAGGGTAGGTGCCTCGGAGACTACTAGGAACCCTGCAATAAACTAATGGTTCCAGACTTGACTACGCTGAAGTACGTCGAGCCCGCTCCCATGGGCAGCAACGAGGAGCCCCGTCCGGTCACGACCACCAACATGGAGTACGACAAGGGACAGTTGCGCCAGCTGATTAAGGGCCAACTGATGGGTGTCGGTATGATGGGCGTGATGCACCTGTACTTCAAGTACACCAACCCTCTCCTGATCCAGTCGATCATTCCTCTCAAGAGCGCCATCGAGTCCAACCTGGTCAAGATCCACGTCTTCGGCCGACCCGCCACCGGCGATCTCCAGCGCCCTTTCAAGGCTGCCAACAGCTTCATGAGCCAGGGCCAGATCAAGAGCGACAAGGCCTCCGTCGAGAATGCGGAGAAGAACTGGCGGGGCGGAGTTAAGGAGGAGTAAGCTTTTTTGGGGGAAAAAGTTGATGGGGACAGCGTTTGCTCTTGGAGGACTGCCCCTGTGTATGTTTCCTAGATACGATGTCATGGAGAGAGAGGTTGTGGAAACCAATTGGTACTTGGGTTTTGTCGCTCTCATAGCTTCTTGGTTTCTTTGACCGGGCCGATTAGATTCTGATCCATTCCGATTATGTCAATAATTGCTGTAAAACTTGACTGTCTAATATTGCTATGACAAAACACTGATCTAGGGATCGCACTGTAGAAAGAGTCTGGAACATCTCGGAAAATGGTATGACGTGACATGACCTATGTTGGTACTTTGGGGAAGCCGTAAACGGACAACCGCATGGATGATGGATGCCTTGCCTGATTTCCATGACAGGCCATGGCGTTCCTTGACCGGAGATTAGAAATGGCTGGGGTTGCGAGGCGGCAAATTCGCGTGAGTCGGCTAGACTAAGTTACGCAGGGGCAACCTGGAGGATGGGTCTGTCAAACCCAATTTCTCCAGAAAAGCCAACCGATCGTCTCAGAAACTCACCGGGAGGATTCATGGATTTGTCAGAGTGAGATGAATGATTCATTCAACACGAGTCGAGGGGAGTTGGAACATCGTCCGTCGGTTCTGTCGGCCTGGGACATTACACCGTACTCAGGAGGTTGGTGCCACTTTGCTCAGGCCTCAATCAGGCCATTGAACTCAAGATCAGGATCATGCAATAGATACCCTTGACGGAGGGTAGAGTGTAGTAGGCTACAGGGTAGATACTAGTCTATCAACCAGGGTCCCTATATCAAAGTATACAAAGTACGAATGTCTGGAATCTGGATCGACAAAGAGTATGGATAGTTGCCCCATGCGCCACGGGTTGGCATGCCACCGCGGCCATCCAATGCCGGGTTCATAACAATTGATATGCGAGCGGTGGATCATTGACTGCCCCTTTGGGTGATCAAAACAAATAAAAGAAAAGAGAATCCAATAATCAAGAAAAAACTCGACTGGCGCGTGATGGCCCATCTGGCTCCCGGTGAAGGTTTCTGGAGTCCGGAGAGGACGGACGGCTGAGTCAGCCGTGATCTTATGAAGGCGGGGCAGCGGGACCATCGTTAATCCGGGCCGAGCTACCGGGCCGAAAGCGGAAAGGCCGGCGTGCCCCTCTTCTGGCCCTCTGGATTCAGATTTCAGAGGTAAAAGGTGGCATGGGATGGTCGATTCCCCGTTACATCATGCGGCCGGATCAGGCACGAAAACAGCCAGCCGTGCGACGGAAAGCGTAGAGTAATAGCCTAGGCTAGAGTCACCCCATAGATCCCGACTGCCTGGCAAAACATTCTCGAGATGGACGCGACTACGGGCGCTCATTGGCCAAGCCGGCAGCTACCGAGGGCAGAGTAGCAGAGCAGATATCGTGACTCTCCTGCTTTGCCCGGTGTATGAAACCGGAAAAGGGCGGCGGGCGAGCTGGCAAGCGGCGCAAGTCGGGACGCCTCTCCCAGCCTGGACAGCTTTGGGGGGGGGAAGCTGTAGCTTTTGCCCCGTCTGTCCGCCCGGTGTGCGGATTGGAGGTGACCCGGTCGTTGCGTCAGTCTTTTTTTTCGGGATCCCTTTTCTTCCCCCTCCCCCGCCGCTGAACTTTTCTCTCCTCTTCCACACTCTTCAGTATCCCTCTCCCATCCAAATCCCTCTCCCGTACTTAAAGTAAGGCTTCCCCCCGTTCGTCCTTTCCCCTGATTCCTCATACTAGATACCCCATCATCCACTCTCTCTTTGTCCTTGCCGCTTTTAAACTAACAGCTACCCCGCCATCTCTCAGACTACCATCACAATGGCCACCAAGGTATGCCAACCCGGCTCGATTGCTGGAAGAAGCTTGGAAGGTGTTCGAGGATACTAAACAAATCGATCCTAGGTTGGAATCAACGGCTTCGGTCGTATTGGACGTATTGTGAGTGACTACCTTGACCTACCTACCCCTCATCGATGACGTCCACCGTGCTAATGAGCTACCCAGGTCTTCCGTAACGCGTAAGTGCCATTGATGACCCTCTCATTGGGCTGCGGTTTTCAAGGGCTTTGAGTACCCCTCAAAGCACTTTTGACCGAGCTGGTCGTTTTGTGACAATGGGAACACTCTCTGACAATGTTCTATAGCGTCTCTCGCGACGACGTTGAGGTTGTTGCCGTCAACGATCCCTTCATCGAGACCCACTATGCTGTATGTTCCTTCTGTTACCTAAATGAGGAACCCCCAAGTGACACAAACTAACTTGCACTCGGATCCATAGGCCTACATGCTCAAGTACGACAGCACCCACGGCAAGTTCCAGGGTACCGTCGAGACCTACGACCAGGGCCTCATCGTCAACGGCAAGAAGGTTCAGTTCTTCGCCGAGAAGGACCCCGCTGCCATCCCCTGGGGCAAGGCCGGTGCCGACTACATCGTCGAGTCCACCGGTGTCTTCACCACCAACGAGAAGGCCGCCGCTCACTTGAAGGGTGGTGCCAAGAAGGTTGTCATCTCCGCTCCTTCCGCCGACGCCCCCATGTTCGTCATGGGTGTCAACCACGAGAGCTACAAGACCGACATCAACGTCCTCTCCAACGCCTCTTGCACCACCAACTGCCTGGCTCCCCTCGCCAAGGTCATCAACGACCAGTTCGGTATCGTTGAGGGTCTCATGACCACCGTCCACTCCTACACCGCCACCCAGAAGGTTGTCGACGCTCCCTCCGCCAAGGACTGGAGAGGTGGCCGTACCGCCGCTCAGAACATCATCCCCAGCTCCACTGGTGCTGCCAAGGCTGTCGGCAAGGTCATCCCCTCCCTCAACGGCAAGCTCACCGGTATGGCCATGCGTGTGCCTACCTCCAACGTCTCCGTTGTCGACCTGACCTGCCGTACCGAGAAGTCCGTCACCTACGAGGACATCAAGAAGGCCATCAAGGCTGCCTCCGAGGGCGAGCTCAAGGGTGCGTATTGCTGTTTCTCGAGCTGTGGAGTGCGCTGTATGCTAACCTTTCCGTCATAGGCATTCTCGGCTACACCGAGGACGACATCGTCTCTTCCGACCTGAACGGTGATGACCACTCCTCCATCTTCGATGCCAAGGCCGGTATCGCCCTCAACGACCACTTCATCAAGCTGGTTTCGTGGTACGACAACGAGTGGGGTTACTCCCGCCGTGTCGTTGACCTCATCAGTAAGTTCATTCGGTTTGGTCCCTCGCATCGACAGAATGATGTACTAACGATATCTTCTAGCCTACATCTCCAAGGTCGACGGCCAGTAGGAATCAGGACGGATCGTGGGGACGAAGAGTCTCCTTTAAACTGCCTGGTTGTGCACTGATTCAATGCTTGTCGCCGGCTCTCCCAGCTGCCGTAGGATGAGGCCCCTGTTGACAGGGTGGGAAGGATTGGAGACAAGCATAAAATGCATATGATAACGTACTATGTAATGAAATGATACAACGTTGATATTTGATGCACTTTGTCCGGAAGATCGAGTTGGTAGTTTGTTGACGTAGGAAAGGAACACAATCTCGTTCACGGTGACTAAGCTAGGCGGTCAGGCGAATGGGCTGTTCTGACTGGCCACGGCGAAGACTCGGAATGTGGCAGGAACCTCGACCGAGGAAAAAGCTCCAACTTACAACCTGCGACGACTGTGCAAACACTTCCGATTGCATGACCGCAGCTGACCCCTGGGTTGGATCACTCATTCACTCGTCCTGTCAGTCTTATATCTCTCGCCACGCTCACACTCAATTCCCCGTCGGACTACGGAGTATAACGAGTATACTACCTACTGGGACTAGACCCGTCTGGCCGGTGAAGGTCACGTGCCCGCAGCTAGGTCAACCGCGCTTTTTAGAGCTACTGTACATGCATGAACCACGATTCCTAGACTAGAACGCCCGGTCTGCCTTCGTCACCGAGCCTCTGGGCTTCGGGTTCTTTTGATAGCGGATTTCAGTTCATTTTGGTGTTTTGTGACAAATCCCTTGTCGACGTCTCTCGGTGACCTTTGTCGCGTTTGCGTTGGCCTCTTTGGTTCCTTTCTCATTCCCTGCTTTCCTCTTTATTAGTTACTAGTCCTGCAGAGAGTGAGCGTGAGAGCTCCAGAGTCTGGCCAACCAGCATTTTCTAGTGTTTACTGGGCTCGGCCATGAAGCGCTAGACCTGTCAAACTTCCTAGATCAAGGAACATCATCCCTGACTTAACTCACTTTTCATTTCTGCTCTTTCCCAATGGCTATCGAGGCAGACGAAGATACCGTCATGGGAGAAGCAGGCTCCCATACTGCTCCCCATGTCGCCTCGCACCAGTCTACCTCTCAGCCTGTATCTGGACAACTCAATGGGCGATCGGACCCCTGGCTGGCCCCTCCACTACTCGAGCAATCCGTGAGGGTGCCATTACCTGGTCAACCAACCAACCTCCCGCCTCCCGACTCGACAGACAGCCCGGGAGTGTCGCCGCCCAAAAGCCTTCCCAAATCCATTGACTCAGGTGAAATCGAAGATCCAGACAAGGATGACAGTCTTGTCGAGGAGAATTCGGACTGGTCGGACGACGACGTCTCTGTTCGCACGGGCCTTCCCCTTGCCTCCCTCTCGTCGGGGCTCTGCTATGATGTCCAAATGCGATATCACTGCGAAGTGCGCCCCACTGCAGACGTGCATCCTGAAGATCCCAGACGTATTTACTACATCTTCAAGGAGCTATGTCGAGCGGGACTGGTGGATGATCCTGAGTCTTCGAAACCCCTTGTAGCGAGGCCCTTGAGTCGGATCAGCGCCCGCAATGCTACCGAGGAGGAGATCAGGCTGGTTCATACTCCAGATCATTTTGCCTTTGTCGAGAGTACCAAAGGTAGGCGCAGATAGGATTTGATGTTAAGTGGCGGCCGCTAATTTCTCTTCAGATATGTCGGATGACGAACTCATTGCTCTAGAGCATACGCGGGACTCTATCTACTTTAACAAACTGACCTTCGCGTCTTCCCTGCTGTCTGTCGGAGGAGCGATTGAAACATGTCTGGCCGTTGCTCGACGAGAAGTCAAGAATGCTATTGCGGTGATCCGGCCCCCAGGTCACCATGCCGAGCACGATAAAACGATGGGATTTTGCCTGTTTAACAATGTGTCGGTTGCGGCTCGTGTGTGTCAGAAAGAGCTAGGCGAGGATTGCAGAAAGATTCTGATTCTGGACTGGTAAGTGCTTGTTCCTGTGTCCTATGATATTGACAATTTGCTGACAAGTCTAGGGACGTTCATCATGGTATTTCACTCCACCTTTGGAAGCTATTAATGAAAACTTTACTCACATCTCATAGGAAACGGCATTCAAAAGGCTTTCTACGATGACCCTAATGTCTTGTACATCTCACTTCACGTGTACCAAGATGGCAAATTCTACCCAGGTGGTGACGAAGGTGACTTGGATCATTGTGGAAAGGGCGCTGGCCTTGGACGGTATGTTTAACCGATCAAGCCGATTTGGGCTTTATCTGATTCATCCAGGAATGTCAATATCCCATGGCCCAGCCAGGGTATGGGTGATGGCGATTACATGTACGCGTTCCAGCAAGTGGTGATGCCGATTGCGCAGGAATTCAATCCTGACCTAGTAATAAGTATGTGCTTGCCTAAATGCAAGAGCGATTGTAGCTAACACCTTCAAAGTTGCCTCTGGGTTTGACGCTGCTGTTGGAGACGAACTTGGAGGGTGTTTTGTGACACCGTCCTGCTACGCTCATATGACGCACATGCTTATGACCCTTGCAAATGGCAAGATTTCCGTCTGCCTCGAGGTATGTTTATCCTTGCGGTAAGAACGCACTTGTGACTAATATCTGTCAGGGTGGATATAACTTCCGATCAATCTCCAAGTCGGCGCTTGCGGTCACAAAAACCCTCATGGGAGATCCACCTGATCGCCTCCATTCAACGACCCCTTCGGAGCTTGCAACGTCCGCCGTGAGACGAGTTATGATGGTTCAATCGCACTACTGGAAATGCATGTATCCCAAGGGTCCAGAGAACCAAGGGGTTTGGACTGATAGACTTCATGGTAAGGAACGAAAATCAGCAGTAATGAATGGATCATCTGATAATAGGTTCAGATGTGATTCGACAATACCAAGCCAAACACCTCTATGACAACTACAAGCTCACATCCCTCTACATCTACCGAAACGGGCTATCAAAATCGTTCGAAAACCAAGTTCTGGCTAGGTAATTGCCCAGGCCCAGGATTTATCAATCACAAATAAACGACTGACCGTTTAAAGCCCGAACTACTACCAGCATGTACCGCTGATAGTGATTTTCCATGACCCGTGAGTCTCTCCTTAAGAGATCAAGACATTACAGCAAGAATATGCTCGCTAATAAACCAGACCTGATATCATGGGCCTTCCCCACCCGGTCACCAACAAGCTGGAAGCCCACAACACGTGGCTTGTAAGTAGCTTCTCTGACTGGCCTTAGACCTAACAAAGGGCTAACGTGGGCAAGGCTGATTCTGTGAAGGACTATGTTGCATGGGCGACTTCTAAAGGATACGCCGTGATAGATGTGAACATACCGAAGCATGTGACAAATGGAGAGGTAAGTACAGTGCCCTTTTGCAGATTGTGTCTCTGTGGTGATATATGAAATGGTATGCTAACAAGATGAAGTCGCCCGGTAAATATCAAGATGAAGATAGTAATCGACCCACCGCCACTGAAGAATTGGCTGGATATCTGTGGGATAACTATATTGAGTAAGCGGACGCAGCTTTTACGATGTGCCGATGTGATAAAAATATAATAACTAATCCGATATAGACCCAACGAGGCCACCGAAGTTATCTTCATGGGAGTCGGCGACGCTTTCTTTGGGGTTGCCAACCTTTTGATCAACAGAGGTATCTATATCTTCACTTTCAAATACGCAAAAAGAAGGTAGAGGAACCACTAACATAGCCTACCAGACAACCTATACAAACGAGTCAACGGCGTTATCTCCTTTGTAGCAGAAAACCCCGTCCGAGCGATCGCCTCACCCACACAAACCTGGCTATCGAGATGGTACAAAGATGTAAGTTCTCGCCCTAAACATCTGCCCCAGTTGAGTCTAGAAAAGAAAACGAAAAGTGGTGAACTGGTGCAAATCAAGCTAACCTTACACACCAGAACTCCCTCGTATTTGTTTCACACACGCATGGAGTTTGGACCGCTGAGCCTCGACGTAAGCCGTCAAAACGCTACGGCCACCTTCTCTCCTCGCCTAAAGCCGGGCTCACGGAGATGATGCTCCACCATAAAGAGGAAGTGTGCAAGTGGATCGAGGAACGAGTCGATGTGCGAGATAGCGACGAGTCGGATGGAGAGCAGCAGCAGAATGCTGGTAGCACCAACAACATCAGCTAGTTTAGTTTAATCGACACTAGTTGTTAGTTGGGGGGAGTTGATTTTCCGACCGGGGAGAGGTGAGAGCGAGGGGGATGTGTTGAGGTCTTCTTTTACTTTCCATATTTCTTATTCCCAATAAATCATTCTCATGGTCCTAGGTAGCTTGTTCACTTTGTTTTAACTTTTCTTAAAAACCTCCGCCCGGTGGCGTTGCCATGTGCGGGGAAACCGAAACCGAAACCATCCTTCAGGTCTTTTCCCCAGATATTATTTTGGTGTCTGTCAGTGTCATCGTCATAGGACCGCGTGGAAGGGACTGCAGGTCTCACATTACTTTATGAGTTTCCTGTTTGTACACATACGGTGCAGGAAGGTACAGTAGGTATACAACGGAAGAAGTGACTCTAATCCCAGTTGATTAATTAGTTAACTGGAATGGCATGTACACCGGTGTATAGCCTACCTCTCTTCCTACCTTCCTTTACAGTAGATAGTTACCTAGTTAACTGGTAAGATACTCGTTAGGTAGTCGATCGATACAATTTCTTACCCTTCCCCATACTTTCTCCACAATACTCACTAAATCACAAACAAATCTAGGAACTTACTTATTCATGACCTCATACTGTGTACAAACACCGATCATCTATACTCAATATTCCCCCCAGATTAGCCTCGAATCGTATCTATTTCCGACTAGGGGAAAAACATCGCATGTACCTACTGTGTATAGTGTAAGTAGATAGATAAATATCCGAGGACCCTGAGAAACAGCTATGCATGAATCGCCATCGACCAACAACTAAAATAGCAACACGAACATTCCAATAACAATCTAAAAAGCCACCACGAGACCCTACACCGCAGATAGATACCTAAGACACAAATACCTGACCTACTGTGCCCATCGTATCCTATGAAGTAGTAGTATCCACATGACATCGTTATGACATTTCCCATCTGAACTTCCGACCCTCCGCAGCCCCATAATTTATATCCCCCCCTCCGCAGCCCGCAGAAGCTATCCGGAACTAAAGCTGAGACATCGCCAACCAGACCCCTCTGTCGGCGGTAATCGGCGGGAGGGGAAATGTTTGGAACCTGGAAATGAAAAGATTTGGGACTTTTGGGAGAAAGTGCGCTCACTGTACCTGGAAACCTGAACCTGCTGATCTGGATTTAATTAATTCATACGGCGTACGGCGATGGCTCGGTTCGTAGTAACTTACGGAGTACTTACTTTAATTTGTGAGATTGTCTTAGATTGCTTGCTTATCTATCTTGTTGGGTTTAACTTATCTTTAGTCTGACTGCGTACTTGTTTGGTGGGGTATGCTCACCGCGTACTGAGTACATACGTAAAGATAATGGTGTTTATAGTATAGGTAGGACTGAGACAGCAAGAAAGACTTGCGAAAGTAGTTGATATATTAACCAGCCTTACCAGGTAAAAGATACCTAACCACAACAATAAGTCCGATGGAGTAGACACCCATGCTTGGCTGTACACCGTGTATATGTGCCATGAATGTAACTGTCTCAGATGAACCAGCTACCTACCAACCATGTACTCCGTACTTAGCTTACCGAAGCTAGTCTTACATTCTGACCTCGGAATTACCTGAGACATGCTGCATGTCTGACCATCAGTAGGTACGGTGTACACAGTGTACACCGTATGTGACATGATGTGACCAGTATGCAATCGCGGCATTTTCTCTCTCTTTGCCCTCCAGAAAGGTATGCCATGCGTGGGTAATGTGGACTACCTAGTGGATAGGTAGATATGCATGTCTGAGCCGTGCGGTGCCCGGCCACTTCACTTCGTACTGGTTCGCCACGATCCTGGCTGCTGCGGCAGAGAATCAGCCCATTTTACTTTACGAAATGGGTCTAGTCAGTCAGATTTGAGGTGGGCCGAGGAGAGAGACTGGGCTGGGTTTGAGGGGTCACTGTTCCTTGTTCCTTGTTTCTTGAAGAAAAGCGGGATCGGATCGACGTGAGATGGAAAAAGGGGAGGGATTTGAGTGGTTCGAAATGGTTCAGTAAGAGTGAGAGGAAAGGTATATAAGGAGGACGATTCCCTCGCCGATGATAGCTTTCAATCCACCCATCTCATCAATCTATCCATTTCTTTCCATCCCAATCAAGTCAACTAGAGCCAACTGCAAACCAAACCAGCAACATGCAAATCCAAACCCTCCTCTTGACCCTCACCCTCCTGTTCACGCCTCTCGTCTCAGCCGTAGGCTCCGCCATCGTCAAGAACAACTGCAAATTCCCCGTCTATCTCTGGTCCGTCGGCGGATCCGTCGGACCCAAGAAGACGATCCAGCCGGGAGCCTCCTACAGCGAGCAATTCCGTCACGATGCCACGTCTGGCGGCGTGACGCTGAAGATTACCAAGGCCAACGACGGCATCTACAACGGTAGCCCGCAGTTGAGCTACGCGTACACCCTGGACGGAAACCAGCTGTGGTACGACCTCAGCAATGTCTTTGGAGACCCGTTCGCGGGTAACCCCTTGGTCGTGAAGCCTAAGGATACTGGTTGCTCGAACATCTGCTGGCCTCAGGGTACTCGGCCCGCTGGTAGCCAGGTGAAGGTTTGCTCGGCCAACTCGGATGAGACTTTGACGCTTTGCGCGGCGGGTTGTTAAATGTTTCATGAGGTTGAAGGTGCTGATATGGGCCTTCGAAGATCAATGGGCGATGAAGAGGTCTGATAGGAGGATTGCCTGGTAGGAGGATGTGATGGATCTGGTTGATAGGAGAATCTGTTGTTGGCGAGATCTGGTTTATGACTGGTTTCAACCAAGTGCGGTTTTTATGCTTGAAATGATTGCGAGGAATAATCTAATGGTACGCAAGAGCTATGTCAGTATGGATTATGCCACTTTGTTGCTTAAGAAATGGAGTATCACTTGCTTTATACATACCACATTCAGTTCAGCTCTTTTCACACCAGATGTAGGATTGCGAGTGTGAATGGTGATCGATGATATGCCTAACCACTTCTGAAGAACTTGTTCCAAAGCCCAGTGTTAACGTGGAATATACTGAAGAAGTGAAGTGGACCTCATCACGCGTTGAAGTCAATATCGTACGACTCGACTTCCCATCCCCCGCTATTGCCCAATTCATGACGAAAGCGATAACAGATCAGTGTGCCCACCGTCCGTTTGCTGGGTTTGGCATCAGCGTTCATGCCACTTGATCCGTACCAACCACGGCTCTCTTTTGGTAGCAAGCAGCGTATACAGTAGAATCTAGAATATTCAGGGAGGATGAATGACATAGCTCCATTGGCTCTGCCTTCGTCTCCATCAATGTCCTGAGAATGTAAGACAGCCGAGAAATCCCGCTCCTCAGCATCCACAACACACGTAGCAAGGCGTGCCAGCAATGGACCTGTCCAAACACCTTCGGTATGTCTACACAGCTTTAGAATGGAGATGGCGCGTCGACGAATGTGAGGAACGCGACACTTCAAGGCCGTATAGTACAGCGGAGGGTAACAGCCGAGATCAATGCTGAAGCTAGCGCCTATCTGACAAAAGCTCGATACGTAGTTATTCTCCTTTGTTGGCGCGATATACCGAGGAGTATTGGCAACTATGGCTCCTAGCTCCTCAACCTGGTCGATAATGGACTCAAAGGCCGAAGTATGGGAATCGAACGCTGTTTGCTTGGTCGCGAAACATGTCGACAACAGTATTGTGGCCATGGTCCAGTGAACCCGGAGCACGCGGAGGCCAAGCTCCCCATGGTGGTTCGTCAGTGATATTAGTAGTGAAATGGAGCTGTCAAATGCTGCGATCCAGTCCTCGAGTGTGGACTGGAGGGATTCCTGTTCTTTGAGCAAAGCCAGAGACGGCGGCGGAGGGTAGACATCGCTGCTCATCTGATCTGCAGCACACTTCAAGACGAGCCGAATAACGCGGTTGAGGATCTGGTCGAAGGACCGGCTTGCCTCTTGAACTGTTGAGAAGACTCGGGGAATAGAAATTTGTTGGTGTCCATAGACAAAGGCAGGCGTGAACAGCGCATCATCATCGAATAGACCCGAGCCTAGCATCATGAATTGTAGCTGCAAACGAGCAAATGCATGGATCATATGTTCATCGGTTGATTGAGGGGTCTGCTGTACAAATATATGCCGCACCTGTCTGGAGCTTCTATTATTCGATTGCAAGAGATTGAGGAGGTTGATGCCGTGTTGGAAGTGCATATTCATTGAAGTGTACTCCCCTCGCAGCATTTCAAGACAGACAAACACGATGCTGGTTATGACGGCAATACGAATCGACTCAACGTTCGTAACAGCCACATGCGCAGTCAGACTCTTAATCGCCTTGTTGTACTGCGTCAAAGAGAAAGACTCATAAGACTTGGCGCTGGCCGCTATTTCCTTTTCCCAAGGGGAGAAGCGGGATCTATGCGCGGCTGCCAGGGCGACGATAGCGTGCAAGACACTCGACTCGGCGAAGCAGGTTTGCATGATTAGGGACTCCCAGAACTCAGATTTGAATAATCCGGTTAGTTTCAACGCCGGCGCATGGCGGAAGTATTCTAGCGACGACCGCTCTTCCTGCGCAACACCTGAAAGGGGACCTGGGCTGCGACTGATGAGAAAACACCAAGGCTTCGTACTGGCCCGCTCCAGACCGAGCGGTCCGGAACTGCCTGGGGTTCCTTTGGTCCCGCTATACAAGATTCCATAGCCATCGCAGACTCTACCGGAATTCGTGCATTTCCGACAAGCGGGCTTCTCTTCGTCGCATTTGACATGGCGAGTTCTGTAGCATCGTCAGTAGGTATGAATTCCCAGCCAACTGCAATGCACTGACTTGCAGGTACGACATCCGGACTTGACGTATCTCCCGGGCCTCCGAGAACCGGAAGATGGACTTGATTTGGATGTCCCACCCATTGTTTCGATGATCATATTATCCACCGGATGAAAAGACCGGCATGATGATGAGTTCAAGTAAAAAGGGGGTCCTGAAACTGTCAATCCATCGAACTGTCTAGAATAAGTGTGTGATTAAGGGAGAAGTCAGGTCGATGATGGAATGAAACGAGCTAACCGATAAAGGAAGAGATGGGACTAACCTAAAGAAGATTGGCTGCGTCGGAAATATATGCTCGTGATTGGTTGCAAGTAGTGGAGCGCGCCTTACCCCATTCGGCCATCTTGTATGTGGATTCCTCAGGCTCTCCGCTCGTCCCATCTTTGGGTGCATGAAGTCGCTGTCCTGGAGTTAATCGTGTCATCCACAATGTTGTCTGAAAGCTCTATTTCCGTTGCTATGTCCGCTGTATCCGAAATAGAAGTTCTATAAAAGACCATCTTCTGCTCTGATGGCAGTATATTCTATCTCTCATCTAACCAGCTCTTTCCAATCTATCGTATCCGGATCTCAATCAATCAATCTTCTCTTCAACAGGCAGGATGTCTCTTCCCACCAGAACCCTCGGCAAAAATGGCCCCCAGGTCACCGGCGTCGGTCTCGGACTGATGAGCATCGGCGGTGTCTACGGGCCCAAAGGCACCGACGAAGAGCGTTTTGCTTTGCTCGACCACGCCCACGAGATTGGCGAGCACTTCTGGGATACGGCCGATCTGTACTTCGACAGCGAAGAGCTGATCGGCAAATGGATCCGAAAGAATCCTGCGAAAGCTAAAGACATCTTCTTAGCTACCAAATTTGCGATTACAATGGGTGCCGACGGCTTTATCACGTTGAACTCCAGTCCCGAATATGTCAAGGCTGCGTGCCAAAGAAGTCTTGACAAGTTGGGCGTTGAGACGATTGATCTGTATTATTGTCATCGGGTGGATGGGAAGACGCCCATTGAGAAGACTATTGAAGCAATGGTGGAATTGAAGAAGTAGGTCGACCCTCTCTTCGAATTCCTCTTCTGCGAACAAAGATTAACCATGTTTTAGGGAGGGAAAGATTCGCTACCTAGGCCTCAGCGAAGTGAGCGCTGATACCCTCCGACGAGCGCACGCAGTACATCCCATCTCCGCCCTGCAAGTCGAATACAGTGCCTTCGCTCTGGACATTGAAGACCCCAAGATCGACTTGCTTCGAACATGTCGGGAGTTGGGTGTTGCTGTTGTTGCATACAGCCCCATCGGTCGTGGACTTCTAACAGGGCGATACAAGTCCCACAAGGATCTCGCTCATGACCCGTTTCTGGCCTCCTTGCCGCGCTACTCTGCAGAGAACTTCCCGAAAATCTTGGATCTGATCGAAACCTTCAAGACGATTGCTACGAGCAAGGAATGCACACCCGTACAGCTGGCCATAGCGTGGTTGATGGCTCGAGGGGACGATATCATTCCGATCCCCGGGACAAGAAGTACTAAGTACCTTGGGGAGAATGTGGGCGCTATTCATGTAAAGGTCACCGACGAAGAACAGGCGCAGATTAACGATGCTGTTCAAAAGAGCATCTTGCAGGGTAGTCGTTATCCTCAGGGGTAAGTTTTTCGGTACGTTGATTGTTTCATGTGTGCTAACCTATATCTAGTTTGCCGACGAGTTTTGCCCTGGGAGATACACCAGCTCTGTGATCTGTTCTATAACAAATTCTACAGCAACATAAATATAGATGATGGGTTGCTGGATGTTCAGAAAGGATCTGGGTAGAAACCGGTGCTTCGGTTGATCAATTGTGAAAGAAAGTAATAGTCTTATCCAATCCTGTTTTGCGACGCCCAATGCAAATTGTTCCGTTGTTTTTTAAAATTGCCTCCCTTCCCACCATGCGTTTCTGAAAGTGTTGGTGCTCTATTTACTGCTTTTACCCGGGTCTTGAAAGCCCACTCAATTATTGAGCTTCGGATGAACTTCTTCCCCTGAGGTAGGCTTGGGCACCCGAACGAAGCCTTCCACTTCATGATCCACTCCTCAAGTACGGGAAGGGATCGGACCCTGGTCTAGAAAATTAAGCCACATGGAAGCGTCGAAACAAACCCATAATATGCATGAACTATTTCGCCTATTCTGACATTGGCCGAGTTGAGTGTTTTCCCGATGTCCGGTACCGTTGGTGGTTCTATTGTAGGCCCAAGAGCAGGTCCAGTTCCGTCCGAATATTCTCTGTAGTCCTTCCATGACTCTCACTTTTCCGAACTTAGCGATTGGAAGTTGCCCAGTTTCCATTTTTCCAACCATGTTACCGACATCCTCTTGGCCGTGTTCTACAACCATTCGTTTCGCCGCCTCATAAATCGATCAATACGTAAGTAAGAGTGGTGCTGAAGGTTGGATATTCCATCATCCAATCGTCGGGGTATTTTGAAGAACTTAGGCAAATCCCGAGCAAGCCTCCACATTTGACGTATATGAACCTTCTGGTTCTGCTCTGGCTCTGGTTCGGTATGTCTGCTGGACTGCTGCTGTAGCGAAGATGTGCATCTCGGAAAAGCACAACTGTCTTCTTCAGTTGTGATGGTGCATGCAGACGACGGACATAGTCCTTCACCCCCCAGAATAAGTTCCTTGTCACTTTCTGAAATGTCTCTCCCAAAAAAGAAAGGAATAAAGAGAAAGGATTCGACGAGGCATTATGCAATAGTGCCGTAGGGGCTTCTTCCAGGGCCATGGCCCAGATGACTCAGGCGGCTTGATGAAGTCGTATAATGGCCAAAAAAAACAGGTTGTAAATCAATCGACCTCGCGATAAACCATTAACCGGCGGCAACGGTATTCAGGCTAGTCACATTGATGATCCATGGCAGTTCGGCATCATCACAGAGGTCTTCCTCTACTTCAAATCAAGCTCAGAACAGTCAGTGTGCTGCTCCCGATTAGCAGCATCACCTTCAAGGCATAGTACTACTTTCCCCCCTGGGACAAATTTCCGTACTGAACTTTACGGGCATCAGACCATGCCTGTGTTGGGCTTCAGTCCCTAATGGCTTTTATAAGATCATGGTAACGGTAGATTTACCATCCTGCCCATGACCAACACGCTGAAGACATTGGGCATCGCTGCCACTGCACGCGTGCCATGCTGGCCTAAAGATATCCCTGCAGCCGCTCGTCGCCCCCGGGATGAGCTCCTTGATGGACTGGAGGAGAGTGATGAGGGCGGTGTTCACGATCAATTCTCCATGCTTCTGGTCGCGTTGTATTCGGTGTAAGATCTCCTGCTGCTGTCGGAACGCTGGCTTTAACAACGTATGCTTGTGCCAATTTGGCAGGTCTTCGTCGAGCTTGTGGTCGGCTCCAACCGCCACATGATATTGGTGAAACTCGGGCTGCATTACCAAGAATGGGCTGGAGATCAAAGGCCGGCTCTCTAATTCGATCTCAATCCGATAGTGAGCACTGTCTACGTCAAACTCACACTCACGCAGGATACCTCTAAGCAATCGAATGATCGTTTTGGGATGATGGAATGCCAAACCCCGAAGACCTGCCGACTCAGCAACTTGTCGGTGACTGGTATTCCGTAGACCCTTTCCTGCAGCTAGCTGCGGAACCGCAACATAAAATCAAATGGATTGGCTTCCAAACTCCACGATCGGAGTTTGCTCACATAGTAGGCCAAACTTATGAGGTGTTTGATCAAGTGTGTGCTGACAAGATTGGCTGATGGGAACTGTGTAGAAAGGAGCGCCTGGCAGGGTGTTGCATATTCAGAAGCTATCCGCAAGTAAGAGATATCCGAACATAGACAGATGACGAGGGAATCTTTTCTACCCGCTATTGCAGGTTCTCGTTCATAAAGTCTAGTCCAACAATTGCTCTGATGAATTCGCTCGTGTATAATCCGTGCAACAGCAAATTGCTGCTTGACACAGTCGTGAATATGTGATTGTGATAGTAGATTGCCATAACGACTGGCCTTGCGTTGGTTATCTGCATTCTCGTTTAGACGAAAGATACCATTCTTCCTGCCTGGTTTGTTTCGCCGTATTTTGCTGTGCATTTTGTGCTAAGACGCACAATATTCATGCCTTGCATGCCGGCCATATACTTCAAACAAGGCACATAGTGGTTCTAACTGGCCCATGAAACATGAATATCCAATATTAATTGAAGTCCATACCAGATTGCATAATCGGCGTCTTCGAATATCGATAGCTGCCAGGTTCCTCTGAACCATGAATCCAAGTCATGGCGGATTCTGTGTATTCTGGTATGCTCATGAGTGCTAATATCTTTGCCAGTTTTATGATCTCAAGCTGTATGCAGCTGTTGATGCCCGTTGTAGGTTCTCTCGGTTAGTCTAGTAGTATGACCGTGTTTCCATAGACCGTGCCCTAACATGAAAAACCAATCAGATTCGGAAGGAAGCCACCCAGATCGTGAAACTAAAGAATGATTGTTAGCGCAAATATTGAGAGTGCCACATAAAGAATGTATTTCAACACACCTTGTTAGATCCCTGACTAGGGCCTAATCAACGGTGTTTAAGTTTGCGTTTGCGTGTTCCCATAAAGGAGCTCTTGTTGTAGAGAGCTCGCTCATGTTTGAACACTTCTTGTATGGCGTTGCATGCTGCAATCGAAATATTTTTCCGATGGTCCGTAATCAGTGCGCGTGCCGCATGTGAATCGTCACCAAACAAGATATTCAGCTCGGCTATGACCGAGGGATCCGTATACCTGGTCTTTCCTACCAATGCTTCAGCCAGCGGGCTCATGCCTCGCTGGGAAATTGCCGCCGGAAATGTATATGATATCGTGGAGTATCTGTTATGGAGTCCTGACGGGCTCGACGGGTCCTGAACAGTTAAGAGTTTAAACTGAGTATCAGAGAAGCATTGCTTACCGTGGTGGAAGCCCCAAGTTGATGGGTTGGGGGCCGCGTCGATCGCAGCATCAACAAACGCGTCGATTCCTGGCGCGGTGTATGCCGCCATGTTTAGACCAGGTCGAAAAAGAGAAGGGAGTGAATGTAAGGGCCCAGGGACGAGATCTCGATGTGCTGCTGCCAACTGTTCCCACGTTCCGCCTTCTGGAATCTCGAGAGTTGAATGATCCTCCTGGACAGCTACATACCATGGTAGGATGGTTCTTCTAGTTCGTACACAATTCTCCGTAGAACCGTGCGGTAGGCCCGGATGAATAATGCGTGCATCACCTGCTTGACATGGGATAGGTGTCCATTTCGTTCCGAAGTGCTTGAGATCGGCGTCGTTCAGCTGGTCTGTGCCGTCCACCTTTAGTACAGATGGGAGCGGTTTCTCTTTTAAACCAGATGCCGCAAAGACATTTCCAAGAACATAATATTTGTTGAGGTAAATCCTTTTGATGCGGTCGCGCTCCTTCTGAAGATCTGAGATCATGTTCTGGACGTTGCGGTAACGCTATGCTGTTTGCATGCAACAGAATTGCCACGATGGCCGTAGACAATGCACGTACTCCAAACTCTCCATGGCTAGAAAGGCATTCGGATCGGGGATTGCCACAATTAACAAGGCGAGGTCAAACGCAATCTTGGTACTCCCCCAGCTCCCGAAGTCGTCGAATATATTAGCCTGGAAAGATCTGCTTGGAGCTGATCGGTGGCCATATGGCGAAGTGGTTATCGTCAATGCGCTTCACAAACCAGGTTTTCCCATACATGCTGAAGAACCCATATCGGTCGTCCATGTAACGCGCTATCTGCCCTAGTTATATTTACGGCCAATAGCTATATGTGCTCTGATCGCTTTTGCGGATATTGATCCTTGCATAATGCGCAGGGGGCTGTGACAATTTCATCTTGAATGACAAGCTCGTATACCAGGGTCTCCAGCATTATTCCATCTACCAACTGAATTGTCCTGTAGTGTTCTCGTTATCCAAGGCAATAAAGTGTTGGGGTTTTCGAAAACCCCAGGAAATTGTTGGGCTAGCCTCATTGACAATCCGCAAAAGTCTAGATTGCTCTGGCATGGCCCCTTAAAGACAGCTGAATTGAGTGCCGAAAACCCACTTGAGTTGAAAATTCAGTGTCAAAGGGAATAGTCTTTGCGTGGGTGCGACAGGTTGCCGCCTGGGTCATGGCCGCGCACCTTTCCCTTGTTCGGATTAAGGGTGAGTACATCAGCTGTTCATTCGCAATTGTGGCAGGGGAGAAGCCCAGTAATTGACTTCAAGAATGTAATAAGAGAGAGAGCTATCTCGCGTAGCGGTCATCCATGTACAGTGCCAGCTGACATTTGTGCAATCAAGCATTTTGCTTATGACAAGCCCGGGAATTCCTGCATCCCTTTGGTCTTTCTTGACCAGACTGTAATGATCTTTGTATACTTTTGTGTCGTTCCGCTCCATCTGCGTAGAAGCGCTTGTTGGCCCGGAACTTTTTATGGACCGGAGGAACGTGAAGAGGGTAATGTCATCGAGTCGCCTACCGGCAGTTAAAAGAGAATGGATGGGTTTCGCGACCCAGTGATTTTATTTTGATTGTAAAACTGCTTGTTATATCCTCGTTCTTCGTATATTGAAAGGCTTTCGACTCAATGATTTCTAGTTGTAAGGGTGCGAAAGATCAGGTCGACCGGCGCGGGCTTCGAGGGCTATAAAGCCAGGATCCAGCATTTGTGCACATATTCACACATGAAGAAGGGAAGCATCGTTGGCATCTTGGTGACTGGATCTGTGAATATTCCAGGCGGCCTAGCGAGAATCTATGTGAAATCGGCATAGGAAGCGGTATTGGCTATCAAGATCTTCGTGAATTCAAATATAATTATTAACATGTTTACTCATCTACATCAAAGAGCCGTCTTCTATTAGTCGAGGTTTGTTGAAAAGTATACCAGAATCTTTCATTTCAAAAGAAAATACTTACTAATGAAATGAGAAGAAAGCTTAAAGTCTCTATATTAATATAGAACATAAGATGCTACGTCGCATAGATAATTCCAATTTGTAACGAGGCTGGAGAAATTGGCAGACTTTCCCCGTGCCGGTCTCAAATCCCCATGAATTGATTGACTAGACAGGATCGTAGTTAAGAAACATCCAAACAGGCCCAAAAGACAACTGATATCAAGATATCTCATCCCAAGCGTCAAAAAATTCCTTAAAGAATTCGTCCAGTCTGTTGAGAGGGTCGCCGTACACCTAATCGAGGAGGTCGGCTAGGAGAAGAAGAGCAAGCCAGATAACAGATTCGAGAGCAGTCATTTCGGATCAAAAGTCTCGGCTCTTGCTACCTCCGACAACGACCCCCGAGACATTTGCGGCAAAAACCAGCGCAGTCCGAGTTGTAGGTGCAGGAAGCTTCACAGGTTTTTTTGTAGTTGCCGTCGCGCGCCTCAAGTTGATCAGCATCGGTATCGGTATCGCCAGCATCGGTATCACCAGCGACGGTGGGGCTCGCAGCTGCCACGATGGCCAGCGCGATGAGGAGAGTGAAGATGAAACGAATATCGAATTTCATGGTGATGGTGGATAGGAGGGTTTGGAGTGGATTTGGAGTAGATTTGGGAGTGGAATTGTACGGGTTCTCAAGATCCTTAAGAATTCAAATGGGTTATCGGTATGATCATCTATCTAGAAGAAAGAGCCCTTTCTTATATGCGAAATGCAGCATTCAGCATGCCGGAGTCCTCCGCTTCGAATGCAGGATTTCAGTCCAGGAAGATGGAAGTTCCCAATTTTCATACGAATGCCGGGGTCTTCCACAAAATTTGGACCAGGTAATTTATCATGTTGCCTGATAGAAGAGGTTTCTGTAGCAACAATATTACAGGTGAATCCTATATCCTGAAGGAAATATCTGCATGAGTGTATTCATGATCCCGTATGTAGCGGTGAATCTCTAATATGTGTGAATTGAGGCCATAATTTGAGATTGCAGGGATATGGATGGTTACATATCCTAGCAGGGGTATAGTCAGTTAATTAGCAGGATTTCATCATACCATGTCCACATTAATTTGGAAATTTTAAATGTGTATCATTTTTGTTCTAGCATGCCAGTCGATTTGACCAAGCTTAGCCCTAAATTCACACCACTCCAAACCGGGATATCCATGTGGTTCCTCTCAGGTCAAGCCCTGCGAGGATCGTGTCTATCATGTCTTAGATCCCAACCCCACATCCCCCGCATTCACGGTCCCTGAAGCATAGCAACGTGTCCCCTGCTGAAGAAGCTGGCAGGAAGTCCAATCAACTAACCATATAACATGGGACATGAAACATGAGAGTTGACCCTACCAACTGTGGCCACCAGTCAATTACCTCGCTTAAATTTGCCCAGAAACCTTGGTGGCGTCGGCAGTTCATTGTGGAATGTTTCGCAGAGCATTGCGCATCAGTCGGTCTAGGGCTGACTTAGATGATTCACTGCAGGGGAGATACACGTGTCCTGATGATGACCACCAGAGACTGCGCCCACTCTCCGGATGAACCCGGTAACCTTCACAGACAAGAAGGTGGAGAAAAAGGGAAGAAGGAAGATGGGATAAAATAACATATCCAGGCAAGGTTCACCGCCCTCCAGCCGCGGCATATAAGCGGCTCACCGCCTCGCCTCCCCACGGCGATGATTGTTCGTCACTCGCGGATGTCGTGATTGATTTTGCCCTCCTTCCTCCCTCCAGCTGTTCATAGATCTCCTATCCCTTCCTTCCAATTGTCCTGGTTTACTTGTTCTAGACTATTTCCTCACTGGATCCTGTCCGATACCTTCTCTATCCTTTCTTCTCCCTCCGCTTTGATCCCCGGCAACTCTAAACTTGCCTGCATCTCTAGCGGCCCTTTTCTCCCTCCTTCTCCAGTGCTGTATGCCTCCAAGGTCCTCTGCAACTCTCCGCCAGTGGAACGTCAGAGCCCTGCTTTCTCCTGCACCTTATCGCTCCTTTACGCTTTCAGGCGCCCCTGCGGCGATCACCCCTTCTGCCCAATCTATTTCGCCACGGGTCCTCTCCCCTCGTCCTTGCTGGACCCCGTCCTTTCCTCCGTCCTGCTCCCCGTTCCTCAGTGCCTCTTTTTCCACCCGTCCCGCCACCATGGGCTCGATCGATCGCATCACCGAGAACTTGGAGAAGCCGGAAATCGATGACCGATCGTACCGCGTGGTTCGCCTGCCCAACAAGTTGGAGGCACTTCTGGTTCACGACCCGGAGACCGATAAAGCCAGCGCGGCGCTGAACGTAAATGCCGGCAACTTCTCCGACCCGGATGATTTGCCCGGTATTGGTCATGCTTTAGAGCACATGCTGTTCATGGGAACGGAAAAGGTAAGTCTGGACTCATGATTTGTTCTCAGGTGGGGTGGCTAATCAGTTGCGACAACTTCACAGTATCCCAAAGAGAACGCATACAACCAATACCTAGCGGCCCATTCGGGCTCGTCAAACGCCTACACCGCTGCTACCGAGACCAACTACTTCTTCGAAGTGTCTGCCACTTCGACATCGAGTGACGCGTCTTCCAGTGGCACATCTACCCCCAGCGCGGCGAATGGCACGACTTCCACTTCCGATGTCAGCACCGCCGGCCCGTCGCCCTTGTATGGCGCTTTGGATCGATTCGCACAGTTTTTCGTGTCACCTCTATTTTTGGAATCGACCCTGGATCGTGAGCTGAGAGCGGTGGACTCCGAAAACAAGAAGAACCTGCAGAGCGACTTGTGGCGTCTGATGCAACTCAACAAGTCCCTGTCGAATCCCGCTCACCCATACCACCACTTCTCCACCGGCAACCTGCAGACGCTGAAAGAGGAGCCGCAGAAACGCGGCGTCGACGTTCGCAGCGAATTTATCAAGTTCTACGAGAAGCACTATTCGGCCAACCGGATGAAGCTGGTGGTGCTCGGACGAGAGTCCCTGGACGAGATGGAGCAGTGGGTTGGGGAGTTGTTTGCCGGAGTCAAGAACAAGGATCTACCACAGAACCGCTGGGATCACGTGCAGCCGTGGTTGCCCAGCGATATGTGTAAGCAGATCTTCGCCAAGCCCGTCATGGACAGCCGCTCCATTGACATCTTCTTCCCCTTCCTTGACGAGGAGTTTTTGTACGAGTCGCAGCCGAGCCGGTACATCAGCCACTTGATCGGCCACGAAGGACCGGGTAGTATCTTGGCGTATGTGAAGGCCAAGGGCTGGGCCAACGGTCTTTCCGCCGGAGTGATGCCCATCTGCCCCGGTTCTGCCTTTTTCACCGTGTCGATTCGTCTGACGCAGGAGGGATTGAACCAGTACCGCGAAGTTGCCAAGGTGGTGTTTGAGTATATCGCCATGCTGAAAGAGCGGGAGCCGGAACAGTGGATCTTCGACGAATCCAAGAACCTGGCAGAGGTGGAGTTCCGATTCAAGCAGAAGTCTCCCGCCAGTCGCTTCACAAGCCGTCTGAGCAGCGTCATGCAGAAGCAGCTCCCCAGAGAGTGGCTTCTTAGCGGCTCGCTATTCCGCAAGTTTGACCCCGAGTTGATCAAGAAGGCCCTTTCGTATTTCCGCGCCGATAACTTCCGCATGATCATCGTCTCGCAGGACATCCCTGGAGACTGGGACTGTAAGGAGAAATGGTACGGAACGGAATACAAGGTTGAAGACGTGCCTCAAGACTTCATGGCCAGCATCCACGAGGCGCTGGCGACCACCCCCGAGAAGCGACTGTCCGCACTGCACATGCCGCACAAGAACGAATTCGTTCCTACCAGGCTCTCGGTGGAGAAAAAGGAGGTATCCGAATGCGCCAAAACGCCCAAGCTCATTCGCCACGATGACCACGTTCGCCTGTGGTTCAAGAAGGACGATCAGTTCTGGGTGCCCAAGGCCACCGTTCATATCACGCTCCGGAATCCCTTGGTGTGGACCACGCCGGCTAACCTTGTGAAAGCCAAATTCTACTGCGAGCTCGTTCGAGATGCGCTCGTGGAGTACTCCTACGACGCCGAACTTGCCGGCCTAGATTACCATCTGTCCGCCAGCATCTTTGGGTTGGACGTTTCGGTGGGCGGTTACAACGATAAGATGGCCGTGCTCCTAGAAAAGGTGCTGACTAGCATGCGGGACTTGGAAATCAAGCAAGACCGGTTTGATGTTATCAAGGAGCGTCTGACCCGCGCCTATAAGAACGCCGAGTATCAACAGCCGTTTTATCAGGTCGGAGATTACACCCGGTATCTGACTGCTGAGAAGACATGGATCAACGAACAGTACGCGGCCGAGTTGGAGCACATCGAAGCCAAGGACATCGCCTGTTTCTACCCTCAGTTGCTCAGTCAAAACCATATCGAGATTCTTGCCCACGGCAACTTGTACAAGGAGGATGCTTTGCGCATGACCGACTCCGTCGAGACCATCCTTCAGAGCCGCATCCTGCCCCAGTCGCAGTGGCACGTGAGGCGCAACATGATCATTCCTCCGGGATCCAACTACGTTTATGAGCGCACGCTCAAGGACCCGGCCAACGTGAACCACTGCATCGAATACTATCTCTTCATGGGTGACATCACCGACAAGGTTCTCCGGGCGAAGCTGCTGCTGTTTTCCCAGATGACGGACGAGCCGGCATTTGACCAGCTTCGAAGCAAGGAGCAGCTTGGCTACGTCGTCTGGAGCGGTGCGCGTTATTCTGCCACCACCGCTGGTTACCGGGTCATCATTCAGAGCGAGCGCACCGCGCAGTACCTGGAGTCGCGTATCGATGCCTTCCTCGGCAACTTCGGGCGTGATCTGGAGCGGATGACGGACGACGAATTCGAAGGCCACAAGCGCAGCGTCATCAACAAGCGCCTCGAGAAATTGAAGAACCTGAGCTCTGAGACCAACCGTTTCTGGACCCACATCGGCTCTGAGTATTTCGACTTTGTGCAGAACGAGTCCGACGCCGCCAACGTGAGGGCTCTGTCCAAGGACGAACTCGTGCAGTTCTTCCACCAGTACGTCAACCCCGAATCTCCCACTCGGGCCAAGGTTGCGATTCACCTCAAGGCGCAGAGCGGTCCCTACGTGGACGGCGCGGAATCTGGTGAACCCAAGACTCGCTTGGTGTCTGCTCTTGGCAAGCAGCTGGAGGCCGCTGGATTTGCGGTCGACTCGGACCGTCTGTCTGCTGCGTTTGCCAAGCTCGAGGTATCGCCGGGAGCGGAGAGCCAGATTCTCGACACTCTCAAGACCTTCCTGGGCTCCGAAATGAGCCTGTCCGAGCAGCAGATCGAGCCCGTTCTCAAACAGGCAGAGCAGAACTTGGGCGTGCACCTGAAGCAGCTCGGCCTTGAAGAACCGACGACCAACGGAGAAGCCAAGGCTGGCGAAGCTCAGCACCCGACCTACATTACCAACGTGCCCGAGTACAAGGCGCGTCTGGCCGTTAGTGCCGGGCCCAGCCCGCTCACCGATCTGAGTGAATTTGAAGACTTTGATGCGAAACTTTGAGCGAGATAGACATGATGTTACTATGTATCGGTTGGATTGGATGAACAATTGGTTGAGGTTGGGTTTGGGTTAGCATATTCTGGATCTAGTCGGATTTGCTGGGATCTAGCATTGGGGATGGCATGTAGCACTAGAGATTCAACATTCTTGAATATTCATTTGACGATAGTCTCATACCAGGTCATAGCCATTGTAGGGCTAGTAGGGGTTGACTGTCTAACATGTCACATTGCTAGAGTAGTTTGAATAGACATTAGTCGATGAAGAACTACCTAGAACTGAAGACATTCTACAGCGGGTAGATGGAATGCCTGGCAGCCTCAGGAAGTCACTTCAGGCTGCCACTTCAACACGGATTGGCAGCAATTGGAAAACATGAGATATTGGAAAGTATAATGGCTGCTTGGGCTACTAGGCTACCTGATTACTATCTTAGCATCACGGCTTGGCGTGAGCTTCCGTTTATCTCGTTTGTTAAACCAGCCATATCATTTATCACTCTACTTAACAATTTATACATCCATGCGACGGAGAGAGCACATTACATGCAACGAAGCGACCAATACCCCTAATATTTACAAAACATGACTCGTTCAACCTCTCCAGCCACCGGCACATACTCACAGATACCCATGAAATCTCACTGACTCCCCACTGGCCGAAAACGCATCATCAACGGCGCCTTCTTCCACAACTGCTTCAGTCTCGCCTGATCAACCCAATCCCCGCCAACATCGTCGCCATCCAACTCCCAATCAAACGCAAGCACCGTCTTCGCCAACGCGATCCGCATCTCCACCCACGCCAGCGTCGTCCCGATACACATCCTGGGCCCGATACTAAACGGCACCGTATACGGCTTGACAGGGACATCGAGCCACCGCTCGGGAATGAATTTATCCGGAAACTCGCCCACCGTGCGCGCATCGTGATGAATCGTCCAGACATCCGCGGCGACGTACACGCCTTCGGGAACAAACATGCCGTCGACAGTCTCGCCGCCCACGGGGCTCACGCGCGGCGGACCGACAGGCGAGGGCGGGAACATGCGCATCGTCTCTTCTAGGACGGCGTTTAGGTACGGCAGACGGGCGGTGGCGTCGCCAGTCGCTTCGGCGGGGGAGGTACCGAAGGCGGCCCGCACTTCGGCCCGCAGACGCTGGAGACAGCCCGCGTGCTCGGGAAGCGACAGGTACCACAGCGCAGCGGTGAGGGCCGTCGCGCTGGTCTCTGCGCCGGCGGTCAGCATGACCATGGCCTGGTTAGCGAGGTCCGTGTCCTTCATGCCACCGGCGCGAATAGCATGAGCGAGAAAATCGTCGACGACGGTGTCCGTGGATTTGCTACGCGCAGGACCGACCTCGATACGCTTCCGGGTCTTCGCGAGCGTCATTGCGCCATGACGAGTAATGGAGTCAACGGCTGCACGAGCCGTAGGCGAAACATACGGCATCCAACGCAACAAGGGACCGACGAAAGCGAGACGTTTACGCAGGTTGAAGATAGACCCGCTATAGGTAGCATCGAGGAGGATTGAGACCCACGGATGGCTTTTATTATCGCGGGTCGCGTTGAACGATTCCCCGAATGTGAGTTCGCCGATGATATCGAACGTGAGCCATTCGAACCACTTAGACACGTCGAGCGGGACAGCACCGTCGCGGCCGCGCGCAGCGAGCTGCTTCACCCACAGGTCGACGTGGGCGTGGACGATCGGCTCCTGGGTGCGCACAGCAGAGGGACGGAACTGAGGCGCGAAGATACGGTGCTGGCGGGCGTGTTCCTCTGGGTCACGTACGAAGGCAATGTTCGGGTGACCGTTATCATAAAAGCGGTCGGATTTCGGGAAGAGCTTGCGGGTCTTGGAAGGGGCGCCGTAGATGTCGCGGAAGGCTTGGGCGGTTGCGAAGGAAAGTTCGTTGGGCGCGATGCGCACGATGTCTCCGTAGCGACGGTGGGCGTCTTGGATCTTGCGGTTCCAGAACCCGCTTGTCCATGCGGAGGCGTACCAGAGCTCGGAGACGGCGGCGAGTGGCGGGCCGGGGTATTTGGATAGGGGATGGAACCAGTAGAGGTAGGCGTAGGAAGCGAGCCAGTATGCTGAAACAAGGATCGCCGCGCCTACTGTGAGAGCTGCGGGGGATAGGGAGAAGAGAATTTCGAGTGTCATGTTGACCAGTGCCTGCCCAGCGTCAATGTGACGAGTGCTTCACCAGGAAACCAGAGACAGGTCCAAGAGAAGAGTGTCCCGACATATGAGGGATATTAATGGAAAAGGAAGACGGTGTCATTATAAATCCATTTGCTGTGGACAGCGCAGACACCCCGACCAGTTCTTACCAGACCCACGCTGCTCGGGGCACATTTAACGGAGTACGGAGTACTTTTTCTTGCCTATAAAAAGGCGAAGGCAACCTGGAAGCCTGCCAATTCGCGGATTGTGCATGACTCGGAGATGGTGGGGATATGGCGTGGAGGAGGAAGTGGGTCGACAGTTTCATCAGACAAGGCGAGAGGTCACTACTGTATAGACTGGGATAGTGAATCCTCCGAGTCTCCAATAATGACGCTAAGTCAAAAGTACCGGTCAGTAGCTGCATCCTGTGACCTGCCGAGACTCCTTAGGTGTAATGCGGGCTTTGCCATCCTTCGAGGGCATTTCTCGTTGGATCGCCTAGCCGATGCTGCTGTCCTAAGTACAAGGATCAGAAATTGTCGAAATGATGCATCCACTACCAGGGCTATAGGCCCTACGCCTCATATCGATGGTGTGGTAATGAGATTATAGAGAAAACCGATCTCTGGCCCCCTCAGCCAAGGATATAGTTGGTCAGTCTAGCAAGCCCTAACCCAGCGATCCGTTGCCCTTTATAGCGCTAGACACCCCATGAAGCCAGCCCAGGGAGCCCACCCGAGCCCCCCAAGCCACCACTGGTCCATTTCAGTCCCGATCAGTTAGGTGCTGGTTTAGCGCCTCGAACCCCGGTCAGGGGCGTCGGGGCTCTGGGACAACACGTCCCCCTTCCGGGCTCTGAGAGGCCAACGGTCCAGGCATCGGCCCGCAGTGGAGCAGTGGGACCAAACCAACCGTTGCCGATCCGAATTGACAGCTGCTCCGTGCTGGGATTGCAATCCTATTTGCCTCTAGGGCATGTGCCAGGATATATGCCAGGATCCTGTTGAATACCGATCGTCTAGTCTCTCCTTCGGTTGTTTCGGTCAGTAATAGAAGTCTTTAGCCTGTAGGTCATAGGTAGAGAAGAGACCTATCATAATCTTCCCATACCTTTCAGTCCTCCTGATACTTTAAAACGCCGCCTTACCTGCTTGGTCCTCGTGCGTGGCGCGCGAGCGAACCCAGTTTGAAATCATGGCTTCCTCCTCGATGTACATGGCTGACCCCCCGGCGGGCGTGCGACGGTTCGATGGCGATACTCTTCAGCCGAATATGGCGGCGTGTGGCATCACTACGGCGTTGATTGCCTTGGCTGTGGTTGGGCTGCGTCTGTATACTCGATTCTTTCTCACGGTGGCCCGATTTCAGGTCGATGATGGTAATTGTTATCTGAGTCAAAGGCAGAACGTGAATGGTCAGACAGCTAATGTTCACTTTCTTGGACAGTCTTTGTCTGCTGCGCTGCAGTATGCTCTATCATGCTGATACCTATCTCGTTCAGGAGTGAGTAAACCCGGGGCTGCTCTAGTGGGAATCTATCAGCACCACCGGTGGCTAACCGAGCGATTTACATCATCTAGTCATGGAAGCCGGCGTAGGTCTGCACATGTGGAACGTGACAATGGCGCAGTATAACCCAGCGCTCGGAATCGTGAGTAGCATAGATCCGAACCACTCTTTCCCAATAGCAACAAGGAAAGCAACAAGGCTAACAAACCCATCCAACAGTGGACACTCATCACAACCATCTTCTACGCCTGGGCCGTAATCTTCTCCAAACTTTCCATCCTCGCATTCTACCTCCGCCTCTCCCCACAGCACTGGTTCCGAGCGCTCACCTTCACCCTGATGGGAATCGCCACAGCCTACGTCCTCCTATACACCTTCCTCTTCATATTTCGATGCAACCCGATCGCCAAGAACTGGGACGTGACCATTACACACGGCACCTGCATCGACACGAGCACAGTAATGACCGTACTCAGCGTCGCCAACATCGTAATGGACGTATTAACCCTCCTCCTCCCGATTCCCGTGATAATGCGTCTGAACATGCGCCTCGCACAACGCATCTCCGTCATCCTGATCTTCTCATCTGGTATCTTTGTCTGCGCGATCGCCATTCAACGCACGGTGCAGATGCTGCAAGCTCTAACATCAGCAGACTATACGTGGGACATCACGGAGCAGTTCTACTGGTCGTACATCGAGGTCAACGCGGGGATACTGTGTGCGTCGGTTCCGGCCTTGAAGCCGTTTGCGAAACGCCATCTAGCGCCGCTCTTTGGGTCTTCGCAACGGTATCATGATGGGAATGGTGGGGCGTCTGGGGGGCCTCAGCCTCCGGGTCAGAGCTCGGAGGCGATTGTGTTGGGGGTTACGCCGAAGAGGTCGAGTTATACAAGGTTTTAATCCTGGTTTTTGGAGATGAACAGTGGAGTTAAGACTCGAGATGAAGGTCAGATTGGATAGAAATGGAAAAAATTTGACTCGATCTAGGATATTTTCTGTATATATTAAAACTGCTCATTTAATTGGAAAAGTTATCACTTATTTTACTGACATCTGCCCACGTCTTGATTCTGACTACGCTTAGCGGTTCTGAGGCATTCGCCAACCACACAATAATGCTGATTAGGGCTGAACTCGGTGGGGTAGAGTTGTAGTATAGTTGATTCTAGAACAGTTCTAAAAATGTCAAATTATCTGATAACCCTGCGCACTTCGGTGCGCTAAAAGGTGATGAAGCGAAGTCAGTAGATAATGCTAGTATGTGACTTTGCCGACTCTCAACTGCATGAGATGCCTGACTTTCTGCATTAATAGCCCTTTATAAAGGGAGTCATACCAAGAGGTCTATACCGATATTCACGATAATGATAACCTTTACCACTTCCCATGTAGAAACTGAAAGCCTAATGGCTGTATATCATTGCGGAAAGCTTTGATAAACTGAAATTGGCCGCATAACTGAAAGACAGAACTGCTCCTGGAGAGCTGCCTACCCCCTAAAACAAACATTTGGATACCGTTTAACAAACCCCAAAAGACATGGTATCCCTAATAATGACCCATGTTGCAGTATAGCCTCTCGCTTGCCTAATGTGGCTTAGTGCACACATGACCCACGATGGGCTTTAGCCAGTCAGCAGTCTTCGAGATCTTTCATCAATTCACACCACCCACTCTACTCACACCTGCAGTTCCGTCAACCCATTTTCGATCTAAGGAGTGACGATATTGAAGTTAGGATCACCCGGATCAATCAGCGATGAAAGAGTATCCAATGCCCCGGTGTCCCCATCAATCTTAACACCCGCCTTCTCCAGAGCCTCCGGATCAGGTCCATAAACCGCCAGCGCAGTCAGCTGCTTCGCCGTGCCCGTCAATGTCACATCGGCGGTGCCGGACTGCGGAGTCGTGCTGTAAATAAGCGCGCCGTTTGACAGCCACACACGATAGGTGACCTCCGTGCCAGTAACGACAACGTCGATAGCCAATTTCTGATCCCAGGCCTTGGGCCCATTAATCTGAACCGCGAGGGAGTCGAAGAGCATCTCGGGGGTAAGCTGCCCGACGACATCAGGCGAGGCTGATTGTGTCGGGGTCCCGAAGTTTCCATCTCGCAGCTCCGTGGTTCCTGAGATGTAAAAGTTTCTCCACGTGCCGTTCTCCGCGCCATAGCCCAGCTGCTCGTAGACATCGGCCAGGAGATCCTTAGCCTCTGCGTCCTTCCGAGTTCGCAAAGACAACATGGTTAAGGACCTCCGCTGCCCAGCGGTAGTCGCCGTCGTCGAATGCATCACGGCTCTTGCGTATCATTCGACCCTCTCCGCCGGCGAGCTCAACGTACCGCTTCGCCTTCTCGACTGGAGTGTGCTCCCATAAATGGGCTGGGTTGCCGTCGAACCAACCGCAGTAGCGTTGGTAGATGGCCTTCACGTTGTGATTCAACGAGCCATAATACCCGCGAGCACTCCAGGTCTTGTCCAGCGCCGGCGGTAGAGTCATCATCTCCGCGATCTCAGGACCGTTGTATCCCTGGTTCAGAAGACGGAGGGTCTGGTCATGCACGTACGCATACAGATCACGCTGAGAGGTGAGGAAGCTGACGACATTGTCAGCACCCCAAGTCGGCCAGTGATGGGACGCAAAGACGACCTCAGCTTTGCCGCCAAAGAGGTCAATAGTCTCGGTCAAGTACTTGGACCAGGCATGCGGATCACGCACCACCGCTCCACGCAATGTAAGAATATTGTGAAAGGTATGGGTGGCATCCTCGGCTGCACACAGCGCCTTGAACTGGGGAAAGTAGAAGAGCATCTCGGAAGGGGCCTCGGTGTCCGGCGCCATCTGGAACACAATCTCGACGCCATCAATAATTCTCCGCTCTCCTGTGCGTTTGATCTCCACGTTTGGCGCGATCAGTGTCACGGTCCCGGTTGAGACGGTCTGTCCGAGCCCCGCGCCGATCTGAGCCCTCGGGCCCTGTTTGAGGGCGGCACCGTACATGTATGCAGCGCGACGGCTCATGGAAGTACCCGTAAAAACATTCTCGGAGACAGCATGCTCGAGGAAGCCCTCGGGCGCAAGGATCTTGATGTCATTTGCCTCGACATCCTCTTCCTTGATAAAGCCTTTCACGCCACCAAAGTGGTCAACGTGGGAGTGTGTATAGATGATAGCCTTGATGGCCCTGTCCGTGCCACGGTGTGCCTGGTAGAGAGCGAGGGCCGCGGCGCCAGTCTCCTCCGAGGTGAGAGGGTCAATGATAATCAGGCCCTCGTTGCCTTCAATGATCGTTGTATTGGAGAGGTCCAGCCCGCGCACTTGGTAGATGCCATCGGTGACATGATAAAGCCCGTCCAGGTGCGCAAGCTTCGACTGGCGCCAGAGGCTCGGATTAGCCGTGTCTGGCGAGTCCGTCTTCAGGAAGTGGTAGGCGTCGTTATCCCAGATGACATCGCCGTTGTCATTCTTGATCCTGTTGGGGTCGAGGCGGCACCGGAAGCCCTTCTCGGCATTCACGAAATCGCGCTTGTCGTCGAAGGGCAGACTTTGTCGGACCTTTTCCTGTTGGTCGATGATAAACTGGGTGGCTGGTTTGGATTCTATCATAGCGAAGGTTGACTTGTTAAGCTTGGGGGGCTTAGAAGATGAGGAAGTGAGATCTGTGGTGCGTTCGGAGTCAATGGAATGACAGTCTCAATTGCTACCGGACCTAGGGTTATTTATGCTGATTGCGGAGAATATTTCGGGGGATATGCAAAGCCACGATGTAGTACTGACATCACGGAGCTAACTACATCAGCTTCGCATGAATGAATCCGAGGCGGGGTATCTCTAGCTTCAACTTGTGGCATCGCTTCTCAGCTGAGCTCTGTCTGAGACAGATCGAATCCAGGCTCAGCTTAACTTCAGCTCAGCTTCAGCCGAGATCAGAAACCCCTCTTTCGCTAACCTATTTCATGCATGCAGGATCCGGAGATCGAGATCCAATCTTCACTTTCCTTACTAACAGGCTCACTCAACCCCTCTTGACAGGGGTCCTACGTTGCGTTGCATGTGTTGGTATATTTGATATACGTGGCTGCTGAATATTATAGGTCCCTTCACGCTATAGGATCGACAGACTGCGAGTTACACGGTTACAATCACAGAGCTGCTTTCGGCGAACGCCCGTTTCAATCAAATCAGCCAGCCAACTTGCTCCATAAAGGTAGCAAGCATGTGAGTAGGAAAGATGGACCCAAGGGTAGCAAGAGCTAAATATCTCCCATGTCCTTCCTCTGGCCTTCCTTCTGAACACTTCCTATCCCGCATCACAGAAACCTCTTCGGTACCATCATCATGCCTCTCCCTCAAATCACCGAGTAAGTCACCAGAATTTCCTGAACTAAAAGGGCCCAACAATCTAAACCCTAAGCCAGCCAAGCGCAGCTTGACAGGGCCATCAACGACCACAAGTCAAGCATCATAATCTTCTCGGCTATATGGAGCCCTGTAAGCGAAGCAACCAAAGATAACTTCGAAAAGTATGTCTGTCCCTTTCTCTTCCTTTTGACCTGCTTTGAGATACTTGTCTTGAGCACTCTTCGCCCCTCTCTTTCAGGTGGATTTCGTATTAATGAGACCTTCAAGAGCCGGCGCCAAGTATCCGGCGGTATACCAGGCCTGGATCAGCATCGATGAGAATGCAGACCTGGCGCAGAAATACGACGTCACTAGTATTCCGACTACAATTGGATTCAAGGATGGCGCCCAGGCGGCGAAGTTCATCGGGCCTCAACTAGTGGAGCCGCAGGTTGAGGATTTCATCCGGAAGGTACTCTAGATGGAGATTCTGGATTGCCCTTCCTTGAGTGTGTGTGTGTGTGTGCGTGTGTGTGTGTGTGTGTGGGATATTGGATCGAGGATGTTGACTCACGAGTATGCATGATGAAGTTTGCAATTGGGTATAAGAGGAGTAGAAACAGGTATTACTCATAAGTTTGCGATCCTTCTGGTTCTTAGGCCGATAAAGGGAGTAGACCCCACCAACGAAATTCATTGTCATTCCACTCGTAGGTTCTGCGACTCCATGCTTCCCAGTCAATGATATAGCTATAATAGCAGAAGAACATAAGCTTCCTGAATAGGCATTCAAAAAGTGATTCAGGTACTCACCATTTCAGTTTATCCCCATTCAAAACAATATTCAATAGATCATTACTCAGATTCACAAAGCCATACTTCTGACATTCTCTTAGAAGCCATATTAGCCGAAATGCCCGAGATAGAAGATAACATAAGATTAACCCACTGATATGATTCTTTAAACGCCTTTCGTATATCATCCTGTTCCATAGGACTCAAGCCACGGAGATACTTCCTAGAAAGGGAATCCCTCCCACTCTCCTCATGACAAAATAATCCACGAACCCATCCGGCACCCAACCATCGGAAGTCTCATTCTCATGCTTCGAGGTAATATACTTCGGTGTGCATGAACAACCAGCGAGTGTCAATGCCTCTAATGCCCTGATCTCCTGCAAGGTTCGACCACAAATTTCCGTTTCCGGTGGTTGGGAGCATAGCGAGTAACGTGGTTTATTTTCGGGGCTGTTTGGTATCCTATGATACGTCAGATAGATCCATGTTCATGTTTATTAGAGTGTTAGAGTAGGCGCACTGCATTCGAACTTCCATGATAGCCTGCATTGAGCCCTTGATTTCTTCGCAGACGAAAATACTGGTTGATTCCGAGTACAGGCCTGAAAAGACATATTCGTCCTGTGAAAAGCGAGATTCATGTTCTTGGAGCTTCTGGATTATCTTCCACGAACATTCAGGGTTTTCGAAATGAATGGTCTGTCCTAGCCATTTGGGAACGAACCAGTATGTGTCCTTGTGCGAAGTCATGGTAGGCAAGTTGGAGAGCCTGAGATACGAAATGGCTAGTAGATGTCTGCTATGCGGTCAAGAGGGTCTTATAGCTCTTTAAATAAGCGCCAACCTAACCAGAGAGCAAGGACTCTTTTCCGCATTCTTAACCTTGCATTTTTACGCATTTTGGAGACCAATCAGGAGCTACGGGTTTCTAGGCTTCCACAACCAATTCGGCCTTGAGACTTCTGCCTGCGCACCATACTGTGAAATCACGCACCATACTGTGAAATCATTCCATGAGAGTAGCAGCAGTCTAGCCGCCCTTTCACAATAAAGGCACAGTAGGCACCATCCGGGGGTAATGTTGGGTCGCCTTGAGTGATGTAGGGGTAGACCTGATGTTACGGCTGGGGGTTATCCAGGTTTCCGCTAGAAATGTACTCCTTTGAAGTAGTCACTCCGGGATCGACCAAGGTCCATAATCTTTGTTCTTTAAGACATCCTCATCGCGTCGAGACGTGGGTTCCTAGGACCCTTGGTGCAGTGGAGACTTGATAAAGCCATTCAATTGAGATGCACAGCTGAAGCATCTCTATATAGTGATGTATCCTCTCCATATAAGATATTCGAAAGGATAAGGAAAGAACCAGGAGTTACAATTACACCAGTATGAAAGAGTGGAAGAAGTGGTCAAAATGTGGTCTGTATTGAAGCATGCGGTAACTAGTTATCACATCTTAGTCAGCTAGCAAGCGGACACGGAACAACAATTCCGCGGAGCGCTCAGCTGGCCGATAGCCGCAGCAAGTAACAGTCGACAAAGCTCCGCCAACTCGCCGCATCGGAGTGCGACCAGAACCACCGTACGCCCTGGATTAGCTCAGTTCCTTTACTCATCTCGCCTAGAATTTCAGCCATCCTATCCTCTAACCAGAAGAGTCTTGTCGGCATTAGAAAATGTCGACCACAACAACAACGACAATGCAGAGCTCTCGCCCGTACGTCCGCCCTGACGCCCGGCATGGGTTCGAGCTCCCTGAACTTGAATCTCATATTCTCAAATGGTCTCTGTTTACTGATTTGTTCTGCAAACAGACCTGTCCTCCCTCGAGACTTTTCCGCCCAGCAACCGCAGACCATCCGTCTCTACCCCCTCTCCAACTACACATTCGGTACCAAGGAAACGCAACCCGAGGAGGACCCGTCCGTGCTTGCGCGTCTAAAGCGTCTCGAGGAACACTACGAGCAGTATGGCATGAGACGCACCTGCGAGGGCGTTCTCGTCTGTCACGAACACAACCACCCGCACGTGTTGATGCTGCAGATTGCCAACGCGTTCTTTAAACTGTACGCCATCACCCCATCACATCTATCTCTAGTCGACTAGAGCCGGCAAAAAAGGCAAAAGAGGAACCTAGTTAACAGGCATGACAACAGACCAGGCGATTACCTGCAATATGACGACGACGAAGTAGACGGATTCAAGAAGCGACTGAACGAACGCCTTGCGCCCGTCGGATCGCAATTCTCGGGCGAGGGCGTCAACGAGGACTGGGAGATCGGCGACACGCTGGCGCAATGGTGGCGACCGAACTTCGAGACCTTCATGTACCCGTTCCTGCCGGGGCACGTTACCCGGCCCAAGGAGTGCAAGAAGTTGTATTTCATTCAGCTGCCTAAGAAGAGTGAGCCCCCCTGCCCTTTCCCGCCGATGATCGCCGTGATGTAAGGCGCGATGGATTGATTCTCACGACGATATGCAATAGAGGTCCTCTCCGTCCCTAAGAACATGAAACTTCTCGCCGTGCCGCTCTTCGAACTGTACGACAACACCGCCCGATACGGTCCCCAGCTCTCCGCCATCCCGCACCTCCTGTCCCGGTACAACTTCGAATTCGTGGACGAGAACGACAACGTGGTCGCGGCCACTCCGGGCACGCCGTTCCCCCAGAACCCCAGCACGAAGGTCCTTGCCGGAGATGACGGCGACGGACAGGACGAGGGCATGGCAGATTACAACGCGGAGGGGACCGAGAACGGCGGAACGAACGCGCAGTGAGGTTAACCCCTCATTTATCTACGGAGTTGTTCGTAGTAGTTAAGGGAAAAAGAGAACTAGCTGCATATGCAGACCGGACTCTGCAGGGGTCAGGGGCAGACGGTGAGAGGGTTGCATTCCAATGGTTGGCAAGTGTGGAGCGCTTCCCCTATTCAATTCGCAAATCGCAAATGTCTCGGTGGGTTCAACTTGGCTTTCTAAGGGACACATGACGAGATCATTCCATATATGGCCGGCGTTTTTAAGGAGCGAGAACAAGTGTTTTTCAGATAATCACCCAATTTAATCCTTTCGTGGGAAGTGAGACATTGCTGTGCCTGGAACTGTCTACGAGGGTAGAAAGTACCGGATATGATGGAGTAGGATCCTATTCATGGGTAGTCAGCCATACTCCGCTTGCCCAAGGCTGCGGCCGCCCGTCAGACTTTAGGCCAGGTACACGGTGCAGACAGCTGCAGACAGGGTCAGGCAACCCCATTTCGCTCCTGCTTACCTCAGACCATCATGAAGTCGCAAGTATGAAACGTTCCAGAATACATTCATGACAATAACGGCAGCGAGAAACCGACGGAAGCGCAGGAAGACTAGTTCAAAGCTTAGATAACAGCGATCAGGTAATACGAAGTAAATCATGACTATCATAGCTAAGGCTAGTTAGTGGTCGCGTTGTATCTGTCTGCCTAAGCATCATCCCACGGCAGAGAGATTGAGAAGGAATGAACGTCCGCTGCCGTTGGTGGAGACGCTATTCAAAACACGAACGCATGCCCAGCAGAATCCAGTATAGGGCAGATTGACCGCTCCGGAAGAAGCAAAGAAATCAGTCGATCAATGTCAGGTAGGATCGGATCAGAGCATCAACCATCCGAGGGATCCGCGATCGTGAGGAACAGACGGACAGACGGAGAAGCACATGCAAAAACGAAGCCCTAAGAAGGACCGAGATAGAGAAACAGGAGCGTCAAGGTATGCAGAATCTCATCACCAAACTGCGGAGTACATACCTAGTGGACTACTAGGCTCATGTACACGCATTGTCTGCCGGCTTCTATACTCCATATGGTCCTCCGCACGGAAAACTACTCCTCCCACCGAGCAATTAATATAATAAACATTGAACAATCAAGGCCGGACCTCCTGCTAACCCGTGCTAAATAGTCGACCATTCCTGCACGCCGGACGGACATCTCCACCTGGACTCCGGGGAAGGAGAAACGTCGGGGTAATAATTAATTAATGTGCGCGAGTAAATGAATAACGGCTGCAGAGTGCCTAGTCTGCATATCTTATTCTTCAGATTTAGCGCAACTAGTATAGTAGGGAGCACTGCCATGTCGGCGTAAGATGACAACAATTAGTAGACGCCATCAGCAGTCGCCAGTCCTGTCAGCAACAAAATAATATAATCCACACAAGAATAACTTCGAGTCCGGTCCTCGAGGCACAGCTAAAAAACAAGGGAAATCCTTCCGACAGGCACGCCCTCCGTCCAACCAGCTCGTCGCAGCCCGTAGACTAAGAACTACTAAACCCCTTGGCAGCGCGAGATCATCGTGAAGAGAACCACCACTCACATGCACCGGGATGATCCTTGGATGGGGAGTGTTGTCTCTGGAGTTGTTTGATTTGCTCGATGCGCTGTTTTTTGCTTTTTCCCTGTCTCTTCTTGACTCTCCGAGAGACAGTCCGATTTCAACCTTTTCTGTTCTCCTTCACCGTCTATGCGCCCACCCCCCCCCTCCATTCCTGCGCCCCCATTCGCTCGTATCCCTTGCAAACGCCAAACAAACGGGGGAATGTCACCCATCGGAGCTCCGGTTCCTCTGGCACTTGCATCGCCTGAAGGAAGACCGGGCCAAGCAGACGAAAGGGCCGTGTGGAAATGGATACGGTGGACCGAGACTTGACCATCCTGGTGTCCGCCAGTACGAGGCTTTTTCCTTTTTTCTGTTTTTCCGCTGGTTCCTTCTCACGCACTTTTTCTTATTATTATGAGAGAATATTAGAAGGATATTATTTTTCTGAATCTATTTCCTTCGTGAACCAATCTCTAGCTTCTTTCCTACCCCGCTCGTATCCGGGCCAAGTAAACTAGGTGGATGTTACTAGGGGAAGGGCTGAAAAGGAATGAGAGACATGGTCAGTTGATAGGGTCCGTTAGAATGCATGGTCCTGGGAGGAATGTGTATATAAAGGGGGAGAGAACCAGGAGGGAGGAAGTTCTGTAAAGCACACAGTCAATCGGTCAGCCTTGCGAGCCAGCCATCCTGTGGGAGTTGAATTTCATCTTCGATTAAAGGAGGTTCTATCTTGTCTTTTCTTATTTGTACTCTTCTCTTTGCTTGCTGTGCTGCCTTTCGGTTGGTGGTTGCTATTCTTATTTATCATAATTTTTTGTCCCAGTATAAGAAAGGATAAAGCAAGATGGTCTTCGCTTCTCTTGGACGGGTCCTGGCGATCACGGCCTTGGTAGGGCTGGGTGCTGCTGCTCCGGCGAAGTTGACTTCGAGAGGTACGTTCTGAGCATCTATGCATGCGAGCTCTTACCTATCTATAATTTATCCATTGCCTCGTGTTCTGTCGTGCTCTTCGACTGTATCCATGTCACTCCCGCATGTCATACATGGTCCCGCCGTTATTCTACACGAACATGTCTAGCCCTAACTCCGAATAACAACAACTAACAAGCTAAACCAGATGTCTCCGCCGACGTTCTGCAACAATTGAACCTGTTCGCAGAGTACTCAGCCGCTTCATACTGCACCTCGAACATCGACTCCCCCGGCGACAAGCTAACTTGCTCGGCGGGCAACTGTCCATTGGTCGAGAAAGCCGAGACGGAGACATTGAGTGAATTTTCCGGGTACGTATCTCCCAAACCTCCTACACCCATCTACTCAACCCGCTAACGCAACTCAGGAGCGACGAATTCGGCGACGTAACCGGCTTCTTCGCCGTCGACTCGACCAACAAGCTCCTGGTCCTGGCCTTCCGCGGCTCCCGCAGCATCGACAACTGGATCGCCAACCTGGACTTCGGGCTCGACAAGGTCGAGGACCTCTGCGCGGGCTGCGAGGCGCACGGTGGCTTCTACAAGGCCTGGCAAGCCGTGGCCGACGACATCACGGCCAGTGTCAAGTCCGCGACGGCGCAGTACAAGGGCTACAAGCTCGTGTTCACGGGTCATAGCTTTGGTGCTGCGCTGGCAACGTTCGCGGCGACTGCGTTGCGAAACGACGGCTATGAAATCGACCTGGTATGTTTTGCACCCAGCCCATCTCCCCGGACAGACAAACAAACACCCGAATCGAGGATGATGAATCCATGCTAACAAGCGAAAAGTACTCCTACGGCTCTCCCCGTCTCGGCAACAAAGCCCTGGCTACATACATCACGGGCCAAGGCACCAACTACCGCGTCACGCACACAAACGACATCGTTCCGCGTCTCCCTCCCTCGCTCTTTAACTTCACCCACTGGAGTCCCGAGTACTGGATTACCAGCGCTAACGGTGTCACTGTCACCTCTGCGGATATTAAAGTCGTCGAGGGCGTGGGATCGAGGGACGGTAATGCCGGCGAAAAGAACCAGAGCGTGTTGGCGCATTCCTGGTATTTTAACTCAATTTTCAAGTGTCTATAGATTTGAGGTTATAGGTTGGGTGCTAATAGTGTATATATGCGGATTTTGGTGACGCGTGGGGTGTCTGCTACGGTACTGATTTATAATATGCTGGAATACGAAATATTTTAATACGTGTACCTTGTCCTTTCGAGCTTTCACTGTTGCTTTGATTCAAAGCCTAAAAATGCTACGAGGTATCAAGGCTAGAATGTAGGCGAATCCTCGAAAATCCTACATGAATCCAAACCATCGATGGTCATGAAGGTGGTGTTTGTTGACGATGATGCATGGTTGCCTGAGGCATTTATTATTTGCTTTTGCCAAGAATTCGCGTTTCCTTCACCCCCGCAGATACGGAGACCTCCTCTCCCGTTCCACCTGCCTACATGATCATCTCACATCATTGGATTCATTCATCTTGATTTCCACCAAAGCCATCCATGTATCGATGCATCAACAGTTGTTGGGAAGGAAGAGAATGCCCTAGATTGCATGCACTAGGCAAATGCGAGATGCTTGGCAGATGGAATCATTTACGAATCAAACATCCAGAAAAGATCGCGAGATATCCTCAACTTCCGAAATCAGTAAAGCGAAACCTGAAGGGATGAATGAGTATGGCCTGAGATCATAGGCCCTGGGAAGCAGCAGTCCGACCAAAGGTAATGAAAACAAGGAAAGACTGGATGGCTGATGACCATATCGATTGTTGTTGAATTGATGTAGGAAGAAATATGTTTTCAAGGTAGTGCATCCATGAATTGATCAACAGGAGGGGGAATGCAAACAGAGAATTGCAGAAATGTTTACCCGTGCATACATCGGCGCAAAGTGGTGATCGTGAAGCTGTTCCGAAACGGGCAACATCCTGAGGCAAAGGAAATGAATCCGCAGGAACTCCAGCTTGCACCTGAGGTATTTAGATGCCTAAGGTTACTATCTAAATTCCCCAGTAAGTTACCCAGTGACAGTTTCTTGATTCTTACATGGCTTCCGAGAGCATGTTCACCAGTAAAAATGGCAATGCATCGCATCGTCGGGCAGTGAAAATATCCATTCACCCAGCTGTTTGTCGCCGAGACGTTCGTCCCACTCAAGCCAAACCCCTCTCAAAAGGACGCTGATGGGACTTCTTCCTCTCTTGCCCATACAATACTCCCTCCCGTACATCCTCTGCCCTCAGAGCATCCCACAACTTCCATCTCCTCTTTCTTGCCTTTCCATATCTCATCCACTTCCACCACGAGTTCGTTTCCACATACTCTCGCCTATCCATATTGAGACATTAGAGGCCCCCTTTGGAAACCTTGGGAAAGCAACTTCCAAAATGACGGGCCCAGCCACCGACAATAAACAACGCAAGCCCATCGTCATAGGCCTCTACGGTGTCCCAGGATGTGGAAAGTCCTACCTCCTCCACAAGCTCAGCGAAGAGCTTGACACAGACTCCTTCTCCTTCTACGAGGGCTCTGAAGAAATCGACTCCGTCGCCCCAGGAGGTCTCAATAACTTCAAGCTCATGCCTGAAAATCAGAAGGCACAGTGGCGTGGCGAGGCCATCATGAAAATACAGCGTGAATGCATTCAGAACGGGAAAGTGGCCATCGTGACAGGACACTGTATGTTCTGGGAGAAGGAAGATGACAGCAGAAGTCATGTCATCACCGCTGCTGATCTGAGTGTCTACACGCATGTCGTATACCTTGATTTCCCGGAAAACATCGTTCTTCAGCGTCGTTTGGAGGATCGCACACGAGGTCGGCCCACAGTGTCGGCATGGCATATTAGGTGTTGGCAACTGATGGAGAAGGTGGCGATGGAAACCTGTTGTCTTGACCATGGAATCCTGTTTACACTGTGGTCAGGCAGAACCGATTTGGCCGGTCTTCTTGGTGACTTGAGCAGCCACACCGAAGAGCACAACCTGCAGGTTGCAAAAGAGGTCTTGGACCGTGCTCTTGTAGATGTGACTGGCTCTGGGTACCTGGAAAAGGTATTGGTTCTGGACGCCGATCGAACTTTGACAGCCGAGGACACCGGCATCATTTGGTGGAAAGAACATGAACCCTGGTTGGAGCACCTGGGACGTGATTGTCCACTGCACAAAGTGTTTGAGTCTGAACGGGGATATTCATATACGGCCTTCCGGCAGGCCACATTAATGTATGAAGGAGCGGGCGACGCGGAGCACTTTGAAAGGAAATGCCAAGATACGGCAAAGAAGGTGAGAATGTATCCTCAGCTATTAGCTTTGCTGCACCTGGTTTCCACTCACAAACACATCCGTGCACTTGTCGTGACCTCTGGATTACGTCTCGTCTGGGAGAAGATCATCGCTCGGGAAGGCCTGTCCAACTCCGTCACAGTCATCGGAGGTGGTAGGATCGCTGATGGCTTCGTTGTGACAGCTGAAGTCAAGGCCAGTCTAGTCAGACGTCTCCAGACCAACCACAAGGTGGAAGTCTGGGCTTTCGGCGATAGCCCTCTGGACATACCCATGTTGAAGAAAGCAGATCGCGCGATGGTGGTTGTCGGTGATGAGTCAACCAGAAGCCGCAGCATGGAAGACGAGCTGGGAACAGCTATAAGAGACGATTACTTATCCCCGCACCAAGTTCTGATCCCTAGCTCTGTTTCACCCCGCTTGGATACTACCATCCTTCCGGTATTGGACCTGATGGAGCCCAAGTTTATCGACTCTCTATTGAGTCATCGACATGGCCTCAATGTCCTCCATGCAAGTGAAAAGGCGGTCTCGAAGCTTCTACAGACACCAATGCGAGACGCATCATTGGCTGGACCGCCTCTTCAGGAAGCCCATCGCCGGTGCGGACGATATCTGGCAGTTGAATACCTCGGCGAATTGATCGGCCTAGAGACCTACGACATTCCCCACGTGCAGGGCCACAGGACAAGTGGTTTCCGACTCGGAAAGGAGAAGGACACGGTGATTGTCGCCTTGATGCGCGGTGGGGAGCCCATGGCCTTTGGCGTCTACGATGTTTTCCCGACAGCTTCATTCCTGCATGCTGCGAAAACGCAAGATGTCACAGCCAAGCGCCTCCAAGGGTGCTCGACAGTGGTATTGGTCGACTCAGTGATTAACAGCGGCAAGACAATTGTTGAGTTTGTGCAGCATATTCGCCTATTGAAACCCTTCATCCGCATCGTCGTTGTTGCTGGGGTTGTACAGGCGCAGGCCATCGCAGGGAATAGTGCCATAGCAGCTCTTTCGGTTGGTGGAAAGCTCAAAGTTGTAGCGTTGAGACTTTCGGAGAACAAGTTTACCGGCAAGGGAGGAACTGATACTGGAAATCGTCTGTTTAATACAGTTGATCAGGATTGAGGGTTGCTGACTGACTTGCGAAGCTGGGGCTTGTGGTTTTCCTCTTTCTTTATGCTTTGATTTACGGTTTTTGGATTTAAGTCATTTTTAGGGATTATGTCTTTTGGAAAGGATAGGTAGACTGCCAATAAAATTCTGGAATTTTGCTTTTGAAACCTTTCTTTCATACTTGATCATCGGACGGACTGGGCACTAAGGTTGAGCAAGTTAAAAGGTAAATCAACCACCATTTCCTTCTACTAAAAGATCCACGCAAATGACGTCAATAACTTCAAGAATGCCGCAACCTGAGCAAAGAATCATTTTAAATTCGAGCCCAAATGAGGTGCTCTTGCGCATCTCACAAAAACATCACGTTACCCTGCTGACAAACCACGGAGTTGTCCGTCTCACATCGCGTGATTTCCCCTCTCGTTGTTTTGATGGAATCTGGCGGGGTATTTATTCCCAAGTCATCTCTTCTCCTCCATCTACTCCCTAACAATTTTCTTAAACTAATTTATCTACCCAGCAACAAACCAATTGACCCCATCATGGCTCCCGCGAAAGTCGCTCTTCCAGGTGTAAGTACTCAATCCCTCCCCGCATCTCCACCTGTACCTAGCCCACCCCTAACCAAAAACCCAGGGAACCGGCAACCTCGGCCCCGCCATTCTCAAAGCGCTCCTCGACGCCAACATCTCCGTGACCGTTCTCTCACGCACATCCACCAAACCCATCGACCCGCGCGCCAAGCTCGTAGAAGTCGACTACAGCTCCCTATCATCCCTTCAATCCGCCCTGGAAGGGCACGACGCCGTCGTAAACGCCCTCGGCCAGGCCCCACAGGACGTCAGCATCCGACTCATCGACGCCGCCGTCGCCGCGGGGGTGAAACATTACCTTCCGTCCGAGTTCGGCGTCGACACGTTCAACGAGGACGTGCGGAAGCTCCCCGTCTTCGCGGGAAAAGTCGCGGTACAGGAACATTTGGAAAAGGTCGTGCAGAAAAACCCCTCGTTTATCTATACATTGCTAGTGACGGGGGCGTTTCTGGACTTCGGACTCGAGAAGAACTTCATTTTGAATGTTGCCGGACCTGTTGCGGATTTGTATGATGGCGGAGAGAGGAAGATCAGCACGACGACGTTAGCGGGGATTGGACAGGCTGTTGTGGGGATTCTGCAGAATCCCGAGGCCACGAAGAATAAGGCTGTGTATGTCAGCGAGGCGGACGTGTCGCAGACCGAGCTGTTGAAGATATCAGGGAAGGAGGTAGAGACGAGGGTGGTGAAGACGGAGGATCTGGAGAGGGAGGCGTATGACGAGTTGAAGAAGCCAGAGCCCAGTCCGAGGGTGTTTGCGGTGAACTTCATCAAGACGGCGTTGTTTGGGGAACGCTTTGGGAGCTGGTTCCAGCCGCCGAAGCAGTCGAATGAGGTGGTTGGGGTGAAGTATTTGAGTGAGGAGGAGCTGAGGGATGTGGTGGTGAAGAGCACTAGAGGATAGGTTTAGATTATGGATGGTAAAACAATTAGACCACGCCTGTAGATCGACCCTTCAAGGTTGACTACTTCTTTCAGATACTACAGCCACGATTGCAGAAGATTTATAAGCCTGGGGTATACTTGAAGGTACAGTTTTCTATGAAATTCAATTTGAAAAGATCCAACATTCTACGAAGTTCTTTAAATTGGTTGAGTTAGTTAGCGGAGATCCCCGTTTCAATTCTTATGCTACAATTGTCTAGGCATTGGAGTGACGATCAATCCACCGCTTAGTCCGATCATACCCCGTTCCCATGGTTAAGCTCTCCAAGCCACCTTTTGTCTCTTTTCCTTTCGCGAAAAACGCTTTTCCTATCAGACAACTTCGCGACTGATTGACTTGATTCAATACCTCCCCTCAGAATTATTTCTACCTTTCTCTGCATTGACGCGCCGGAATACATCAATTGGCAATACGCACCACCCTATACTACCCCGCATTTCAAGAAGCTAGACCCCGCGAGTTGAAACAACATTGCAAGCGCGAGATGTCTAACGAAGGCAAAAAGCATCCCACGCTGGATCACATCGTCATCCTAGTATCTCACAAAACCCTCCTGGGCTTATCCGACTCCCTCCACAGGCTATTCACCGTCGCTCCAGGAGGAAACCACGCGGACGGACTCACGTCAAACAAGCTCGTCCTGCTAAAAGACGGTGTATATATAGAATTCATCGCATTTTTCGACCATGTCGACCCGGAGCGACGCAAGCAGCATCGATGGGGAAACCTGAACGAAAACACAATCATCGACTGGGCGTTCACATTCCCTCCAAGAGACGACTTCGACGCCATCAAGCAGCGAGTACTAGATACCAAAACTGGCTATCACTACCAAGAGCCCGAGGCCTGGGGACGGAAGAGAAACGACGGCACGATGCTGGAGTGGAGACTTAGCGCTCCGGTCGACTCCCAAGACCATCCGGTCCAGGGCCTTATACCATTCTGGGTCCTAGACAAGACTCCTCGGGAGCTGCGTGTTCCTTTCGAAGCGCAGCCTGAGTTGACTGATCATCCCTGTCGTGCGATAGGGGTGTCTTCACTATCGGTGGCCGTTCCCCATGGGCGAACCTCTAATCTAAAGAAAGTGTATGAAGCCATTTATGACTTGCCGGCTCGAAACCAGTGGCCTTATGAGGTTCCATCAGACAAGAAAGTCGGAACGCACTGTGTTTCTATCTTGGAAGATGAGGAAATGGCAATTACGCTCACTCTTAGTGGGCCGGAGCGAAACCGGGCTGAAGTACTGCCGGGGCTTGTATTTAACATTGAATGAAGAGCAAGGGAACATGGATTGTCGGCACATTAGAGATTATATGGCTCTAGGTGATCATTATTTGTTGTTTGAATAAAAGGATTTCTCGGAATTAGGTCGCATTTGATCTCTACCCATATGTCTTGACTATTCGCGCAATATATGTACATCAGTGTCAGCTTAAGCTCTTCAACAGAGATATGTCGGAGGCTCTACCGCAGAATACCACTATCTCTAATCTCTATGTACATGCTTCGCAGTAAACTATTACTTTCCTGGCGAACTTGGAGCCTCGCCAAAGCCTGTGTTGACCGGTGTCTGGGGTTTTGGTTTGCCGCCCTCGTAACGCGCGACTTCGAAATCTCTGCGATGCCTCTACAAAATCTAGTATCGTCCCTAGGACGCTAGGATTCTGCGCGGCATCTCTTACACTACAGTCGTTCTCGAAATCGGCTTGACCGATACACGATCACTTTTCTGGCCCTACTGCCAAGGTCTTAGTGCAGATCATTTATTGGGCCGCAGTAAGTTGAGAGCTGCAGTAAAATGCTGCTTGTATGGTATCAGTAGAACCTTATGGAAGGAAGTTGACCGGCAAAACAGTCCGTAAGCGACTTGAGTTTTCCAAGATTCCTTCTCAGCCTGTCCATATTCCCGTCGCCCGCCGCCTCATCTGGGGCTTTTCCTAAAACCAAGCCTCAATCCATCATGCAAGATGCTTCACGAAAGAACCAACTCCCAGCGAGCCTGCTAAGAGCATAACAAGCGGGTGCCTGGTTGCCCATGCCTCCCCTCGATTCAAGGCATCGCGTACTGCCGAGCGGAAACGTCTTAGCTAAATAATATACGCATGTACAGCGTCAAATCAAAAACTGAGTATCTTACCGCTCTGCCATTCCCATTTCTTCATGACCCCACCGGGCAAGCTAGGATGGACCAGGGCGCCCGCCTCAAGTTGATTCACTGACGGAGGAGAGACTGAAGAGCTTTGTGCAACAACGTTACGTTGGCGCGTTCCTTCTGCGTCGAGCCTGGCAAAATGTTCGGGACGTAACCACTCGCTGGGTGGGCCACGGACATAACTTGGGACTTCCACATGAGCGGGTTGACCCATATTTTTCCAACAACGATTAACTTCATCAAAGAATTCCAGTTGCCCAGAGTCTGTAACACGAAATATAGAATCCATATCTCGATCCCGGTAATGATCCGCCATAATGATCAACGGAAGGAAGCAACAGATACTAAGGATGAATTCTGTTGATCTCCAAGGCTTGCGAGGGGTCTGTAATGAAATTTGAACAATATTAACGAGTGAGAGTCTGAGGAAACATCAGTTCAAATTTATAACATTCGAATCCTGGGAGCTTCAAGTTTATATACATATTACCCCTCACTGGCAAATGCACATGGTGCTCTTTGAAAACTTGAATATCCGTGTACTAGTAGGTATGCATGCCCAAATTTAGGTGTACATACTAAAGATTTAGTGCCCATATGATGCAGTGTCTGACTCGTATCTCCAATCTAGTACATACTAGATCAGAGCCCAAACGCACGGGTCCAAACATTCAATTTTGAACACCCCTCGGGGCACCTGGCTGTACGGAATGATCGGCTTTCAAATAATGATGCCTCAGCCTCGCTCAGCCTTACTCAACCCCGCTACACCCGGGCATCACCCGGTTGTCCTGGGACCACTGGCGTCCAGTACGGCTTGCAATACTATGTAAATCGCTACTCAACGAGCCCTACCCCGCCTAACGCGCGGGTCCGTGCATTTCCTAATACCTCTGTGCCCCCGGGGTCTTTGGCAAAAAATCATTCCGGCGATTTGTCGTGTCATCATGTCTCATCTTTGATTACGGCTCTGATATCTACCACGATTGATGTCATTGCAGTAGGATAAGGCAAAGCCCAATATTTCGCCAAAATTATTTGGTGCGGATAAATTATATATAATTGTTATACTATCATCTAACTGCAGTTTGAGTTTATTTTAGAATTGAATTTATTAATAAAAAGTAAAACAATTTTGGCATTTTATAGTGACCTGCGGGTAACTGCAAGCCCCAAAAAAATCCCCGCAATCTGCTGCGGGTTCTGACTCTTGCCCCAAACCCGCCCCGCTGCGGGCCAGTGCAGGTTCAGGGAATGGGGAATGGGGATTTTGGCCAAGTCTATAAATAATCAAGCGAAAAATTAAACAAAAAATCAAATAAGATTTAAACTAATTAAGTAGAAATGTAGTTTATTAATATGAGAAACATAAAATGTTAAATATAAATATATATTAGCAAAGAATAAGCTATTTAAGATACAATAACTAAATGTAAAAAAAAGTCCCTGCTTATGATACTGCCTACTAACTGTGACGGTCGGTGGCAGGTGCGCTTCTACCACCTTCCGCTTTTAGCAGGGCTGGGTACCGTTGCCAGTTATAGGGACGGTTACCACTGCGCCACCAAAAGACTAGAATACCAAGTCAACAGACTTGATACGCGCATCGCTCTATATAGTGGGTTCTTCTTGGTCGTTCTTCAGTTCGTCACAACAGTCATGGTGGCTGCTTGGCTGGGATATGCGCGATGGAAACGGCGGTGATGGATTGGCCTTTCCCTGTCTTGATCTGATTTGTCATTAGCGATTGTGCCAGTCAACTAGTTATTCAATTGGTTTTTTTTTTTTTTTTCTTCATGCCTTGCTTGATAAGGAGACTAGCTGCTGTAGTTAGTTAACTAGTCAATAACTGAATTGTTTTGGTGCGAGTTCCGTCCGCTTGCCGGATAAAAAGCTCATACGACATCTTCAAACATGTGCAGCGGCATCATGGCGTCCATTGCCAGGACCGGTAGGCCAAAAGCACAAAAGGCCACTTGAGTGGGTGTTTTTGTAAGCACCTCTCGAAAAGCGTAGCCTTTGTGTCATCGCCCTGAATATCGTTGCATCGAAAAGTACGTATGGAGGTAAGTGTGTTTCTAGGGAGTAATCTGCTTTCGAAATCTTCTATGCGTGCGTATGATCTGTATGACACCCTACATATCCTGGCCCCTACCACCGAAATGCCTAGATGATCGCCCATACGAACGCGCCAAATCCTATTTACAACCCTCTACCTGCCACAGATCCCGCCAATGCTGTTTTTCGACGGCCTGTGCAAGTCGACCCGCTCGCATAGATCCGCCGTTATGAGTTTATCAATGTTTCCTCAGCCACTGGTACACCCGGGCCGCGATCTCAAGGTTGTTCTTCTCCATGAAAAACATGTGACCGTTGCCATGAATGCCCTCCTTACCGAGATCTGCGTATTCAACGTCTACGCCGACTTGCCTCAGATATTTGACGGTGCAGTAATCGTATGGTGCATGGAACGACGCTTCGCCAGTAATGACCAGTTCTGGGATTCTGGCGAGGTTCGTCAACTGCTTGGCCGGAGACTTCTGCATGATGCACTCGTTGTGATCATCGTCGATGGCAGGCTCGGTGATCGTCTCGATGTTTTCGGCATTCTTGCCCGCGGATGGTTCGTATCCGATTGGAAGGTCGGTGAGACCGAACGCAAAAGCCGGGCTATTTCCAAACGGCGGACGGAGCGTAAACGGTGGACCAGACGGCTCCAGCTGCACGATCCCCTTCACTCGGTCTGGACGCATGTCTCCGACCCTCCAGCCTAGTTCAACCGTTAGCTAATTTCACAAGTCTATCGTGTTTGGCCGAAGATACCGTATGCACCCGCCTGCGAGTGACTGATGATGTAACAGTCGCCGACGAGATCCACTAGAGCTGAATATGCCTGCGCATTTTGCTCTTCGCTTATAAACCGGTCGGTTTGGAACTGCACTTGACTCCGGTAGAAAGCGTCAAAGGTCGGATCGCCCATGCGACCGCTGCCAGGCCATTGCGTGTGCAGCTTCGCCTGTGGCCATTGGTTTCCATTGTTGGCTACGTCGGTAAAGATATCCGAGACAGAATCGGGGGAGCCAATAGACCCAATACTCCCCTGGCCTGGAGACCAGAAGGAACGGCCGCGCGCGGGCTGGTCCGAGAGATACACAGTGTGGCCTTTGGAGATGAAATAGGAGGCCCATCCCGGCCGTCCATCTGGGGTATCCAGGAAATTGGTGCCGGTCTGACCCGCGCCCGCGATGAAGATAATGGGAAGTGGTGGATTCGCCGGCGCTGGCTCAGGTGCAAGCTTCTCGACATAAATCTGCCCTACCATAGCCATTGATGTAGAATTGGTTGCATCGTCCTATGTTCCGGTCTTAGATATGCATGGAGTATGTGAGGATCGGGACTTGCCTTGACTTTGGTGTATTCCCCGCCAACGTAGAGAACCTCCCGCTTAGGAACAATGTCCTTCGGCTGGGTAGGGTGAGATTGCGCATTGCCTTCGATAAGAGCGGCTTGCATCACAGATATGAGCAAGGCTAAGGTACCAAGATTGATCATATTCTAGGAGTTGCACACACTTCGGAATATCGGTATATGTTTGGGAGAGAAAAGAGATTCAGCTCGTATTTATAGAGACGGCATTCCTTCTTCGTGCCACACCGCCTTTCTGCTGGGCAAGGGGTTTTTGCTGGAAATACTGCTGTTCACCGCCGTTGGGGTTGCCTCAAGCCCTAAAGAGTAAAGTTGAGTTGGAAGGATTCAACACCATGCTCTCTATCGGTACATCACGGCCCGATCCTGCTCAATGCAACGTCGCCTGGCGTGGTTTCAAAAAGCCTTAGTTTCGCGTCTTTTTCTGACTTTTTTTTCCCAGCCAAACCAGACCTTCATTTCAGTCAGCTCTTCCATAGAGATTACCAGGCAATACGACTACTTTCAAAGCTAATACCTCTTTGAGGCGGCTTGATTATTTTATTTTTATATTTTTTATCAGATTACACGGCGAAGGCGTGATATACGTGTGACCTACGTGCCCCTATCTCTCTCCTTCTACACAACATTTGCAGTGTGCGGCTTTATATGGGCCATCTTTCAGACGTCAATTCTTTCCACCATGGCAAGCTCGAGCGCTGGATCGTCAGAGCACTTAGCCGAGACAAATGATCCGGGTCTGGACCAGCGGGTCAGTATCGCGTTTATTGTTATTGATACGTTCTTCATGCTGGTGTTCTACGTGAGTCGACATTATAACCCCAAGGCCGTGAGAACGCCCATGGTGGTGTGTAATACGCTGTGCTATGTGCTTTGTCTGGGCAGTGCAGCCACGGGAATTTGTTAGTCCTTTCCCTCTTGTCTTCTCGCATTTGTCAGGGGCTGAAGAAGAGACGATGTGTGGTTACAAACGAGGCGGAAGAGTCACGCATCTCCCAGCCGGAGAATCAGAAGCCAGGCGTGGATCTGCGATGACTTCACTTAATATGGGGTATTGACGAGTGAATGATGTGGACACTGACATTCAATAGTAATGGTGAAAATAGGTGGCGTAGGGCATCACGTCGATTCTGTCCCAGTTACCACTTTTCAGACCTGGCTGAAGCTATCCAAAGTTCTCGAATTCACCTACACACCAGCCGTCATGTTCGCTAAGCTTGCTGCTCTATTCCTTTACTACCAAGTTTTTGAAGTCTCGCGTTACCGTTTCGTTATCGTTGGAACCGGCGTGGTTATCATCCTTCAAGGCATTGTTGCTCTGATCCTAGCATTTTCAATTTGCCGACCTTTCAGGTATTTCTGGACCCAGGCGGTCGATGTCAACGATGGAGTTTGTGGAGACGTGATGCTTTTTTATAAGACTTATAGCATTCCGAGTCTGGTTACAGACGTGGTGATGCTGGTACTCCCGTGGCCGATCCTTCTGCGGTTGCAAATGCGTACAGCCGAAAAGATCGGCCTGATACTTACTTTCCTCGCTGCTTCGCTGTAAGTTATACCCCAGCTTACTTCCGCGTCTCCTCTAGATGAACAAGGACAAGGCAATTAATATGAGATAGGGGCATCATAACGTGCGCGCTTCGTTTTTCCGTCTTTTTCACCGTTCCACTCTTCTCAGACCCCACATGGCATGCCTCTGGGGGGCCTATGATCTACGCCCTCGTCGAACCGTCTATCTATATGATAGCTAGCATATTGCCTACTACGCGACATCTTTACCGGCGAGTCTGCAGAAAGTTCGAACAACTGCACAGTGCGTATAGCAACAGTGGTCCGGGAATTAGCAACGGTCTTTCAAATTCGGCAGAACTCCAGCGTGTGGGGAACAGTGACTCAACCAGCCGTAGAGTCAGACGGAAGACGGATTTTTGGCAGGCAACTACGAACCCAAGTCAGGAGGGACTGACGCTGGAGGAGCGGTATCAGAATCGGCACGAATTGGACCAATTCAGGCCAGCAGATGTTTCATCGTGGAATACACCCGAAGAGCATTCTAGCGCAAGCAGTGGAATCACCAAGAATTAAGAGGATATCGTGCCAGCCATGCTGATTCTCCCTGGTTGGAACCAGACCTGGCTGGCGGCGGCTAGGCCAAAATAACTTTCTGATGTTTTCTAGAAGACTTACTCGGCTGTCTCGACATTCCCTTTTCTATTCAGTAGCTGAAGGAGTAGGCACTCGCCCCCGTGTCCACTTTAGGCTTAGTTGGTCTAGTGACCGATGCATTCCAGACCGCATCTCGCCTTCATCTTCCTCTTCAAGACCTGAAATCTATCTCACTAGGATTATGAGTTGACAGGACGGCTTGCTCTTATCAAAAGATTTACTCATATTTTAGGACCCCCCTAGAAACTACTAAGACTTGACATCTCAGGACGGTTAGGATCTGGTTAACATAAATTGCCTGATCTTTGAACTGACAGGAAACATGAATTGAGCAACTTGCGATTTTTCAAGGGCAACAAAAAAGCAAAAGCATTCGGGGAGCGACGACCAATTCGATTATGGGGGGAAGCAATGCACAGACGCCAGGCTTTCCCCTTATCCTGACATTCATGAACTGACAATCAATCCTTATTGAGGTTTCTACACTTGATTCGCACCAAACCTTGCCAAGAGCGTTCAAGGTTCCAGATCCAAACTCGTCCATGGAGTGGACACTACCAATCTGACCAAATCATATAGCGGTCCGAAGTCTCCGAGGCCCGCAGATACAAGAAGGGGCCATACATAATCCATAGTAGGGCATAACGGTAGATGGGTAGACTCGCTCAGGACGACCATTGTGTCACCCACCGACGGCGGCAACATTGTGTGTGCTGCAGGTTTGAGGATTTTGACTATGCATGCAAGTTTGCGGCGGCAGGCAATCTGGGACGACAAATGTGAAGGGAATGTGTACACACTATTAGGTAGAAGGCAACCGGGGAACGAGCAGTTAGTGTCTCTGTAGCTCCTCGGAGTTGCAGTCAGAATTTCATTCATTCGAAACGAGCAAGGAGATCAATCCATGGTAGAACGCGGGATTACCGACTTAGCACCAACTGCTAAATCACACAACTCTACCATGTCAATATCCTTCTACCCAAGAGTAAATCTGCTGGCGTGACACTGAGGGATGTTGGTTACTTAGTAGCTTCAGTGCTGCAAGGGCCATATGTAACTTTCTTTTCAATCTCTTGATTTTATTCGAATGTTAGCCTTTTTTTCGAATAAAAGCATTGAATGCTTCGGCTATAGTTGATATGAAGAAGTTATCTACCAGACCCACTATCCGGAATCATACGACAAACTAGTAATCACTACCACCACCAACCAGATCATGACTATTCCCACGCACCTTTCCGTCTCTCAACCAAACAACAGCATCGACTCCCGGTCTTAGGCCTTTCTGCATACTACCATCTCTATGAGAGATCATAATAACCGTATGACCTTTATTAATGGCCTGCTCCTTTAACAGTTCGTGCATCCTGTTCTCCGTTTCCAGATCCAGCGAAGAACTGGCTTCATCGAGAATCACGATTGGTTTTGGCCCTATGTCATCATATGCAATGTCGCTGTTATTACTGTAAGTTGACGATGACAGAGCTTGCACTCTCAATAATGCCTGGGCGAGAGCGAACATCTGCATCTGGCCTGTAGAAATGGGTGGGAACGTTGATAATGGTTTATCAAGTAGTTCAAAATCTGAGGATCTGTCTCTGAATGTAGACGTTGCACCAGACGCTTCTTGAAACTCGGAAGAAGAAGAAGGAGAGAGTTGGGACCAAAGTCCGGTTTGTTTGAGAGCTTGTATCAAAGCGGCATCTTGGTGCTGATTGTACGGATCGAGGTTGAATCGGAGGCTCGCATCCGGAAGGAGGAATGGATCTTGGGGCACTGCGATCACGCCGCGTCGTCGAACAATATGAACTGGCAGGCGGGCGATGTCCACCCCTCCAAGTTCGATGGAGCCAGTCTGAGGATTCAATAGCCGTAACAGGGCCAGAAAGAGGCTACTCTTCCCACTGTGATAGTATTGGTCAGCGCTGCCATTTTGAAACATGCAAAGAGCTAGTTTATTCTGGGCTGTTAGGGTAAGGAGCCCAACCTTCCAGTTCGGCCACAGAGAACAAGCAATTGACCAGGTTGAATGTTCAGGTTCAGATCACGAAGAACTGGTGCTTGCGGACTATGTCATGTTAGCGAAGACCTACTCGTATCCTTTGGTCCAAAAGAGAGAAGTACTAACGTGTAACCAGCCGACACATTTCTTATGCTAACAGATCCTGCAGCCGGCCACTGTGTAGAAGGCTCCAAGTAGTCACGGTCTTCGTCTTCGAATGGCGTATCATAGTCAATGGACCTCAGCCGAGAAACCGCGCCCAGTGATGTCTCCAGACTTGTCCAGTTCTCCACCAAGCGAAGCAAAGTAGTGTTCGCAGCGATGATCATATTCAAAGCAATGCCCATTTCCGCGCCAGTTGCTGTGTCCCGGAAGATCACTGCGAATGCAATCAATAGCAATGCAATTCCAGCGACCAGCAGATCAAGGACTATATTGAGCCATCGCTGCAAGCATAGAAGGAGATAGAGCGGGCTCTGAGAGGAGTCCAATTTAGTGATGTTGTCAAGTTCAAATTCACTTTCCCAACCATAAGCACGGATCGTGGAAATGCCGTCAACCTTTACATGATTCAGCATACGCTGACGGATTCCTTTGGATGCGGCGTTACCTACTGTCTCTATAAAATTGGTATAAAGTTTTGACCTTGACTCTAGATCAATAAATCGCAGTTGGCGAGATGTTCGAAGATACACTCGTTGTATAGAATACACACAAATTGCGCATACCGGTAGCGTCATGACCATTAGGGGTTGGACAGCGAAAAGAACGATTGTCTGCATGAGTAATTTGAAGATTTCTGTTTCAAGGTCAGTATCGTTCAAGTTGCCAACACTCGAGTTCCTGTTCCTAGACGTACGAACGCTAAGATTTGAGAAGGCGGGAGGCAACTGCTTATCGACAAGCTGGATGTCTTGGCCGAATTTACGTGTTATCGCGGTTTAGCATGGACTTTCTGGCACAGGGAAGGCTCACCAAACCTGTTCAATATATTACCAACTTCGAAGGCGGAAAAGTATGAAAAAGGAGCACTCCTTGCTATCAACAACTATCCACGATCCCAGTCTTTCTAAGGGATAGAACACACCTCATTATCCTTTCCAGAAGCCGCGCATGTAGATTAGAACCCGATCTTGGGGCGATTATGATATGTGTTGAACTTGGACCTAGTTAGATCAAGCTGAGATAGCTGAAGCCTACGTGAAAAGGGATCGGCTCACCACATGGTCCCATTTGTGGCTATCCACGCCATAAGAGACAATAAAACATAACCAAGAATATATGGCCACGACCTCTCTCTGACTGACTCAGTCCACCATTTCAGGACATACTGCGAAAAAGTAAGGCAAAAGGCGTATATTGCAGTGCAACCCGCCATGAGCAGCATTCTTGAGGTGCCAAAAGAACCAAAATAATAACCTAAATAATGATTCTTAGTAGTCTCCTTTTTCATATTCAGCAGGTCATGCTTACTGTAGAGTGCGAGGTCTCCTGTCCTTCTGGACACGTCGGCAGCGGCGTCATCCATGCGCGTTCCGTCTACCAGTCCAGGTGGAATGTTTTTAGACTCCTCGGTTTCAGCTGTCTTCTGGGGTGGTTTGGTTTTTGAGATCTGAGATTTTGCCAGGATGATTTCATTCTCGGAGTCAAGAACCTGCACTCGACCATCCTCAAGCAGAATAACCTTGTCCGCTAAGGCAAAATGCTGAGCTGAGCTGGGTCAGAACACGATGACAGCAAAGTTGGAACTCTCGGACTTACCACTATTAGTAACAAGAAACACGCTCGTGCGGCTTCTACGAAGAATTCCTTGAGGACCAAGTAAGGCTTCGATAACATGGCTTTCGACTTCCCCGTCTAAGGCACTGAAGGGGTCATCCAAGACCAGTACAGAGCAGCGAGAGTAGACAGCACGAGCCAGAGCCTTTTCATCAACATTAGTAACGGGGCCTGAGGAACCTCAGATAAATCGGCTTACAACGCGAGATTTCTGTCCCCCTGAAAGATTGATGCCACCGCTTCCAACCCATGTCATGTCTCTGTCGACCAACGTTTCCATATCTGTGTTGAGTCCACAGGCTTCAATGACAGTGTTATACCAGTCTTTGTCCACTGCAGTGACCCCTTGACAGATGGCATCGCGAATAGAGGCAGTGGGGAGCCAGACTATCTGGCTGCAATACCCGATAGGTTCGTCTGCAACAGCAATGTTTCCTTCACTGGGCGGGATTTCTCCAAGGATGGTATGGGCGAGTATCGATTTGCCACTACCTACTGGTCCCGAACACATGAAGATCGAACCCCTATCCATCCGCAAATTAATGTCTTGTAGAACGGGAGGTGAGGTAGAAGACGGTTGTATTATGACATCTTCCATCAAGATTGCGGGCCGCTGGTCAGCCTCAAGCCGGTGGTGACTTTCAGCGGCGGCCTTTGGTGGCATAAGAACCCGTTGATCCAGTAGTGGTTCTTTGGTTAGATACGTCTGTATCCTTTCAAAGTTCGCCAAAGATGCAACTGCGCGAGGTATCAAAGTCATTACCATATTCGCCGGGTGCGTGACAAGTGCGAGGAGAGCAATGGAGGTAAAGACAGTGTCAGGATCCAATGCGACGTCTTCCTTGCGGAAGATTGCAAAAAGTACCAACGTCACGACAGGAGAGAATATCCCCAAAGCATTAGCTACAGGTAATGCGTGCTGTCAGCTTCGATCAAACTATTATACAAGTCCTTACCGCTCGCGTTATACGCCACCATGATCCATCTCAGGCGTTTTGACATGGCGATCTCTCGATTCCGCAGGTGGGAAATCAGGGATCTAATAGCCTCTTCAAGTCCAAGAATCTTCATGCTTTTGACTCGTCCAAGTACCGCGGCAATCATTGTGAGGCGATGTTGAGTTGCAGCGCTCCAATCCTTCTGTCTACCTTGTAGATGCTTTGCAACATATGCGCTCATCCGAGAACAACCTGCACTAAATTAGTCTGTTCTCTAGGTAGCCAAGATAAGACTAGGAACTACCGAATATGATAAACAGGGGCAGTAAAGCGAACCACCCAATTTGCCTCGCGAGAAGGGTCGTTCCGATCAGCACCTCCCCCAACTGGGCCCAGGTTTCATGGACCATCTCGGCAGAGGTGTCTACACTATCAACGTCGGTGCTCATCAGGGTTAAAGCTTTCCCCTTGTGAGTCGGCGAGCTCTCGACTCTTAATGATCGGACATGTACCAGACCAACTAGAGCTTTCCGTGTTATCAGCTGCAGCCGGTTAAAGCTGTGCCGATATATTGAAGTTGAGATCTGCACTAAGTCAGAATTTAATGTCGAATAATCGGCCAGATCACATACTGCAAGACCGCAATATATAACGCCGGGGAGTATGACGAGCCAGTAACCAAAGTCAATGCCCTCATTCTGGGAATCCCTATGATTTATAAAATTGATAGTAATGCCAATGAGCATGGGTTGTGAGTATCGAAAGACTATCAAGAAGAGGCGCGGCAGTATCGGCCAGAGAAATTCTCTCTGAAATGCCTTGATCAGAACAACCGGCAACGTGAACTTGGTTTCGGGCTTTGCTAGATACGATCTGAGCGATCCTGCACGCGAATACTATCATAATCCAAGCAACTTCAAATTTACATCTCTCTCGCCAGGCACCAATCATTCGTCTGCGTAACACCCCAGAAGATAAATCTTGGTCGATCCCAGGTAAACCATTGGGTGTCAGGACATCACAATAGCCTTGTTTGAGCACAGGGTTGATCCACCAAAAGAGCACACGGCCGAGAACTCCTGTCCCTTCCTCGGGTGTGAGAGAGCCGTATCCAAGGATAAGGATTCCGGTTTTTCTTTGTGACTCCGTCACTAGAAGTCCCAACTCCAATGCTGCCCGTAGAGCCAGAAGCGAAAGTCCTAGTGGCTTTAGGTCTCCGGAGGGCAGCGTCAAAGCAATGAGATCTTTGATGAGAGAAAGACCAACGTAGAGAATTACTAGAGTAGACGGCCGGACAGTTCTTCGATGTCCGAACCACAGCAATATGCAAAGCTCAAAAGCAGCCAGGATCGACAAGATAGCTTGAATCTGATCTCGGTGGCCATTTCAACTGCTGCGGATGTGAGAAGGGAAATCATTTGGACAGTGAAGTACGCGACGGCCAGTACCTAGACCTGAATTAGTGATGACCTCGCCAGAGCCAGGAAACAAATCAATCGTAACAGACAGTTTTGATAAGATGTTCAAATCCGGGAAGGACTTTGATGGCTTCACCGCGTAGAGTCCATATTGCAAAGGGCGCATACAGCGCGAAGATCAATGACAGCAAGCATGAGTATATATCTAGCCAAGAACGTTCAGCTAACATAATTCCCAATCTTTGCGAGGTCAACTCGACGTGACAGTGAAACTCAAACGTCGTTGATATCCACAGGTTAACAATATAGAATCGAGGATGTTTTGGAACTCGACGTAGCTGAGCACGTACGCGCTAATCAATTAATCCCTGTCTCACCAAGATGGCGCAATACTTCTTATCTACAATCCTCTATCGTTCAAGGGTTCTCTTCGATTTCTTTCACCGATCCCATTCGCATTTGTAGGACGCCTCAAAGCCCAAGCCCTTCAATGGTAAGGGATAGTAGCTTCTCACCGATACATCGTCGCTTTCTTCTGTATAACAAATTCAAATTTAGCGGCCAGGACATTGAAAGAATAGATAAAGGAGAAATTCGCACCAGTCAATGAAAAATATATCCCGGTCCATGTCAGTTGCTAGTCATGGCCACTGGGATGAGAACCTGTTGACGGCAATACTCTCGTCTGCACTGAACCATTCATCCATCAGGGCCAAATGATCTCTTGTATTTTTATCGCGAAAGGGCCCAATACCCCAGGAACCCTAAAAACGCCTTAATGGAGACTAAGAGAGCCAATAGCGCCAAGGGCGAAAGAACGTGCTGGGCGTGGATGATCTAGCGGGGATGGAGGAACGCGAAGAATTCGGATAATTTTGTACTCTGTACTTGTACCGACAGATTCGCAATTCTCTCCTCTCAATTCCTGCCTTCTAGTATGAGAAAAAAGGGACCACTCCTCTACAGCGGAGAAACTACACCGTAAGATGGGGCGGCTCCACCCGGCGGACCCTTTTTTCCTGCCAGCTGTCGAATGTCGGATGTCTGACTTTGATGTCGCATGTTCGCGTTTGCATTTGCATTTGCATTTTTGTCCGTTCATTCCTTCTCATAGCAGCCTCTTCCTGCAGGCTCACGCGAGTCCGACCCGACGACCTCCGAAGCAGCGCCGTCCGCTTGTCACACCCTGCGCTCTCCTCCCTCGCCAGCCTCCGCACTTCCAGCTGTCCCCAGCAGCCGCCATGATCTCGGTCTGGTTGATCTGACACGATACCTTTTGAATTGACTCGAAGACGCGCATACCACCAATCGATTCGTCGACCCACGCTCTCTACCCTACTATCCTTCAACCACCCATCATGCTGTTCTTCGGTGGCGGAGTTCAAGGCCCGCGCCGTCGCAGCCGCGAGAAAGCCATCCTGATCACCATCTTTATCGTGTACGCTCTATACTTTCTCTTTTTCGCCAACACGTCAGGACGCAAACAGGCAGCAGCGGTTCACGAAGGCGTCGTGTCGCAAGGAGGACCGAATCGCGACTCTCGCTCGGGGCAGGCTACCCCGTTGCGACAGCCGCAAAACATCGAGAAGGATCTGGTCGTGGCGAGCATGAAGAAGGATGACGTTTCGTGGCTGTTCGAGTTCTTCCCCGAATGGCACAAAAGTATTTACGTGGTGAACGACCCGGACGCGGAGTTGACGGTGAAACTCAACAAGGGGAGGGAATCGATGGTCTATCTGACGTTCGTCGCCTTGACTTCGAGGGATTTGTGGTTCAGCGCTGACTTTGTTTTTGCACCTCTAGATACATCATCGATAACTACGAACACCTGCCCGAATCGATGCTCTTCATCCACTCCCTGCGATACCAATGGCATAACGACGACCCCTACTACGACGGCGTCCCCATGCTGCGCAACTTCCAGCTGCCCTACCTCCAGAAACAAGGATACGTCAACCTCCGCTGCGCCTGGGTCCTGGGGTGTCCGGTCGAGATCCACCCACTCACCGACACGCATCGCGAGAACGTACACGCCGGTGAATACTACAAGAACGGGTTCATGGAGCTGTTCCCTGGCGTCGAAGTCCCCGACGAAGTGGGCGTATCGTGCTGCGCGCAGTTCGGAGTGACGAAATGGAAGATTCTCGAGCGACCGAAGAGCGATTATGAGCGGTTCAGGAAATGGTTGTCGGAAACGACGTTGCCGGATGATCTGAGCGGACGAATAATGGAGTATTCGTGGCACAGTATGTTTTTCTGTCTAAAGCGAAGGGAATGGATACTAACTAGAACTAGTGATCTTTGGAAAAGACCCGATCTACTGTCCTTCTGCCGAAGAGTGCTACTGCAAGGTGTTTGGACTGTGCGATCTCAACTGCACTGAGGGCGACTGTGCTGGTCGCTACGCTCTCCCTCCGTTTTCCAGCCTCCCGCAGGGTTGGCCGTATATTGGCTGGAAGGGTCAGAAGCAGGACCCAAGTAAGGGATTGCCAGAAACCTGAATTCACGAGAAGCGAAATAGACCAGCAAGTTGTTCGTCGTTCGTCGTTCGTCGAGCAACGCAAGCAACGCCCCGATTCGGCCACTGTGGAACGAATTCCTACATGCAGCCCTTCGGTACCTGCGATGTCAACCGCATCGAATTATCCCTCGGTCGCCGAGATTCATCGACGGCTAGTATGACGCTCGATGTTAGGCCTCGAGAATGATCGATGCTATGAACGCACCACCTGTCTTGAACGGAATAAAATACCCAATTTTCAACGTCTGCTCGGTTATGCAGAAATCAACACCGGACTGGATGTCCAGGAAAACCAGAATGAACCCAGACTATCTTTATCTATTTATACCCATCCCTACTCTAATGACATCGGTGTTTTTATCATTATGCGCAAAAGTTCATGTACAGAATTGCATTTTGGTTGTTTTGCGAACTATGCATCGGGTTGCTTAGCATATTTTGAAATATAAGAACAGATGACCGAGATAGATTCTGCGCATAATATTTGGATATTTCAAGTCTACCAATAACGAGCTCATGCAAGTGACTGCAGAAGTGGATCGGCCGAGGTCCGCCTGTCAAGCTCTCCCCGCATCTCCGATTCTTCTCCCTTCCTAACCTCAACTCCCTCGCCACCCACTTCATCCATCATTCATCCACCGAAGACCAGCATTTTCTTGCATCAGATCTCATATAATAGACATTCAGCGCCGGCGCTGACTCATTCCATCCTCCATCCCTCCACCCAAAGAGCAGAATCCTGTCTTTCAAGACCGTCTACAGTCTCAAAATGCTCATAATCGGGCTCACCGGCTCCATCGCGACCGGGAAATCCACCGTGTCCTCCTTCCTCTCCTCCCCGCCGTACTCGATCCCCATCATCGACACGGACCTCCTCGCCCGCCAGGTCGTCGAACCCGGCACGCCAGGCTACAAAGCGATCGTCGACTACTTCGGACCCAACACGCCCGATCTCCTCCTCCCCCCGAAACCCGACCAGCCGAGCGATCCGCACGGACAACCATTGAATCGACCAGCGCTGGGCCGTCGCGTATTCGGGACCACGGAAGAACGCAAACGCGACCGACTCGTGCTGAACAAGATCGTGCACCCGGCCGTACGATGGGAAGTGTACAAGGCGCTGGTGTACTATTTCCTCCGGGGCCACTGGGCCGTGGTGCTCGATGTGCCGCTGCTGTTCGAGAGCGGGATGGATCTACTCTGCGGGACGGTGGTGGTGGTTGGGGTGCGGGATGCGGCGGTGCAGATGGCGCGGCTGCGGGCTCGCGATCCGCATCTATCAGTCGAGGAGGCGCAGGGGCGAGTGAGCAGCCAGGGCGACGTGAGGGGGAAGGTGGAGAAGGCGGAGTTTCGAGGGACGGAGACGGCGAGGGGCGTGATTGTGTGGAATGATGGCGACAAGAGCGATCTGGAACGCGAGGTGCAGAAGGCGATGGGCAGTATTCAGACGACGAGTCCGCGGTGGTGGGCCTGGGTGTTGCTGCTGGCGCCGCCGGTGGGCGTGGGCGTTGCGGCGTGGAATCTGGCGTTGAATTTCATGCAGCAGAAGAGGTGGGATCGGAAGGCAAAGGAGGAGAAGGCGAAGTTGTAGCCGGCCATCTACACTACACCATGGAGTACTTCTACATCTACGGAGTACATTTACGTTCTTGGGTCTTACACCACCAAGGCACTGTACTACCGCTTGGATATGAATCCTACAGATCTGATAAACAACCTAGATCTAGTTAATGCCATCCAACATGCAACGCAATGACCATGACCATGACCATGACTCGCCAGAACCCTCCCAGAGAAAATCCCACAATAGCAAATCCAAAAGAACCCCTCCTACGGAATAAATCTCCTACATCATCATCGTCGTCACTCCTACAGAACAAGTCTACGTAAGATCCCAGAATATCACCACGTGCCTGAGCCCCTCTCTCCAATTATAGTTTCCACCTTGCATATCTCCCCTGTCCTGTGCGTATAGAAAAAAAGACATCTCACTGCCAATCTATCCGACAAGTAGGAAGTTAATTCACCTATTTGACTAGTTGGTTGACTTCTTTGTCTGGCGTGTCTTGTCTTGTCTCTGGAGCAACGTCGCTTTTGTTTGTCTTTTTCATCTCTCTCTCTCTCACTCTCTCTCTCTCTCTCTCCATCTCCATCTGAGTCGTCTGAAGCTCTCTTGTTTACTCCCTTCTTACACTCTATCCAAATCATCTAGCCGGCCTGGTCTAACGCTAGCTACATACATACATGCACCCTACGACCATGTCCTGTCCATGCTTCCAAGAACGCAACGCGATGATCGAGAAACCCCAGAACTCACGACCAGTGCGACAAGTCTCGCGAAGAACGAACAACCGGGCCCCGTTGCCTGGGGGGTTACGACGAGTGAGCGGGAGTACAAGAGGCAGCGCAAGGACGAGTATTAGTATGAGTATGAGCATATCAGAGAAAGGTGAGTCCGATCAGCCAGGTTTGACATTCGTTATAGAATGGATTGTATAGGAAAATGATAAAGAGAAGGATAAAGAAAGGGTATATATGTACATTTCAACCAAGAAAGCTAACCACGACCGAATCGCAGATATAGAGCATAAGGTATTCAATTCAACCTCTGCGTCGCAACAAACCCGAAGAGGGTCATGAAACTAACGCGAGCAGACATCACCGTCCCCGAGAGCGTCCATGCCCACACATGCAGCAAGAAGCACCGCACTCCCGCCCAAAGGCATCCTGAAACACCCCACGAAACGATTCCCTTTCGAAGACCCCGTCGCCGTGCAGCGCGCCACGGGCCTTCGGTTCGAGGTGGGTAAGCTGTCGTCGGAGTTCACTCTGGACGAGCCGGATATGGTCGAGGTGCATGCGTTCAAACGGAACATGGGAGGAAGACAGCCCCGGGATTCGATAGTCGTGGTGGACGAGGCTAGAACGCGAGCAAGAAGGAGGTTTCTGTCAGAGAAGGGGTCCCGGGAGGCTCTGCTGGGAGAGAGGGATTAATATAGTTGGTGTGGTGTGATTTGGTGTTGTGGTAGGGTTTCTGTTTGATTTGATTGCATTCCGTGCTTTGCTTCCATGCGTTGCTTCCAGATGGGCGTTAGAGATGACTTCAATGATAATGAATGCCGTTGTGCGGGACACAATAACTGTCGCGAATGTCCTTAGAGGAGCGTCCGTAGATGGTCTATTTATGCTTTCTCTTCTTCTTCGACTGCGACGGCGACCGACTACGCCCGAACGTGGGTTGGCCTCCTGCACCCGATATACTGGTGAGTTTGGACAACTTGACTGGGCCGCTTCGTTCCGCTTTCGCTTTTTCTCTCTTGATCATCGCGTCGGTATCCTCGTCGTCCTCGTCGACCGTGGCCGTTTCACCATTTTCCGTCTATCATCGTTAGTTAACCATCTCAGGCCGGTCAAGAAAGGAAGAGACAAACCACGACTCTCTTCTTCCGCTTAAAATTCCCATACGATTGTCTCCCGCCATACATCATATCATCATCATCCGCGTCCAACGAATCCGCCGTCACGACTCGCGGCTGCGGCGCATACTGCGTGCCGGCACCGAAATCGAGCACCCATTCAGACTCGCCCGCCTCGGCAGCCTGTCGATTTACCGCCTCTCTGCGTCGCTCCTCCTCGGCCGCCAGGGCCGCCGAGATGGCCTCCAGATCTGATTGGGGGGTCGCGGGGCTCTGGGTTTCGGTTTGGCCATTGCGGTGTCGTTTCGGGCTGGGAGTGTCGGGGGTTTGGGAGGGTTCGTTTGCAGCAGCGGAAGCGGCGGCGCGTTGCATGAACTGTATTCATCCTTAGTTCAAATTGATCTCATTGGGGGTTGTGTAGTGAGATGAAAGATACCTTCATTGTCAGCAGACGCGACGACATGGATTTCTCCGGCTTGGAGCCAGAGGAGGGTGAGCCGGCCATGATCGCAGTGATCTGTATCAGATAATCAAATCAGAAAGATGAATCACGACTACCCCAGCTGTCGTTAATACGATGAAAGAGGAAACCAGGTGATAGTGTCGACCGACAAAAAAAAAGGCGGAACGAAATGACCGACCGGCAGAATCGCAGCCGCCCTCAACACCCGCCGGAACCCACCCGATTGGCCCCATAAGCGCCCCTCCCATCTAACCAACCAAACCTCACCCTTTGTAAGATCCAAGTTCGACTTCCTCTCCCTCCCGCCTTGCTCCTCCGCCAGCCCTCGTCCTCGCCCTCAACCCTCAACCCCCCAATTCCTCCCACCAACGAAATGTTCGCCTGCGCTCGCAGCCGCATCGCGGCCTCGTCCGCCTGGACGGCCCCCCGCGTGGTCCGCGCCAGCTACAGCACGACGGTTGCGCGTCTCAGCGAGAACAGAATGCAAGCCAACGACCCGACTCCGCCGACGAAAGTGCCCAACGTGTCGGCCACCAACGCCACGCCCACAGACGCGATGGGGAACTGGGATCTGCCGCTGAAGGAGGAGCCCGAGGCCGGCGAGCGCAACCGGCAGCTGCAGGCGCCTAACCGGGCGCGGACCTGGGCGGCGAGCCAGCAGCCGAGAGAGAAGGCTATGGTTGGACCGCGATTCGAGCAGACGATAATGGAGTTGCAGGTGTGTATGCCCTTTCTGGAGGAGCTGTCAGGGAGTCAATTGGCCGGGGATCGATCAATGGCTTGACAGGAGGGTAACATTGAGGGAATTGAACTAATTTAATACTCTGTAGCCCCAACCCATGGCCGCCATTGAACTCATCCACCAGCAACCCGTCCGCTGGACAAAGAAGAAGGTCGTCAGCTGTGACGGCGGCGGCGGTCCTCTCGGCCACCCCAAGATCTTCATCAACACCGACAAGCCCGATATTGCTACCTGCGGATATTGCGGACTTCCTTTCGTAAGCCCCCCTTCAAGCAGATCTGCGCACAGAGAGACGCACACAGGCGCAGACAGCAACAATGGCATACTAATAATATCACAGGCCCAGGAGCAGCACCGCGCATACCTCGAATCTCTCCCGGCCACCAGCTACCCCCTCAAGCCGACCGGCAATGCGGCGGAAGTGAACGAGACCCAGCGCGTCACCGACGGTGGTCTAGAGCAGCGGTAAAAGGCATATTGGCGTTGATGATGACTTGACTTTTTGTGTTTGTTGCACTTTGTGCTTGTACAGTTGTACCGTAGTGAATTGATTTTGCCAGTACACGTGGAGTTGTTAACCGTAGTATCTTTTATACGATATCTTCCTCGGCCATTTCCTATGCTATATTCCTCACCATACATGCGTCCATCCCCATGTACCCTAACTGTATTCGCAAGGAAATAAAAACACCCCCAAACACAACCATCATGTTTATCATTCAATCATCTCATCAGAACACCGTCCTAAACCACTCCCTCCGGTAGTTATAAGCTTGCCACCTCCCCTCCAGAAACACCAGGGCCGTCAAGTCAAGCCTTCTCACCCTGAATGGTAGCCACCACCTTTCTGCTGTGCCGACTCGTCCGGAACTCCAAGTACCAAATACCCTGCCACGTTCCGGTGTTCAGACGTCCGTTCGTAATCGGGATGGTGACTGACGCGCCGACGAGGGCGGATTTGATATGGGCCTGCCGGTATCCCATGGTTAGCATGGCTTCGGGGAAAGATAACGTCAAGAATATTTCAAATCGTCCATCCAACCCCACCAACCCCACCAACAAGGCCAGATAGGAAGGATAAAAAAACAACGCAATCACAACCCTTCGGGTCTCTTCATAGGGTGAAAAGACAACGTACAGGCATATCATCCTCCCCCTCGGCCGAATGCCGATAAAGGTTCCCCTTTTTATCATACGGCGCGATGCGATCCAACGCATCACTCATATCCGCGCGCACATCATCATCCCAGTTCTCGTTCAGCGAGAGCCCGCAGCTAGTATGTTGGACGAAGAGGTGCAGGATGCCGCACTTGTAGTCGCGCAGCTCGGGCAGTTCGGAGACTACTTGGTCGGTGATGAGGTAGCTGCCGCGCGAGCGGGAGGGGAGGGTGAAGGATTTTTGAAACCAGGACATTTTGCTTTTTGCTCTTCTTTCGGGGTTGTTGGGTTTGGGATGATCTTTGGGGGAGGGTCTGTGGGTGGAGGGTTGGTTAGTTGGTGTTTGAATGACTTGGTGGGTGGTATCGGGTGTGGTGGGGTTGAAGTGATTGATTAATCAATTGAGTGGGTGGATGAATGGACGATGGAGGACGGGAGGGGGATATTGTGTTAGATACACGGTGGATAGGTAGAATTGGAATATAGGTATGCGTACATTCGCAGTTCCAAAGAATAATGTGTGGTTGTAACTGCAACGAGTGACAGAAGGCGGATTTAAAGTGGGAGATTCTTCGGTGGGGAAACGCGATCGACGTCATTGGATTTGCATTTGGCATTGCTTTACTCGAGAAATATACATACACTAGATTCCTCTACTTAAGCAGAATTACCTTCATCAATTACAGCTTCCCTATCGAGCTCTCCATCTCACTATACGTTCATAACTACTCCAAGCTCCGACTTAGTATTTATGAATCAGGAAATACACCTCAAGTCCATCGAATTGATCTGACAACCCATTAATTATCCATCGCTGGAATCAAACAGAATAGAATACAATCTCCCTCCCTCCATCTCCCTCTCCTACTCCGTAAGCATCAAAAATAAACCCTCCACGCAGCCCACCCCCCAAACCCCAAAAACGCCAACCAATGCCCCAACGCCTTCACCCTGAACTCCTCCCCCCCATACTTCCACACAACAAACCCATCCCCCAGGCCCGCGAGCGCACAAATAGCCGCAATAGTCGTCACCGCCACATCCTGACCTTGATACTGCAGCGCGATCAAAGCCAGCCCGTAGCTCGTCTCGCGGATGCCTTTGAGGTGGATCAGGGGGCTGACGCAGGCGTCGTTCGCGCCGGTGGTAGGCTTGGTAGGCTTAGAAGGTTTGCGGGCGGTGCCTGCAGGGCCGGATTCAAACGGCAGTCCGAAGCGGGGATATTCGTTGGATGGGCGCAGGATGCTGTTCAGGCCCAGGGCGAGGCAGAGCGCGCCGAGGAGGTAGCTGGGGATGGGGGAGAAACTGCTGGTGGTGCTCATTTTTTGGAGCGTTTCAGGTGTGAGCAGGGGGGTTGGTATGTATGTACCCGTTAAGAGGGTGTTTGGGGTATTTGTAAATGAGATCAGATTCAGGAGACGATTATTGATGGATGAAACGCGGAGAATTCCAGTTGGAGATGAGGTGGTTGGAAAGGGGGAAAGCGGGGGACAGACAAAGAAAGGCAACGAACTATAAATATCACCATAATATAAAGACACTACTATACATAATCATAAGCCCTGCCGGGAACACTACATCCGCATCCGCGAACCCTGTTAGTCCACTTGATCGCTCTGACCGTCCAACCCCGTCCATTTGGGTTTCCCATCCGGCACATCGACGGCCCGCGCGCTGTAGAAGATATGACAGCTTCTTTTGTGAGTTTCGACCATCCACCACAGGAACAAAGGATACGGATACGTACTCGATTTCAAACGCCTTTCGCCACTCCTCCACCTCCTGATCCGATGACCCATGCTCGATCGTCGTCGGAAACACCATGCACATATTCCGCCCCTCGTCCATAAGCGGCGTGTGACAATACGAACAACTCAGCTTCGTCGGCGTCTGATACTCTCTCGTGCGATCACCCGAGGAGTAAAAGGCCAGCCCCTCCGCACCGTTGACGAACGCAATGTCCGTTTTATGGAAGATGGCCGCCCATTGGAAGGGCGCGCCTACAGGGATTCATTAGCCCGGAGATAGTCCCCACATTGAGCGCGCTTACCGTGGAGCAACTGGCAGTTGTGACAGTGGCAGTATTTTGCCTTGAGCGGTCGATCCCGATTCAGCTTGAATCGCACCTGTCCGCACTGGCATTTCCCGTGCCACTTGACGTGGCCGAAGTCCTCGGCGGATCGCAGCTGGTAAGGGGCGCGGTGCTTCCAATGGACTTCCTGCGTAGTGTCGGACATGGGGTTGGGGAAGGGTTGGCCCCCTGCATCGCCGATTTCGGTCATTGTGCTGGTCTGTGTGAAAGAAAGCTGGCGGTTATGATTAGGGGTAGTGCTAGTGTACTTCCGAGTGGCTGTCTTTATTGTATTATGGAGGTGCGACTTTATAGGCTTTACAGTACAACGGGAGATGGCAGACGATGTCATGCTGGACAGGGGAATCCTGATCCAGTAGGCAAATGATGTCATGACGATGTCAGAACAGCCGGGAAAGAATATTATCAGAAGGATTCTATGTCAATCAGATCGATGAGATCGATCAGATTCAGTCAGACAGATGAATTATTCCTGCCTGTGGACTGTGAACGGTGGAGTTGTTCATGTTGAAGTGAAGGAAGCGAGAATGACGGAGTATAAATTAACGTAATCGGTAAGCGAACCGGCCACGTAAGCGAGCCGGCCACCCCAACAAGAATCGCCCACCCATTGAAGATAAGGCTATTCAAACATCAATTTCTCCACCAAAAATGCCTAAATCGTCAAAAGTCTTGGTGGAACAAGAAGGCAGGCTCTGCTTGGCAGTTGAAGCTATTCAGAAACATCAAATTTCGTCAATTCGTGAAGCCGCGCGTATCTTTCAAGTTCCTCGGTCAACACTGCAAGAACGCCTCAAGGGAATCACATTTCGCAAGGAAACACGCGCTAATTCCCATAAATTGACTCCATTAGAAGAGGATTCCCTTGTTAAATGGATTCATTCGCTTGATCAACGTGGTGCAGCGCCAAGGCACTTCCAAGTCCGTCATATGGCTACAATCTTACTGCAGAAGCGTGGCCAAGGTGGAACTTGCTCTGTAGGCGAGAAATGGGTATATAATTTCATTTTTAGGCATGATTCTTTGAAGAGTCGGTTTACTCGCCAAATTAGCTATAAACGGGCAAAGTGTGAGGATCCTGAGATTATACAGGCCTGGTTTCAACGCGTTCAAGCCGCCGTCGCTACGTATGGAATTGCAAATGAAGATATCTACAACTTTGATGAAACCGGCTTTGCCATGGGCTTGATGGCTACGGCCAAGGTTGTTACGCGTTCTTCTTGCGAGGGAAGACCGTTCTTTATACAGCCAGGCAATCGCGAATGGATAACTTCAATCGAATGTATTAACGCCGCCGGCTGGGCGTTGCCTGCATATTTAGTGTTGAAGGCGAAAACGCATATTCAGGCATGGTATGAAGGCAGCCTGCCCTCCTCATGGCGTATCGCGATATCGCCAAACGGCTGGACTAATCGGGAAATCGGGGAACACTGGCTTAAAGAACACTTTATTCCTTATATTAAGGATCGAAGAACTGGCCAATATAGCCTCTTGATCCTTGACGGGCATGACTCCCATTTAACGCCTCAGTTTGATGATATATGCCGAGAGAACAACGTGATTCCAGTGTGTATGCCTGCCAATTCCTCTCATCTCTGCCAGCCGTTGGACGTAGCCTGCTTCTCGCCATTAAAGCAGGCGTATAGCGGCCTCCTTGGACATCTTATACGAACTGGATATCATCATATTGAGAAAGTTGACTTTCTTGACATCTATCCGGAAGCCCACGTCCAAGCCTTTCAGAAGACGAACATTCAAAGTGCCTTTGAAGCTGCCGGAATCGTTCCTTTTAATCCAAGCAAGGTCCTGAATAATCTCATCTTCTACAGGGAGGAAAGCCGGCCAAGCAGCCAAGGGACAACTTCAACTGTCACCAAAACACCTAAGAATTTGAAGCAATTCAAGAGACACGAGTCAAATATCTCTCAATTGCTTCAAGAAACAGATCCTCCGGCTTCACCCATGCAAACTGCCTTATCATACATTTTCAAAGGCGCTGAGACAGCCTTGAACCGAGCTATTCTTTTGGAACAAGAGAACTTCCAACTTCGTGAGGCTGTTGAACGACGAAAGAAGAAAGAACAGCGAAATCAACATCAGATGAATGGCCTGAATGGCTTTACTATTCAAGAAGCACGCGAGGCCTTTGTATACGTCCAATCTTTAGAGAAAGCAGCCGGTGATACAGGGCCTGGGGATGATCAGCCACGCCGACGCGCGCCGCCTCGCTGCAGTATGTGTCACGTTGTAGGACACATACGAACAAGGTGTCCGAATCGAAACACCTGATTTCGGGCTTCAAAAAGAATCTATATAGGCCTGAAAAGCTTTATTTTTTTGTATATAAATCAAAATTCCAATATAAGCATGTTTGCGGGCTGCCAAGCCGGCCGGTTCGCTTACATGGCCGGTTCGCTTACCGATTACGTTAGAACGGATGACTCAGCCCTGAGTCAGCCAGCTGAAACGCGCTTTGCTTTGTTTGCATTCTTGGCAGGCCTGAAATGCCAGGCCTAAAACTGGTCGGACTTTGGAGACAGCGACTAACTAATTAATAAGAATGATTCGCGCTGAAGTCCAAAGAATAGACAGTCTCAGACTCAATTCACTCGCATCCCAGTCCCCTGATAGGAGGATAAAAACAGATCATTGACATCCCAGACAGGCCGGCGTCTACTTCGTGCTGCTCCCCGTAGCCGTGATTGCGATTGGCGTTGGAGAAGGAGTCGCTTCTATATTTATATTTCCATTTCCTGTCCTTCGCTTACTTTTTAGTCTTGACTCTTCCCCGTCGTTCGTCTCGTCTCGGTCGTATTTCTTTTGGCCCCAATCCCCGACTCCCCTCCTGCCACTCTCCACTCTCCTCTCTCTCTCCTCTCTCTCTCCTTTCCCTCTCACTCTCTTCTTCTCCCCCCTCTCTTCTCTAACACTAGTTCCAACGGTCAACCGATCAACCGTCCAACAGAAGTACAGAACCGTCCAACTGCCCCCTTCATCATGGGCTTTCTCAGCCGCCTGCGCAAACGTTCCAAAAGTCTCGGCCGTGCGGGGAAAAGCAACGCCGTCAGTTACGACCATCTCCGCACCCACGATCCCCTTCCTCGCGTCCCCGTCAACATCACCGGCGGCGATCATACCAAGAAATTACCTCCCCAGGTGCTCGCTCGCATCTTCGTCCACGTCTGCCCCCATGCCAATGATGGCTCCTACGAATCCTCCGAGGAATCCATGACCGAGGATGGCTGCATGCTCTGCGATATGCGCGATCTGGCCCACTGCGCCCTGGTGTGCAAGCGCTGGTTTTTAGAAGCGCGGAGGTTGCTGTACGTCTTTCGCATTCCTTTTCTATTGGAGGTCCAAACGAATTAATTCCTTAGCTACGCCCACGTCCGCATCGACCCCGTCCACTACTGCGAACTCGAGTTGGAATTGGCCGCCAAGCGAAAACGTCGCTCGTTCTTCGATCGCAATGCCGACCCCATCGACGCCCCTCAGGTCCGCCTGTCCCTCTTCATGCAGTCCGTCCGACAGTCCCAGGGTTTAGGGAATTTGGTTCTCTCCCTGCGCATGCCCTATATGACCCGCGAGGCCACCAAGGCCGAAATCGCCCGCACCATCTCCGTGCTGCCCAATCTGCGCTACGTGGACTTACCCGCCGGCATCTTCAGCGACGACCCCTCCTGCCTCGCCCTGAAGCAGGAGCTGATGGCGCGCTGTCCGGACATCCGACGCATGGCCTACCGCCACGGGGCCGAGGGCAGCTTCGCGCAGCTGTCGGGCACGCATCTGTGGGGGAATCTGGAGATCTTGGAACTGCAGCGACTGCACGTCGAGCCGAACATTCTGCGATTCGGACTCGGCACGTTCCCGCGCCTGCGGGATTTGACGCTAGACGATCTGTCCTGGCTGGACGATGCCTGCTTCGCGCCCTCGCAGGTCCTGCCGCCCTTCCCCGCCGTCGAGCGACTGACCATCCGCGACTGTCCGGGCGTGACGGCCGACGGCATCGTCGCGTACCTGTCCATCCCCGCCCACCGCAAGGCGCTGCGGTACCTGACGCTGTCGAACACGGGGGTGGCGCCGTCGACGCTGCACCAGATCCTCAGCGCGGCGCCGCATCTACTGGTATTGTCGGTCATCCAGAACGTGTCGCGGTCCTTCCCGGCCGAGCAGATCCCCCCGATGGCGTCGCGCACGCTGGACACGATGCACTACGAAGTCACCTCGGAGGCGGGCCAATACGGCATGCCGCCGATGGCGTCGTCATACTACACCTACCTCGTTTCGAGTCTCATTTCCAACGCATTACCGGCGCTCCGCGAGCTCTACGTGCGCGACTCGCACTTCCCCGAGACGCTGCTGCTGGCGCCCCCGCCTCGACTGTTCGGCGGCGGCGACGCGGGGCCGCAGATGGGCACCGGCGGCGTGCTCACGCAACCGCTAAACGTGTACAGTAAGGGACTAGACGAGCTGGAATGGAACTTCACGCCGTACGAGCCGCCGGCGACGCGAGGACGGCGAGACAGCACGACGCGACCGGTCAGTCTGCACGACGCGCAGCTGAGTCGGGCGTGGGGCGGAGATGCGCGACGCAGCGTGTTGGTTGGGAACGGGTTCGGCGGGTTCCTGGCGGTGCCGGCGGACGAGGAGCGGCCGAAGAGCAGCGGGGGATGGAGCAAGCGAGATAGTCGACAGGATCTATGGCGGTAGTTGTGTATGTATATGGAGGGGGGTGATTGAGGGGGTTAATGGCATAATGATATACCCTGTAGTTGTTAGATTGTATAGGATGATTGATCAGATGCAACTCTTATCTTATATACTCCAAGTGCATTCTACCCTTCGTCCTCCCTTATAAGGTACCTAACCTTGAACACTCTCCTACCCTAACCTCAGGTATGTCAACACCTCCCCATAACCACAAACCCCACCACATCATGCGCCCCAACCTCCCGACTAATCCCCCCCCTCACACACCCCAAATTCTCACCCGACCAAATATCAACAGCCTCAAACCCCACCTCTCCCTCATCCTGCCCCAAATGCAACTCCGGTACCTCCGCAAACCTAAACCCCCTCAACCCCACCTGTTCCTCACTATTGAGCATGAGTACCAACGTCCCGCCTAGACTCGAGGACTCCCCAGCCCAATACTCCGCCGGATGAACCGGATCGAACGTCCAGTCGGCGTTATAGCCCCATTTGAACGGGGACGCGGGACGGCCGATCAGGGGGTCTTGGTTGAAGTCGATGAGGTATTTGTTTTTGAGGATGGTGAGGTGGGTGGGGGGGATTTTATCCAACTATCAGATTATTTCGTTAGCTAGTTAGTTAGCTGGTGTTGTGTATATCATGGCATGGGCATGGGCATGGCATGGCATGCTATGACAAAGCTGTATAGGTAGGTAGGTAGGTAGAAAGTTTGGTAAATGGGAGTTTTGGGAGAGAGGAGACCCAGGACATACAGCAGTCCCAATAATCAAGGGGGCTTTCATAGCAGCCCACAGAGCAAAATGGGCTCGGTTCTCAGCCAGAGTCAGATTCCCGTTGCCGATTTCAAGCATGTCCGGGTCTGGGAATCCCCAGAAGTTGGCGTCGTTGAGGAGGAAGGTGTTTTGGTTGGCGAGGTCGGCGATGCGTGTCCATGTTGCTATCGACAGTATCAGTATCAGCAGGGGTATCAGTATTAGCATGAGCATGGGCATATGAGGTTGGTCGTATCGATTATTTTCTTCCTACACAGCTAGGGTGCAAGGTAGGCATCAAGGTAAGTATAGAGGTAGGTAGGGTCAGGGGGACGAACGCGTAATATCCCCACTAATCCTCCATGAATTCCCAGTCTCGTTCCCCCAAACACCCACGTCCGCTTGACCCCATACGCAGAGCGAGTACGCGATAGTACGGTTGACAGCCAGCAAGGCGTCACGCATCATGCGGTACCGAAGGGCCGTGTTCGACTGGCGCCAGTCATATTCGCTCGGGGCAGGCGTCGTGAGGTCCGGACAGGTGCCGTTGGGGAAGTGGTTGCCGTTCGTCAGGTCGGGGACGCAGTGCGTGTAGGTGTCGGTCCAGTTGGAGGGGACGCCGCAGTTGTCGTATTTGAGGTCTGTTTATTAGTCATTTCATCATGTTAGTGATTTGTTGGTGGATGGGTGGTTGGGTATAGAAGGTAGATGTGGAGTAGGGCTAACAATCAATTCCCCATTCCGCAAAGGTCTGCGCGTCGATGCGTTCATATCCCAAGCTGGCGGGATATCCAGCGCAGGTTTGTGTTCCGGCGCCTGAATGACTTCTCGTTAGCTTCGTTCACAAGTAGGTATGTCTCATGGATGGCTTGAGTATTCATCTTCCGTCACGGTATAAAAGCAGAAACATACTACTATAAATCCCAACCTTCAACCCCAGATGATGAATCTCCTTCGCCACGCCAGCAATGCCATCAGGAAACTTGGCAGGATCAGGAATCATGCGTTTCGTGACAGGATCACGTTGGTCTTTGATAGACCAGCAGTCGTCGACTATTCATATATCAGGACATGTCAGCTATACATGTTTGCAGCCATGCCTGACCCTGACCAGCCACTCCCAACATGAAAAGAAGAAGTTAGGAAGACTATACTGTTAATATACTCATATCCCAAATCCTTCAATCCCAAATCCACGACCTGCCGCGCCGCAGTCAAGACTTTTGTGGCGTTGATGTCGCAGGCGAAGGCGTTCCAGGAGTTCCAGCCTAGGGCGGGGAGACGGCCCTTATCAGCTGTTAGTAGGGTATTGGTTTGTTTTAGTGTTTGGGTGAGAGGTTATGTTCAGACATTGGGAAGATTGGGTATATTTAGGTGTAGATTGAAGGGCAAAGAAGGGAAAGAAAAAAGGGTTAAGGAAGAGGAAGCATACCACACCACCGGGTCTCACCAGTCCCTCGACCACCGTTCCAGCAGCCAAGAGAGAGAGGAGGCCCGTTGAGAGGGCCCGAAAGAATGAATTGGTCATTATGTCGGCGTTATTCTTCCCATATGGGACTCGTGGACGCAAAGACCCAATGGTAATTGGAGACCTCAGTCAGTCAAACCAATTCAATTAGAGTTAGCTACGAGCAAGCGAATTACCCCAAGCTCAATGAGAAGGAAGAAAGGAAGAAGAGAAAAGACAAAGTATCATAGGTTCCACCTCTCAATTTCGCAAACAAATGGAGAAAGGCCCTTTTATATCCATGAAAGTGCTCTCCTCCCCCGCACCCAGTGTCTACGGTATGCAAAGCAACGCAACAAACGGCGTGGCGTGCAGATCGAAGGAATTCAATCTAAGCTAGAACAGACTAGAGTAGCCCTAGATCAGAATGGGTAGATGAAGCAAACAAATAATCACACACTGTAATAAACAATCCCGGGAAAGTACCCCGTACAAACCAAGCAGATACATACGTTCTGTACACCCTGGCCATACAGAGCGCTTTACCCGCCCAGTTTCTGTGTAGATCTATATAGCATATTGGGGAGGACAAAAAGCAGTGTAAGTGTGATGTGCCGCATCGGCAGCCGATGCAGTACAGTAACTGCCAACACCAGCCCTAGGTAACCCACCAGCAGTAGCCAGCCGGTGCCAACAACGCCCCGGACCAAAACAATATACGGTAACTTGAGGATGCAGGGAAGAAAAATCAATTTAGTGCAGGTATGATGCACCCACCCCAAACAACACGGCGCATCGCCGCTCACCGTCCGTGTCGAAAGAGGAATAGGGCAGAGGCACGAGCAGGGGTAAGGACGTACGGAGTAGCCTAGTGGACTCTGGAGAAGTACGAAGTAAAGACATTGTTAGTCTCATGATTCCAGTATCTAGACATATCTAGCCCTGCATGAATTCTCGTACGAATTTCGACTCTATTCCCTCGATGGGTACACTTCACTGCCCCGTTGCTTAGGCTTGGCCGGGGCCCGCAAAATCTCTAGGGACCACAGAGTCGTAAAGACCGGTGTTGTTAACCTAGTAAACTAATTAATCATACATTCCAACCGGAGCAGATAAAAAAACGCCAAATTAGGTATAAAGTCAATTGACTTTTCATCCATTCCGATTATCATCGATAATCACGTTTGGACTTGAGTCCACTGCATTGGAGCCTTATATAAGTAAAAGCACTCTGCTTTTGATATAGAGATACTGCATGTACAAGGAAGGATATCGAGCTCGAGGTCGCTCTACAGTATTGACCGAACTCACTATACTTTGAAGTCTCGTTGTGGAGTACGCCGTAGGCCCAGGGTTATGTTCATAATATGTCGTATGTAAGGAGTAGCAACCGGGGCTTGTCTTACAGAAACGTAGTATATGGCTCGACTGTGCCTGCTTGTATACAAATGCAATCTCATGTATCTTAACTTAAACTGCAGTAGCAAGTCGAAGTATTGTTATTGTTCTCTTCCGAGCCAAGAAGACCTGGGCTTGACTAGTCTTAAAATTTAATACTGATAAAATATGAAATATAAACTCTAATTTATATAACAGATAATAGAAGACTTGCCACTCATTTCATGGCCCTTGTAGCTTGATTCAACGCGTTGAAGTCATCGCAACTGCAGTCAGAAAATAATCGGTCAACAACACAAAACAAACAGAAACATTCTAGAATGCAATACGTACCTGGTTGACCGTATATTCTATAGTATTATCTTCATACCACGGCTCCACTGGGCTAAGTAGGCAATTGATTTCAGGGTGTATTGTATTAAGTGTATGTACTGCTACTTTTCTTCTTCATCCCTAAATGGCCATCCCTTCTCCAGAAGCTTGATCTCTTCCTGATCTCCCTCACCCAGTGCAATCAGAGACTCTTTGAGCTCAGCAACCTTTCGTACGGCCTCTTCGTACTGTTCATTACTGATCCAACCGTCTTCATTAATTCCACCAATTTGCTCTCTCCAGAGATTCACAACTGCATTCAGTTCAAACCACTGCTGCTCTTGCTCAAGAAATCCTTTCGTTTCATCATCAGTGAAATGAACAGGACAAGGCAGTCCTTTTGTTTCTAAATGGGGCCAATATTGAACCATGCGGATCAGTGCCCCCTTCAATGTTACAAGGTTTCCACTCCACTGTCTTCCAGCCCATTCTATAAGGTGTTGTCGGGGACGGAAAAGGGGATCTTGCAGGGCATTAAGATGGGCCTTGTTTAAGCCTCCATTGAAGATACGGTAGTAGTAGAAGAGAAGACGCCGTCGAAAAAGCTCATCAGCTTCTGCCTTCGCTTCCGTAGAGAGTGTCTCCTCATCCAGAGGAAGTGATGGTTCTTTCAAACCAGGTGATTCTTCAGGATCTGGATTCTCAAATGCCCGAGGATAGCCTGCCACCAACAGACGTGGCTCCACTGTTGTATGTTGCCAATCAATGATGCAAGAGATAGCGCCCGTCTTAGGTAAAATGAATATATTGTTTGGGTTTAGGTCTGGGTGACGAAGAGTCGGCTTATGCAATGCAGGATCTTTTGGAAGAAGGTATGGCGTCATTGCAAGATATTTGCGCAAAAGATCAACGTGTTCTTCGGGATTCTTTTCTCCTGGAAAAATGCCATTGTGTGGAAAGTCCAGCTCAACTGGCTTGCCATATCGCCGTGTCCAGCACTCTTCTTTTTGGGCAATTGATTGGAAATATTCAATAGGATCGTTCCCTATATCTGTCAGTGAATGGAAGGAATAGAATAGGGACATTATTTACATGGCCCACGACGGAGGTTGGAATCTCCCCGTTCCCCATACCAGAACATGTAATCCGCAATGGGACCAATGCAAAATGTCTCTGAATCGTGGCTCGGTTCAGTGTATAACGGCCCCTGGAGATCAACAGGGATATCCGTTTTAGAGTAGATACTCCCAATAGACCCAAAAGGAATGTCGAAGAATTTCTTCTCAATGTCAACAAAGCTTGTTGCAAGTTTATGCAGTTGGCGTTTAGTTAGATCCCGCCATCTTGACTGCAAACCCACGCCTTAAGCCTTTTCCATGAGAAGATACTCGACCCCAGCAGGATTATTTGCGCAGGAAGAATAGCCATAAACTTTAGGCACGGGTATGCCCTTAGAATGGAGATATCGTAAAGTGGCAGCTTCACTTGCAGTGGCAAATTGTTTGGGCCCAGCAATGTGAAAGGGGATTTTAAGAATTGCCTCAAACCCATCATCCATACTTAGAAGGAACACGCGATTGAACCCCCCTTCGGCCAGTTTGACAATAGATGCGACTTGTCCGTGAGCAGAACCCAAGATCTTCTCAGTCTCCTGCAAAAGGGCAGTGGCGTTAAACTCCACAAAACGCTCGCGGAGGCGACGATCCTCATTGAAAAGGAACCTTCCAGAGGTATAGGAATAAAGATTTTGCGTGGCTGATACACCTAGAGAGTGAAGATATATTACTGACCATTAATCGTGGCTAGAAGAGCTTATGACAAACCCATGTTGACACGCTGAGAGTATGCGACCGTGTTCCGTGGCAGTGGGTCGAAAATACGGTGCAAGACTGATTTGAACATTGGGATAGCAGGCGCGGAGTATTCAGTGCTCAGTATCGTGATATAGAATGTAAGGAAAGACTCGAGGATGTAACTGGGGAATAGCGGCTTTTATACTGTCAACGACTCAAATACTTTCCGAATTGCAGTTGGAAGCTGGCACTAGGAGCCCCTATCGATCGCTCGCATTCTTTACCGATCTGTACTTTCTGTACTGGTGGCTGACCTTGTATAGGTACGTAGGGGTATTTAGGTAGTTAATAAACATACACATAAGCAGAAACAGCACGGTGGTTTATTGAGAAGTAATGGTGGTAGGTCTATCGATATATCTGCCATCTGCCCCGACGATATTTATGGTTTGGGGATTAAGCGACTTGGGATTCTGAGGAACATTGGTTCTATTCATCTTTATTCTTTTCTTAGTGATCAGGTGGTTAATCTATAGAAAGTATTTTAGAGAAAGTAAGTGCGTAGTACAATACTATCACCCTAGCTATCATTTTTCTCCCCTGGGAAGTCCGGTCTATTCTTCTTGTCCTGTCATACATACTAATCACAAGAGTTAGGAGTACTGTACGTAAGCTGTCAGTTCCGTTTGAGGTACGGAACTGGATATATATTTTAGAATCAACGCAACACCTCGTGCAGATAATATACTCTACTCTCATTTTCTAGTACTAGGTTGGTAGGTTCTTTCCGCTCAGTACTACATGTATATCTGTGTTTCTTGGATAGTGATTATTCATTATCTCTTTTGAGGTAATTAATTGACCATGCAGCTATTTGTTATACCTGCCCACCTACTGAGCTACAGTTAGCTCTATTCATATCAGGAAAAAGAAAAGCAAAGAACAGACTACTGGCAGACTAGTAGACCATATAGTATGCATAACCACTGTCACTATCCATACTCCAATCCGCACACTAACTAGTATCATCAGAAGAAAAAAAAAAATAAGAAAAATCAAATAAATCAAATATTCTATTGAATAGTATCATCACACCCGGAATCAACCCCAAAGTCCACCTTGCCTATCACACCCTCCCCAAAACCCACTCCATCTATCCACCGAACAGCCTCCCTCCCTACCAACTCACAACTACAACAACAACCACCGCCACATATATACACCATTAAAATTAAAATACCAACAAAGAGCATACCCCCTCTACCACTCCAAACAAAACTTCCATCATCATACATGTTTATCGTGAAATCATTAGTCATACATACACGCCATTGTGTGCGCTCTATAGGTATAGGGTATTGTTCCGTGTTCTGTTCACTTGGTCTCCTGCAAGACCTGTCGGGGGCCGATCACCATATCATGCCATACTAGATCATGCATGCCCATACTAACCAGCAGTTGTATCCCGGAGCTGGTTAGAGAGTAGTAAATAGTACTAGTGATCAAACCAAGACTCCGTCTAGTTGGGAGGGGATGCAGAAGAGAAGTCGAATGCGATTAGGAATTCCCGCCGAGGATCAAGGTCCGGGCTTGTTGGGGATCGGTTCCGAGGACGCTGATAAGGTATTCGATACTTTATTCGGTAAGTCAGTGGTCATGGTTATGGTATGTAGGCAAGGGAATAGACATACCTCGCCTCCGAAGCCAATCGTCGCTTTTCCTTCTGGAACTCCTGCTGGCAGCTTTCCCAAGCGACAGCCCGCTCAGATTCTCGGACAGTCTTGATGCGCAGTTTGAAAGAAGCGCTGACAGGTCGGTGATCGGACGCGCGCACCTCATGACGTCGGTATTCCAGCTGCTTGACTCGTCCCAAACCCCGATATAGCACACGGTCACACCACGCCGGAGACCGCTTCTTGTCGCTGGAGTCGTAGTCGTCCGTCCCCACGTCGTACTTGTACGTCGGCGCGAAGGTGATCGGGGACTCGTTGAAGGACCGCAGTCGGAAGCCCGGGTTCTTGCGTCGCGACGCCAGCAACTGGTCGCGATCGAGCAGTTTCGTCAGATTGTTCTGCCGGATGGCGTCGATGATCACGTGCCGGGGAATCGAGTCGATGCGGTAGTTGAGGTCACCGTTGAGCAGACAGATCTCGTGGTCCATGATCATGGAGCCGTCTCCGCCGCTGACGAAATGGTTGGCCCGCGTGGCGAGACTGGGCTCCATGGGGAGGGACTCGGCTTCCAGGATCGCGGCGATGTCGTTGTTGCGATGGGCGGTCTGCGACTGTCCGGCGGCCAAATGGCAGTTCACGAAGCACATGGAACTATCGTCAAGCACAAACCGAAGAATCAGGGCGCCCTGGTACACAAAACATTAGATCGAGCAGTAACAGCAAACATGAAATCACACACCTTATTCCCATGCAACCCTCCCATACCTCGCTTCACCTCGGAAGCGCTGACGTTCTTGATGCGTTGTCGTTCCTTGTGTTTCACAAAGACGCACGTGAACAGCCCGATCAGATTGGCGCTGTGCAAGAGAACGTACGACTCTTCCAAGGGCATGCAGTCGTTGATACACCGGGTGAGGTGTTCCATCCAGACTCGATACTGTCGACTCATGTGTTCCTTCTCGCCGCTTTCTTTCTTCTTGCTTCCGAGGAGTAAACTCTCTGCTAGAGTTAGTACAGTCCGCCAAACAACAGGGACGGGCATACATACTGGCTGTGATTTTCTTGTTCTCTAGATCCACCAGTTCCTGGAATCCAAAAACGATGATCTCCGGCGGGTTTTCCGGATGAATCGCGTCGGCGATGAATTGGGACGCACGCACGCTGCCGGGGGTCGAGGCACCGGCGTTCCAGGTCACGATGGCCGCGTGAATCTCGCGGAACGTGCAGAATTCCACGTCCCGTTTTTGCATTCGAGTTTCTAACTCCGTCAGTTGAATTCCAGGTTATCACACCAGGCGGCGGGAAACATACCTAGCCAATCATCCTCCAGCATACCGTCCCACAGACGAATACAATTGTCCGTCCCGAGCGACGTCACCTGCAGTCGGTTCATAGTCCACACGCTACTCGTGTCAAGCAGGAAGCTCGATACAGGGCTATCGTGTGCGCGCCAATCCTTCATTACAACCCACGGATTGGTCCTCGTGTCGTAGACATAGATCATTCCGGTCTTGTACCCCGCCCAGAGATAGTCGCCAACGATGCCCAGGCAGTTGATCTTGTAGACGCTAACGTTGATGACAGCCAGACAGGAATAGTCGTGCGCCGAGTATACTGTGACCTTGCCGTCTGCATGTCCCAGGTATACCCGGCCTCCATCCTTGGTGGTATACGCGCCAGACGTCACGTCTCCCGTATGCTGTGAGCCGAGCGGCTTCTTCAGGACCTTGAATGTGACGTCATCTCGAGCGTTTGGTCGATAGACTTGCACTTCTCTGCCGGTGGCCAGCCAGAGAGTATCTCCCACAACGAGCGAGAAGGTATGTCCCTTCGCGACTCGGTCGTAGGGGTTGTGGTAGCTGTATTGAAGGTTAGGGGTTCCAGTCTCGTCAGGAGGCCACACGAGCAGGCGACCTTCGTCATCGAGGGTCCACATGTCCTTCTTATGGCGCAGAATCTTGATGATCTCCCGACGCGAGGGATAAGCGCGCGACGACACCACCGACTGCGTGGCGATGTCCACTTCAAGCAGTTCGCCGCCATTCGTGCCCAGCCAAAGACGCTGTCCTTCATCCTCGAGATTGTTACCGGGCTTGAACGCCAGAGAGAGACATTTGACGGTCTCCCCATGACTCAAGCTCATGATTTGCTCGCCGGTTGTCAGATCCCAGACCCGAGTTAGGTACCCGGTCGTGCATACGTGTTTACCGCACACATCCATCAGCCGAGTATCGTACCGGGTGTTAATCTCCTGGGGACCACTCTTCAACAGCGGCGGCCGCCGATTCGCCACCGAGGCATCCGGGTAATCCGTGCGCGACACTGCCGGCTCATCCGAAGGATCGTAGATCGTGCGGTCTTCTTCGGTGGGAGCGGCCATCGGGCGCACCGGAACAGCCGGCGTGGCGGGGATGGCCGGAGTAGGAGGCATAGCCGGGGTGGGAGGCGGTTTGGTCTCGCGGGGAAACGAGGGCTGTCTCTGGATAGTTCGCGGTGTCTGTGCCTCGGCCTGGCTCTGACGCAGGTCTTGCCTACCGGGGTAGGGCGAAGGTAGGGCCGGGCTATCTAAACCGTGTGCTGGCCGAGACGGCGATCGAGCCACTCGTCGCGCCACCGACGGATGGCGAGGGGGAAGACCGGGTCGTTCTTGAGGACTATCCTGGTAGGATCGCTGAGCCGAGAACGGCACACTGGACATCGTCTCCCGCTGCACCGGCGGCGGTGGCCCGCGGGGAATCTGCACCACCAACGATCGGCCCTCCCGGGTAGACTCGGGCCGCCTGCGCGCCGAGAATCCGTCATTCGCATCGCGCAGGGAAGGGGTGGTAGCGGCAGGCGCAGGAGGTCTCTCAACATCGAACGAGCGCCGACTCGGCGGTTCCGTTGTAGGTCGCGACGGCGAGCGTGGGAACTGGTTTCTCGGCGCGGGCGCGGGTTTCGACGATGCCTTCTCCGGGCTGCCGGGAGGAGTACTGAAAGGCGAGACGCCGCGCTCCTCGGAGGGGGCTCGTTCATGCTGCGGCGCCAGCGAGTTTCCATCTCCAAATGCCAGGGCGGCCGGTTTGGCGGGGATCTTGGGTTTGGCGGCCCGGTTTGCGGGCGGCGGCAAAGACGCGCTCTTCAATTTCCGCTCCGACAGACTGTCGCGCGAGACTCCTAACGACCCCGGAGCACCGGGAGACCGGTGCATAACATTCTGTTCCGTCGGGACGGAGGAGGCGAAGGTGGGGGTGGTTGGGCGGTGGAGGGAGGAGGACGGGGGAGGAGTCGGTCTGGGGGGTAATGACTCGCGAGAGGCTCTCGGAGGGGTGCGAGAAGCCCAGGGATCTTCGGTGCGATCCAGCGACGCTCCCAGACCCCTGGGAGGAGATCGCGGCGACTCGACGGTCAATGTGGGCGCTAATTGAGGGGAGGAGCGGAGGTTCATCGACATGGGGCGGTTCTGACGGAAACCAGAGGAGCCCGTCGTCTGACGGGGTAAGGCTCCATTTGTATGACCGTTCTGAGCATCGGATTGACTCCAAGGCGAGCGTGGACGCGGCAAATCGAGCGAGGCCCGAGAGGAGCGGAAGTCGTCGACATCGGAGGTTCTTAGAAAGGACGAGTCACGCGGGCCGCACGGCAGGGCAGACGGGGATCGGCGGTGCGAGAGATTCTCGAAATGAGATAGCAGAGAAGACACCGGTCGCTAGACAGACAGTTAGCAAGTCGGCGCGAACGGCGGGAGGGGACGAGAGGACGTACGAGAGGAGCATTATCGGTGTTGTCCTTGTCCTTGCGAAATCCGTCCATGACCATGACGTATAGTCCAAGGGGAAGCTTGTGCGAGGATAAAGACCATAAGATTTGGAGAAACAATAAAAGAAGGACGGAAGAAAGTGAGTGAGTTGGTTGAGAAGGATAGCGGAATTCCACCGAACCAGCAGTACTAGAGGAGGTCGAGAATCGGGGCGGAAATCCACAGGGGGATTCGGGGAGTGTGGCGGAGCTCTAGGCGGAAGTCTGGACGAACAGGAGGGGATGGCAGAGAGGAAGGGATGGAAGGAAGGGAAGGGAGGGAAGGATAGGATGATAGGAAGAGGGAGAGGAAGAGGGAGAATGCGAGAGAGTGACTGGAAAAGGGGGAGGAGAGAGAGAGACGAGCGAACGAGAGTGGAGGAGAGAAGGAGAGGAAGAGAGGAAGAAGAAAGAGAGAGAGAGAGAGAGAGAGGCAGAAGTGGGGATGACGACGATGAAGGGAAGAGACCGACAACTCTCCACCAGTCTAAATCTACACGTCCAGACTCACCTCCTGTAGATCCCTTGTGCAGACAGAAATAATCAATAATAGAGGCAAGTACTGAATTATAAATATAATGCATTGTAGACAAATAAATAGAAATAGAAGTAGAAATCCATCCATTCGTATTTTTAGCCTCCGCCTCGTCTGAAGGAGAAACATTTCTCTCCGCCTCGCCTCCAGTCACTCATTCTCCCTGATTCGACTTTCTCCTCACTTCCTCTTCCCTCCCTTTATGATATTACCCAAACTACTCATCTTGATCCCATAACCATGTGGTACAGCATCCACCCATCCTCCACTCTTTCCCTTCCCCAGGTCTCAATAATTTACTGACTCAAACCCCCCGCAGTAAACACATCCTCAACGCCCAAGTGGCCATTCGATCTCCTTGCTGTGCGTCCCTCCTCCTGGATCCAATTTAATCCAATCCAATCCCATCTCATCCCGATTTCATGGATCAGGTAAAAAATGGTTCGACTGCGCCGAATGCCACCAAGAACAAGAATCTCATATGCTAGCCAAAGCGACTGAAATGGTATGCACTCCCAGCACAGCGCATAGCACATCAACCCAGTCCAAGTCGACAGAACACGGGAAGACATATATAGCCAGATATGTACCCACCGAGAAGAGGCGAAAAAAAATAACAATGGGGTGGACAATAGGTATTCGCGTGCAAGAAATGCAAGAAATGTTTCCGGAAAGACGCGGCGGAGTTTGAAGAAAGGTACCTCCCCTCCCCTACCCCAAAAGAAGGAATCACAAATCAATCAACCAGGTCTGTACACTAACAACCTGTTCCCCCAAAATAACAGTGACGAATACTGCCCCCACTGCGACAACCACTTCGTCATCGAGGCCGTGACCCCGAAGCCCTCGTTACAGGTCGAAGGCGAAGACGCGCGGATCGATTCGAGGTACCCCTCTTCCCCTTCTTCATCCCCGTAAACCCTCACTCTATAACATATAAACTAACAACCTCCTCTCCAATAGAATGCTCAAAGATGACCGAGTGCGCGGCCACGAGGAGCGCTCGCTATTCAATATCAAGGATGGGTCGGATCGACTGGGCTAACCGATCCAAATACTTTCCTCCGTTCTTACGATCCTTCGTTTTATACATATTTGTTGGCTTTGGTGTTGATATTGGTATTGAGCTGCGGGGTGCATGGCTTACTTGCATTGTGCGTTAATGATGATATGATTGATTTGGTTTGGTTTCATATTTCTTTGGGGTTGGGGAGGGGGGTGGGTAGATGATAGATGGAGAGACGAGCAATTCTACAGTCCAAAGAAACGAATAAAAGAAAAGAAATAAAACAGAATGAACATGAACATGACCATACGTAGTAAGTAGTAAAGTAGTGTGTGTAGTAGCAGTAATCACATCTAATTACTCCACCCCTCCCCCCTTCTTCACGTCAAAATCAACTACTCCAGAAGAGACAGAGACAGAAGAGTCAACGTCTACTCTCTACCCTCCCCCCTCGTCAAGATCGCCGCCGTCGTAGTCCCACCACGACCCGTCTTCTTCTTCGCCGCCTCCTCCTGCTTCTCAGTCTCTATGCTCTTCACGTACGCCTCGATCTGGTCCTCGGGCAGCATCTCGATCGTCCGGCCAGGCGACATGATGGCCACCTCGATGTTCTTGGCGCCGGTCTGCACGACTTCCAGCAGCGACTTGATGGTCAGTTGGATGGTGGCCTCGCGGTCCATGTCTTCTTGGTGGTTGCGCTCGAGGAACTCGCGGACGGTTTTGCTGGAACGGCCGATGGCGTTTGCTTTCCTAGACAGGGATTCTCGTTAGCCATCCTTCCTATCATTTTCCACCACCCACTTCACACCCCCCCCCAGGGACAGTGAGATAGGGACAAGGCCACTAACCAAGCAGAATAAATCCCCGACGGCTCCGTCTGATACAATCTCGGCACATCATCATTCGGATCAAACCCAACCACCAACGTACTAATCCCAAACGGCCGGACACCACCACTCTGCGTGTACCGCTGCTGCACGCTCGCAATGTACTTCGTGATGTATTCGATGCTGACGGGGTCTTCGACGGTGAGGCGGTGAGACTGGGCTTCGAGGCGGGCCTTGTCGATCAGGATGCGGGCGTCGGCGTTCAGACCGGCAAAGGCCAGGACGGCGTGGTTGTCGACGACGGCGATCTTGGAGGGCGTGATGCGCGTGTCTTGGAGTTTTAGGGCCGAGCGCTTCTCGCAGCCGAGGACGACGATGTCGCGGCCTTTGACGCCGACGGCGCAGGTTCCTAGGTGGGAGTTTTAGTGGTTGGTGATGAGGAGGGTAGGTGTGTAAATGACAAGCAGGTCGACAGGTAGCTATAAAGATAGGTGGGCCGAGTCGTAGGTTTGTACAGTTGAGGGGAGATAGGATGAGATGGGAGGGGAGATACCTCGTTTCACAGCCTCCATCGCATATTCAACCTGAAAGACATGTCCATCTGGACTGTACAGCCATCAATATCCTCATCATATCCTATAGCATCCAGCCCAGGTCACACATACCTAAAAACTACACATCGTTAGATCCAGTCCATCAACGTCACCACGGAGCACCTAGCTAACTTACCTGAAAGAGCACGGTCGTATCCGGACATTATGAGCGAGGGGAAGATTCAATCGGGTGGAAATTCAAACTAACGGACAAAAGGAGCTGGCAGACAGATGAAGGTCAAAGAAAAGAGGAAATAGGACGTTGGGCAGTATAATCGTAGAGCTGGAAACCAGAGGTCCGTCGGATGACAGATGTGGACGCGAGTCCTGCGGCTGCCTCCAGAGCTCCCGGACGGTAGCGCTTGGCGCGCGGTTAGTCACTCCGCCTTCATACTCCGTATTCACCATCGAATTGCTAGATGGATCAACTATGACGAAACAAGTTCTCTGTCTCCTCTATTGATCTATAAATGGTATAAACTGCATCCGTAATGCAAAATGTGCAAAACATCTACCTCTAATCTGTACTAAGAGCACTCACTCTCTTTAAGATGGATCGTCAAATACAAGAACCAGAATGCAAACCAGGAAGATACAATAGCAAATCAATATAAAGTAGAAACATCAGAACAATCATATTGCACTCACAATCCCAATCCGAACCCATCCCAAGTCTGTTCATCGCTGGCTGAAATTTTGCTGGCTCAAAAGGAAGATACCCCAACACCCCAACAGAGTCCGTTCCAATGTATCCCATCCGTGATCAATACCATGATTCTCCTGAATCCTATTGCCGAAGAGTGCAGAGATGAACTGAGAAGCCAGAACACAAAAAGAAAAACAAAAAAAAACATTCTAGAAAGTAAATGCAATGCCATGGTTGAACCCCTTCAACCGTGGTCGTGCCGGAACCCCAGAAAAGAAAAGAAAAGCTCCGTCTGAGATGCACGACAATGATGTGAAAGTGCAAACCTCATCCTGACCCGATGACTCTCTCAGCAAAATCAGGCAAAGGCACGAGAATTTGATGTATGAAACCGTCCCGCTGTCCATCGGGTGGGACGGTGTTCTATACCCCTGAAACATCGCTTCCAAAGACGCAATAGTAAGACATACCGAAAAAAAGACAAACAAATTTTGACATGGAACAATGAAAGGCTGCCTGGAAAGAAAAATAAAAAGAGGGGGGGAACCCCCAATCCGAGGAAACGACGACACGCTACCGGCCCTGCTCCTCCCAACCGAATGCACCAGAACTGCAGAATTTCCCTATACAAACGCACAGTCACAAATATCAACCCGTCACATATACCAACAACCATGAAATCTTCATATTAACAAAGAAAGTGGGTGCCCTGGAAAGTGAGTAGTACAGTCCCGGTCCCAGCCCCGAAAAGTTTAGGCAGGGGACTTGTTAGCTCCGGCTCCATTGCGACGGGAGTGAGCATCATCGGCCACGGTCAATCCTCCAAGTCCGGTGGAAAGGAAAGCAAACGGGTCGTTGGATCCCTCGTTGCCGTAGAACGCGCTATTCGAAGTGGTGTGGTCAGCACCGGTGAACGCAGCCTGGGTGGCCGGGTTGGCGAAGGAAGCGGCGGAGTGAGAAGCGTTGCTGGAGCCGTATCCGGCGTTCATCTGACCCATAGGGGGGTATCCTCCGGGAGCACTGCCCAGGCCCGACGGCAGGGCGTAGTTGCTGGGGGGCCCGCCAAACTGCTGGTTGAAACCGCCAAATCCGCCGGCCGAAGAGGTGAATGGACCCGGGGCGGGGGTGCTGGTCATCGAGTTGGGACCCATTCCGAAGCTGGACGGAGGGTCCATGGGAGAGGGGAACGCGGAGTCGGCGACGACGGCCGCTCCGGATCGAGGAGCACCGCAGCGCAAGCAGTTGATGTTCTTGGCGAAGTTGTGGTAGCCGCAACCCTCGGAGCCACACTTCCAATCACCTGCACGGAAGGGGACAACGCCGCCGCTGCCACCCATGCCACGGGAGTGACCCATACCGTGACCGTGACCTCCCATGTGAGGAGGCATCATCGAGGGGGGACCGTATCCGTACGCCCCGTATCCCATGGGATCGGGGGCGGCCGCCATGGCCGGGAAGGAGCAGCGGAAGCAAGCCGTACGACGCTGGAAGTTGGAGAATCCACACGACGGGCAGGTCCAGTCACCGGGGCGAGGGCGGTTTTTCGACGGGGGGAAGGGGGTCAGAATTTCCGCGGCACGGTCAAGAACGCGGCTAGACGAAGGAGACACTTCGATGGCCTTCTCGTTCAGAGCACGGCCGTTCATGCACAGGCTTTCGGCGGCCTATATGTCCAAAGAGTCAGAATGAGGGGCAAATAAATCTCCCAACCCGAGACGGGGCCAGATTCATACCTCTTCGTGAGACGAGAAGACAGCAAAGCCGGTACCCGTCGGCTTGTGTTGGTCCGGAGTGCGGAGAGTCCAGAAGGCGATGGGACGACCGCCAAACTGCGTGAACCAGCTCTCCAATTCCGACTGCGTCGTATCATGGGGCAGACCGCTCAGGTGAAGCACCTTGCTGCGTTCCGTCAAGAAGGCACGGACGTCGGCTCTGGCATCCATAGGTCGAGTCATGATCTCGGGGTGTTCATGCGGCGGCTGAGACTTGCGAATCAATCCTCGGAGCACTCGAGCCAGGGTGATAGCCTCCTCCATAGCCCGGCGAGGGGAAGCGGGGGCCAAGGCCTGCAGGTGGAAGGGAAGGTTGTGCTTGATGGGGGCGGAGGTTTGAACGGGTTCGACTTCGAGGGCGGCACAGATGTTGGAGAGCGAGCTGGGGCCGAAGGGCAGAGACTCGGGGTGGTGAGTCTGCCATCGCTGATATTCGGTGCGGAGGTCGAAGGTCCGCGAGTGCTGAAGGTACGCGGGGAGGACGACCGCCTTGTCTCGGGCTTCGCGAGGCAGCTGCACACGAAGGTCCCACGAATCCAACGTCACGAAAGCGAATTCCAGCTTCTTGTTGATGAGGTGTTCCTGGGCGAAGGCGTCAAAGCGGGAAATAGCATCGCGGAAGGTACCTGCCGAGCGGACGTGCTCCCATGTCAGAGTTGTCAGGCTCGCTGTCGGAGACCGTCAGCCATTGAACCAGCAGACCGATACATCCGGAAGGGGGTAGGGAGGGTATGGGTATGGAAAGATGTGGTGATGGCGTAAGGGAAGGGTAAGAGGAATGGGAATTGATGGAAAGGGACAGGCAGAGGCATTTGGTTGGGTAAAATGGGAAAAGGGCTCGGGAAATCAATTGGAATGCACTTACTACAGAGAGGCGTGATCGGAGTGTTGACAGGCTTGACAAGCACGCTCTCACGGTGCAACTAAACCGAGGTAAGAAAAAAAATTAGTCATGCCAGCGAAGAAAGCCAAAGAATCCAGAGCGAATTAGAGGGAACTATAGGAAGAGAGAAAAAGCTTTTCTCGTGTTGAACAACAATGATTCTAAATAGAAATGGAGGAGAAAAAATCTGGTAGGAAAAACCCAGGAGGGGAAGGGGAAAAACAGGCATCACATCGACGAAGCAATCAACAATCATTGCACACTTACCTCCTCGCAGGTTTGAGCATCCAACAAGATCCACCCCAGCTCAATCACCTCAGCTGAATCCTTGGTGACGTAGACGCCATGCTCGTCGCAGGTGGTCGCGACGTGGATGACAATGTAGCGATCCAGCTTGGGGGTGGGTGCGGAAACGGATGCCATCGCTCGAGAGTCCCGAAGTTCTTTTCTGTTGGCTGAAGGTCGGACTATCGCTACTCTTTCTCACTCACACACGCCAGCGGAGCGGTAGGGGGGAGAAGAGGGGGGGGGAAAAGGAAGAAGAGGGAGGGAAGAGAGCGACGGGGCGGAAAAATAAGTGTCTCTAAGCAAAGACCGACACTAATTCGCGACGAAAAGAAAGGAGAAAAAAGAAAGAAAGAAAGAAGAAAAGGAACCAGACCGCCCGTGAATCAACGACGAAGCACGGTAAGGCAAACGGGGGGGAAAGGAGGAGGGGGGAGAAAGGCGAGAGGAGAGAGGAGGAGAAGGAAGCGAAGGGAAAAGAAAGAAAGGAAGAATCGCCCAGGTCAGGATTGGGAATCAGCAGCTTTTCCTGCTTGGTGGAGCGTCGAGATTAAAAGAGAGAAAAAAAAAATGGGAAAAAGAAAAAAAAAAGTTTCGGTTTCCAGTCAAGTCATGAAGATGGAATCAGGCACCGAGGAAAGAATTGACAGGCCAACTGAGTATCTACGGGGAATTGACAGAGCCTCTCTGCTGACTTGCTTCCTGCCTTCACACGTCCATACAGATCGAGTATTCCGATGGATTGGCGATATTGAAGCGGTTCTGGCGTCGGGACCGTGGATTGTACGGAGTATGAATTGGGAATACGGGGGTTTACCAGGGCGTACCCGGACTGGTAACCAGTGGTATCGGTCCTCAAGGTCTTCTCGGGGATAAGACGACTCCAATTGACTAATTGGCACGAGTTGGACTTGATCTCCCCGACTGGAATAGGGGAGAAAGCAGCGGGCAAAGGAAGGTGAACGTGCAGCCGGACACGAAGGGATTAATTAAGGTACTTCTGTCAAACTGTCATTGAGTTTATCAGGCAGTCATTTTGATGCACGCAACCAGTCGACTTGGGTGTACCTACTTTAGTACCTGGTAGGTAGGCACTTGCTGTAGCTAAGTAGTGAAGGTCAATCAATCCAGGTCGATCTCTTGAACTAGGTAACTAGGTACAGTAGGAATTATGGAGTGCTTGAATCTACACAAACTCTCAGATTCCAAGATACCAGAATGCAGGAGTCGATAGCTTCCTGAACTATCCTTGGAAATACAGAAAAACAGAAAACAAAAAGAAACTCAAAAAAAAGAAACAAAAGAAAAAGGATGGCAGACCACTCCGATAAGCCCTCTGATTGGTGCAGTGCCCCGGGAATGGCCTCGCTAGTGTATTTTACCCGCTGCCGGCTGTTCCGTACCGTTACCGCCGTTTGCCATAACGCTTCAGTAGTAGACTCAGTAGAGTGTAGAGATTAGTATAGAATAACTGAATGGTCGATCCCAAACAAGTTAACGCCAACTCTGTCTGTACTCTATTGCAAACCAATACGATCGGACTCTCCCCCGCGAGACACTGCGGACTCGGTACTTTTTCCCGGCACGATCAGGCCATGACATCCCCAGCCAGTTCCGCCCGTTACCTATCAATAGCTCTTAATGACTTGATTCGGAGCTATTAGCAGTGATTTATCATTTATGACATTGATGATTCTCCGAAATTCGCGACCAATAATGAACCCCGATGGAGTCGGACTACCTGTTGGTGCCTACGACCTACTCGGGGGTGCCACATGGTGCCATCCATTTCCGGAGTTACGGTGCTTGTCGGATCTACGGATAGTACGGAGTACCTAGCTAGGCATCGCTATACTTGACTCTCTCTCTCTCTCTCTCTCTCTCTCTCTCTCTCTATGATTATACGCTGTAGGTACTTCACATGTCTAAGGTGAAGTATACCAAAATATTTGCTCCGTGGCATTTTAAGCATGTAACGCCATGCAAGACCTCTGGAACGTCTACGTATGTCATACCAAAAAAGAAATATAGAATCATGAACTACCATCAACCATGTACACCACATGACCAACGAATTAATTACATTGCAAAATCCATCCGAGAAGAAGAACCAATCCATCCTGACCAGCCCATCCATCCGAAACGCCGACCTGCACTGCCAAATAAAAAAACATGCCTATTCCTCATCTTCCTCCTCAATCACCTCCGACTTGATAATCGTATGGCGACTGTCGTCGTTCTCATCTTCCTCCATGATGCTAGGTTCGATGGACACACCCCGGCGACGGACGCCGGGCTCGACGGATGGGCGCACGCTGTTCGATCGCACACTCCCGGATCGCACGCTCATCATGTCGCTGTCGCCCTCCTCGCCCTCCTCCTTAGGGCGAACGCTAGGCGGGCGAGCGCCTTGCGCGATGGCCAAAATCTTCAGCACGGCGTTCTTCACCTTGACGAGGGCGTTGCGGCCGGATGCCTCGGCCGCGAGACCCTCTTCGATCGTCTCGTCGAGCAGTTCTTTGACTTCTTGAGCCAGCTGGGCGTTGTCGGTAGAGATGTCCGCCTGCGCGCTGCGAACGCTGGAGCGGAAGGGGTCGTCGCCTTCGGGGTTGCGAGAGCTCGAGCGCGAGGGAACCGTGGGCGGGGAGATGTAAAGCTTGCTCATCAGCGAGAAGAGAAGCTTCTTCTCGTCCTTGGAACAGCGGTTGGGGCCTTCGCTGATGCCCAGTACCCGTTCCAAGATGTCCTTGACCAATCCCAGGTGAACGAATCCACAGACGTTGGGGCTGGCAGAGGCCCCCGTGAGCACCTTCTCGCCGCCCAGGCCGAGCACTCGGCGCTCGTCGGTCCACTCCGCGACCATGCCCAGGAGGCCGCTCATCAGGGCCTTCAGCTCTCTCTGACCTGCCGTCTCGTCGATATCGCCGTCACTATCTTCCTCCGCTTCGAGGGAGTAGTGCTCCTCGGCCGAGTTCAGGACCGTGCGAATCACTGGAACGATGACTCTTCGCATATGTTGGGTGTTGTCGAGGCGTGAATGGCAGTAGACAGGGAAGAAGTAAGCCAAGGACTGCCGGAGGGCCGGGTTTTCTCGAGTGCGCGGGTGGAAGAAAGACACCACCAGATTCGACAGCAGAGTTTCAATGGTAACCTGGTTGTAATCCAGGATGGCTTGCGGGATATTTGACCCGGACGGCGTGAAGACATTAGTGAGCAAAAGCTTCGAGAGCGCAGTAGCGGCCGCCGATTGCACCGTCATCGGGGAGCTAGACTTGAGGGCCCGCGCAAACACCTTGAGCAATGGTTTCTGGAACACGGGTGGGGTGATAGTCTCCCCATCCGATTGAGTGACGGGCGTTAACAAGGAGGGGTGGGTGGTCAGCATATCACATAGAATGTGGATGGCGGTGACCTGCAAAGCCTCGTGGCCTTTGCTGTAGCAATGGATGAAGAGCGTCATGTTCTCTTCAGCCAGAGTCTAGACGGATGAAATGGGTTAGCAACACAGATACAACACAGATACTACGCAAGCGAGGACTAACTAACCTTGTCCAACAAACAACAGAGCCCCAAACACTCCAGACCTCTCTCACGGATGGGAGCCTCGTGACTCCGAACCGCAGGCACCACGAGGTTGTTCAACATGGTCACCAAGTTCATGTTCTCCTGCAGGTTGCCCTGCACGTTTTGCAGCATACACAGGGCAATATGCAGACACTTCATGTTCACCACGATCTCCCGCAGGATCTTCGCCTTAGCCTCTTCTTTGTTGAAGGGCTTGTCGGGCTCGCCGTCACCCGGGGTCTCGGAACGGTGGCGGCTAGCGGTGTCGTCGCTGATCTCCGATTTGGCCGAGACGAAGCTGTCCTCGGTCGTGATCGTGTCGTGGACTTCGGCGATAGCTTCCAATACAACGCTGCAGAATTCGTTCTCGGCAGCGACAGCGGGACCGCACACGAACCGCAGAGTCTCAATGGTGAGTTTGGTGCTTTCCTGAGGCAGCTCCGGGACCGCCAAGGACTCCCGTAGAAGGGTATACATCTTTCGTCGTCCCACCTCGTCACTGTAATCCAGGGTCATGGCCACGTGGAGAAGTTGCTCGACCACGAACTCAAGCTCCACGCAGTCATCATCGTTGGCATCCCCAGTATCTTTGGACTCTTTCTTCTTTTGTAAAAGGGCCGACAGATATTTGTGCAGGTAGTAGGCAAGGGCTGTAACTTCCGGGATCTTCTCGTCCGCCAGACTTTCGTATTTTCCTTCATTCTCCACGCGGCAGAAATCGTTGAAGGAGCGAAGCAGAAAAACAGATTCACCGGTGAGGGATTCCCAGAACTCCTCGTCGAAAACGACGGCCTCCCGATAATCGGGCCGGCCCTCCCAGAAGCTCCGCATAGCCTCGTGCGCAATTCCGGACTCCACGCCAGAGTTGACCACGTCGATTCTCTCCAGCAATTCCAACAGGGCGGGGATGTTCGGGGGCGAGCGTTGGATGGGACCACCTTCAGAATCCTGAGTCGAGCCTGCCACGTCCTCGATCCACCGGTCGAAGAAGAGTTTGCCCGTGGCCTTTCTAACACTCTCGTCACGGTCACGTAAGCCCCATCGGAGCATCTTCTCTCTCATCGACAGTGACAAGTGGCGGAAATCTCCCAGAGTGGGCAAGAGGCGGGAATACAAGGCACGTCGCGTCGGTGCATCAAGATCGCGGGCTCGTTCCAACAGGTAGGGGAGGGTGTTAGGGAGGAGGGGTAGGTTGAGAAGCAACGTTTTCCGCACGTCGGCACTTGTATCATTCTGCATAATCTCCACCAGTTTCTCAACGAGCGCCGTACTATCACCATTGTTGTCGTCATCCTCTTCATTTCCCGCCAAGCGGCCTAGACCCATCACCGCCTGGACTCGGACGGAAGACTCCTTATCTCTGATTCGCTTCAAGAGACCCTGCCGAATAGCATGGTACAGGTCGTCATCGACGGTGTCGAGAGAATTGACAATATGCGCAATAATCTGGGTAGCACGGAATCGCACGGTGCGATCTTTCGCCGACAGAAGCGGCACCACGAGAGCCACAATACTCGTCGTCAGTCGGGCGGTCGGCGTTTCGGGCACGTGGTCGTCATCCTCGGCGGCGAAAATCTCAGCATCTTTTTCGGAGGCATGGATCAAGAAATTTCCTAAAAAGCGAAGAAGGCGATCGCCGACAGGCTCTGACTTCTTGATCGGCAGGATGCGCAGCATGCAGCGACCGATTTCGATATTGAACTCTTTCTCAGGGAGCGTCTCCTCTCCCATCAAGACGTCGTCCGGAACTTTCGTGCTGCCGTCTTTCTTTGAGCTTCTGATGCCGCAGCAGGACTCTTGCAGTTTTCGCAGTCGCACGACGAGTTTTCGATGACCGGTCGTCGAGCGCTGAGCGTCGGCGAAAATGGAACAGACATCGCGGCGCAGGCTGGGGATGGCCTCGGGCAACGAGGGCTCTTCAGGGATGGCGATGGACGGCGTGGCAGATCCGGCGCGAGACGGCTGGCTGGAGGCTTTGCGGGAGGTCCCAGACGTCGAACGGGCGGCAACTCGACTGGGCATGATGGCGGAGGGGGGAATAGTGTTGTGATGTGATTACTGTAGGTTAGTAGAGGGTGGATCAGACTGAGGGCAAGAGCATCTCAGTACAGCGGCATTGATTGTTTGAGGGGCCGCGGGGCAGTCGGCCGTTGTCTGGCGTGTCTGGAGTCTGGACAACAAAGAGCGGGCAGTTTGCGATGAAACGGAGTTATCATCACTGGACCCGGAGTCACGGGGAGGGGATAAACAAACAGCCCAAACGGGAAGCGCTAAGATAAGGGCTAGGGTATGCACGTGGCAGCCAGTAGTAGTAGTCACTATACAGCTAGGTACGTACAATGCAACTACCAGCGATTACAGGGAATATTATTGAGTCCATGTGTATTAATTGAGATTAATTAACTTGCAGAATATACTAGAAAGAAGCCATGATCCCTCGATCTTCCTGTTCTCCATATTGTTCCTCCCGTCGGTCTACAAAGCCGCAAGTCAAGTCCATCACGCCATCGGTCACGTGGCCCTGACTAAGGCCGACCATCGGCATTGAATCCGGGGAATCAATTGACTCGACAAGCTTCTCTCCACCGGTGCAGCTGCTTCTGCGTTCAGGATAATTGCGATCACTTGCCAGACCTGAGCACAATGTTCCGTCAAAGTATCCGACGATTCGGCTCCACTGCGCTGCGCGCAGCAGAAGGTTCAACCGCCTACGGTGTCCGAGTATCGCATGCCCAAGGTGTCGTCCACGGTCTCACCGAAGGTAGGCACTTCTGGTCCCCCACCTCGTTGAGAATGGGAACGAGCTAACAACTCAAAGCCATTGGGAATACCCCACTGATCCGCCTAAAACGTATCTCCGAGCAGACAGGCTGCAACGTGCTCGGTAAAGCCGAGTTCCAGAACCCCGGTGGCAGCGTCAAGGACCGAGCCGCGCTGTTCGTGGTCAAGGATGCGGAAGAGAAGGGTCTGTTGAAGCCCGGCGGTACGGTGGTGGAAGGCACGGCCGGAAACACAGGAATTGGACTGGCGCACGTGTGTCGGTCCAAGGGGTACAAGCTGGTTATCTACATGCCCAACACGCAGTCGCAGGGCAAGATTGATCTGCTGCGGTTGCTGGGAGCGGAGGTGTACCCGGTGCCCGCGGTGGCGTTTGACAACCCCCAGAACTACAACCACCAGGCGCGCCGACATGCGGAGTCGTTGGATAACGCGGTCTGGACGAACCAGTTCGACAACACGGCCAACCGACAGGCGCACATCGAGACGACCGGGCCGGAGCTCTGGGCGCAGACCGAAGGCAAGCTCGACGCGTTTACCTGCGCCACTGGAACCGGAGGCACCTTGGCCGGTATCACGCGGTACTTGAAAACGGTCAGTGACGGAAAGGTGAAGAGCTTCTTGGCCGATCCCCCGGGCAGTGTGCTGCACAGCTACATCCAGAGCGGGGGCAACTTGGTCGAGCGCAGCGGAAGCAGTATCACGGAGGGAATTGGACAGGGTCGGGTGACGGACAATCTGCAGCCGGACATTGATCTGCTGGATGGATCTTTGAACATCAGCGACGAGAAGTCCATCGAGATGGTCTACCGCTGTCTCGACGAGGAGGGTCTGTACTTGGGCGCCAGCTCCGCGCTGAACGTGGTCGCCGCTAAGGAGGTCGCCGAGAAGCTGGGCGCGGGCAACACCGTGGTGACCATCCTGTGCGACGGAGCGTATCGGTACGCGGACCGTCTGTTCTCGAACACCTGGCTGCAGGGCAAGGGATTGCGGACTGCCATTCCCAAGCATCTGGAGAAGTACATCGTGCTGCCTTAATGTATTCGTGCTATAATGCATGTATGTTGATAGATCTGTGCAATAGCGATTTTACCCTGCTCGAGGGTGCTCTTTAACGTACTATATAACTGCGACAAACAATTAGACTTTCAATAAAGAACAGCGCAAACATTGAAACGATGAGATACATTGGCAGCGACGTGAGCATAAACCTTCTTGCTCATTGACCTAGCGGGAGACCGTAGGAGCATTGCAGGTTGACCGTCATGGATGAATTCGCCATAATATGAACAACATCTCTATCCCATCTATTTCAGTCTTTAGGCGATGGAAAGCAAGCTCAATGTATACGTCCATCATATCGACTAAAAGTCACGTTAGATCGCAAACTACAAGAAGTCGGTAAGTCGGCAAATATATACTTCCCACCAACCATCTACCCCAATTTGAGAATCACGATAGTTATTTCTAACAGATAAAACGACTATCCAATCGATTCAAGTCTGCTGGTGTTTGAAAAACACCGTATCATTTCCTACACATGCTGTTGTCTTTGGGCGGATTCTCAGAAAATATATTCCAACGTTAGTAACTAGCAGGGGACATGTGAATAACTGCGCGAGGATATTCCCTCCAACAATAAACAGGTCTAAGATGGAACCAACATTATTGCTCTATTCCTCATGCATAAGAATCCATAGTACTTGATAAATTATATTATACATAGAGTTGTGAGTCTCACAAACCACCGCCCTGATATCTAACATGTACTTAGCGATTCTAGGTGATACCTCCCTACTTGATACCCACCGAGGACCTCTGACAGCAACAACATGAAAACAAAGCCCCCAAACGCCAAAATGCAAACCGCTCTCTCCCAAACCAACGCCCATCAAAGTGATCAATCAATCAACCCATATCAAAACAATCCACCCTATACAGTCCCTTCCCATCTACCTCCCATACCCCCCCACCTTGCCGCCGTCTATACAAATAGCTCAACCTCCCCAAAGACGAAACAAAGAACGGAATCTACTCCTTCTCCGGCATCCTCATATAAGCATCAATCGCAGCACTAAACGCCGCAAAGCCCACACATCCAGCAGCAGCCGCCTGAGGCCCGGCCTTAGCACCCAGAATACCACCAGTAATGCACCCGGCGGAGACACTATTCGTGAGATCGTTTTTCGCACGGAGTCCCTCAATACAGCACTCCGTGCCGGAGTACAGGGCGCCCACGATACCGAAGTTCTTGGCGGACGACCACGACCGGGAACCCATGTCCTTGAAGCCGCGACGGACTTGCTCGCGCCAGGGGAGGTCGGCGATGGCTTTTCCTTGGGGCGTGAAGGTTGAGTCGTAGGACATCTATTCAGTTGGGGGGGTTGTATGTCAGTTGATTTGGTCTTGATGATAAAGAAGAGGAGAGAGGGGGGAAAGACATACACTAGCCATAAACAAACCAAAAACACCACCGAGACCGAAACCCATCGTACCGGAGATAACAGTCTTAATGGGACACGACTCCATAGCCGCATACATCTGTATTATACCTGTTAGCAAGACCCAGAACACCCCAAACCAGAAGCCGACGATCGCCACTCCGTCCAGCGAACACACGTGCGGTCCCGAAGCTTCCCATAGACGAGAACATACCATCTTAACCATCATCTGCTCCTGCTCGCTCATGCCCTGCATGTTGGCTGGACCGCCGGCGCCGGCGCCGCCCATACCGCCCATGCCTCCGCCGACAGGGGGTGTCATTCCTGGGAAGCTCATTGTGAAAAGGATGAGGGTGTTTGCGAGATCGGATGGAGGATAGGTTGACGTTGGTGTGGGGGTGACGGAAGAGTAGAGCCACACAGAAAGACAATACCTGATACGCAGAGAAAAAGAAGGAAGAAATAAAAGACCGGAAACAAGGCCGGGATCAACAGCGCTGGTGGAGGAAGAAATCGGTGATGTTGATGCGCCCCGGACTTTTTGCGGAGAAGGCGTGGCGGCTGTCACAAATTTATTCACGGCGGTCGGTGCGGACCATGTGTGCAGTTTTACACGTGACGTGACTATCCTCGAGTCTACCACCCAGAGCACTTACGGTAGGTTTCCACGACCTAGAAATACAGGCAAATATATCTAAATTTTTTATATAAGTAGATACTCGAAACAAATGTTAAATACAATCTTGTTGTTAGAGCCAAAATATCGTAACGAACGTAGAGAAGGGAATATAAAATAAACCAAATCTTCAAACAAAATGAGCGACGAGAATCATGAAAGAATGTAAGTCGAAAGAACGAAAGAACGAAAGAAAAACATCATAACAAACAACGCTTCTCGTAAAGGGTATTAGGATCAACTGTCGTAACCCTGCGTTATCCGTGTTGGTCTCATGCTCAAATCTAGCGAATCTGTCCACCAAGAAGATAAGAATAACAAAACAAAAGAAGTAGGTCGCGCATGCACTGTACGTCGATCTGTCCATATCCATATTTACAGTATCACCGTGAGGCGAAGTCGATATGGCTCATATATGAATGGCGCAAAATAGTATAATGTAACGGCAAGGAGAAAGGCAGGACGACTAATCGGTCTTGTCGTCTTTATCAAGAGTCGGAGAGCTGGGCCCGGATAGACTGCGTTCCCATTCCGCCATCAGGTTCGATGCGGTTCGGGTCAGTTTCGAAGATGGACCCTTGGTGATGGCGGGCCAGGGGATGCCGTCGGACACGCTGGGGTCAGGGATGGAAGAATCGTGGATGGGACGCCAATCGCCGAAGCTAAAGCACCAGTCAGCGCATAGACTGTTAGACAGGGTGGAAGCCAGCACCCTTAAACTTACCTGGCACTCGTGCGAGGACTACTGCCCTGGGTCATCGGGGACTGGTCATGTTTCGATTCCAGCGTGGAGCGACTCGAGGACGGGGTGTGCATTTTCTTCGGCTGCGGCGTGTCCCAGTCATCGTTACCCCAATTGTCGTCAACTTCGAGGTTGTTGGATTCGCCGGCTCCGCGGGTGTTGGTGCCGGAGGCTGCGCGAGCGTTCGGGGACTTCTGCCCAGTTGGATCAATGCCGAATTCACTCCAGAACGACGAATCTATGTCCGCCGATTTAGAGTCTTTACCAGAAGTTTTGGCCCCCGACGACGACGACGACGAGGGAGACCGCGATGCCTTGCTTCCCTGCACCGACAACCGATCTCTGCTGCGAGACGTCGAGCTCGAATCCCGCGCGCGGGGCGGCGCCATCGCCCTCGACTCGGTCGCACTAATTCCCTCCTCTCCGACCGTGGCCTGACGGATATCTTCGAGGAAAGTCCAGAGACCCTCCCTCAGATCCGAGGCCATTTGCTTGCCCGTGCGCACGAGCGCCTCGCGCGACGGCGGCGGCATCGTCTTCCGCCACTGCGCCAGCTGATCGTCCGTTTCTTCGAGATTTGCAACCGCCATAGGGCTGCGCTCCACAGACGGCAGAGTCGCAGATCGCGGAGGCCGGCCCGCACGAGCCACGCTCTCTTCTACTTCCTGCTTGAAAGTCGACGTGCCGGGGGCCGGCGAGAGCAACGACAACGCCCGCGTGTGCGAACCCTGGAACACTCGTCGCCCGTTGGTAGACACGGTGGTCCCCTTGGCCGCCGCGGCACGCATACTCTGCCTGCGTTCCAGCTCCCGGCTGAATCGCGGATGATGAGCGGCGGACGACGGGCTCTCGGAGCTGCCGACGCTGCTGTCTCTGTAGTGGCGGGTGTTTTCGTCGACGACGGGACCGGGGCGATCCGGGGATCGCAGAGGGATCAAGGGCTCGGCCCGTTGACTGATCTCCGTCCGTTTCTTGGTCTTCTCGGACACCGCCCATTGTTTCTTCAACGAGTCGAGCTGAGTCTCGGCGCGGGACAGCTCCTCGCGGAGCTCCAGCACTCGCCGTTCCTGCGACGCGATGGCCGTCAAGAGACCCGATCCATCATCTTGATCATCGGCGAACTGCAGGGGAGGGTCGAGTGGGAGAGCCGCGGGGGACTGGAGGGCGGAGGGCCGCGTGATGGGCGTCATGGAAGCCGGAGTCGAGGCACCGGACTCGAAGGCGTTGGGGGGGATGTTGATGGGAAAGTTGAGGGTTAAGCGTTTGGCGTGGCGAGCGGCACCATGAGGACGGGCGGGGAGGGAGGAGCGCTTCTGCTGAGACTGTTGACGACGTTGAAGATCTTCGGAGTCATTTGTAGGGGTTGCAGGAGTAGCAGGGGTGGCCAGGTCATGATCCAGGTCCAGCAGTGAAGGTTGGGACGCATCCGGCGCAGCTCCCGCCTCGACCGACCCGGGGAAGTGACCCATGACGTGGAACAAGAACTATAGAAGGCGATTCGACCGTCTCATGACCTTCAGAACAAATCACCAGGAAATACCAGCCCCGACAAATCAGCAATCCGGTCCGATTTGAGCGACGCAAGTGAAGAATCAAATAAACAATCAATCAAAGTCGACAGATCAATCCCCGTCAAATCGAGGACGGCAAGCGAGGGCAGTCAAAAAGAACGTAAGAAAACATCAACAATCGCAGGCCAAACAACGAACAAGAAACAAAACCACCCAAACCGGGAGAGAGTGCGAGAGAAGGAAGGGAAGGAAGTGAAGGAAAAGCGAAGGGGACGGAAGCAATTAAAAGGTCTGGCCGCGGGTCAGCATCAACTAACGAATTAGCTGGATGTTGGCCTCTTGTCTCTTGGGTCTTTTCCCTCGATTTTCCCTGGAATTAATTTTTTAATTTCTAGTTATACATTTTGCCTTTTTTTTTTTTTTGTATTTCCCTCCTTTCTTTGACCTACATAATCCAATTCAGTCCAGCATCAGCAAAGGCCAGACTTTTCCGGGCGGGTCAGAGCGCGCATCCTTTCCGCCTGCAGCGTCGCGGCCTTTTCTCTCAGGGGTAAATTTCACCCAGCAGGACTGCCCGGGCCGTTTCATTCCTATTCTTAGGCGGATTAATCTCGAGGGATGAGAGGGTATATGAGGATATGCGCAGACCAAATGGGTACTGCTTAATATTGAGGCCTCCTGGCGGCGGACATCTCGTGGATGTCCATCCTAATATCCATGTCTGTTTATAGTCCATCGACGGAGTATATCCATGGTGTTATGGAATACTTACTCCCTTGCGTGGCTCTCCGCATGTGGTTGACAGCAGCACCTGAAACTCGGAGCTTTTCTATTAGGCTATTCGATTCCCACGAGAGGTCTCCACCGACAATTTCAATGCGGAAGAAATCCACCGCGTACCGAACAATCGCTCGCATAACATTCGGGGGTCAACACAACTTGCCGTTTCGGGGTAAGCGTCTTTCCAGTATACAAATCGAAAATGCCCCCTTGGCCCCAACGAAAGAATGATCAGGACTCATAGCCTCGCTCGTATTATTCCAGCCGGTTCGTTCGCTTGGCATGTTGGAGTATCCCGACTCACAATCTGTACATCATCGTTATGTGTATATGGCAGCTAACCTGCGACCGCGTCTGACAGATGGGATTCCTCTTAAATCTGTACTGATCTATGAGAATATCATCTCGGTAACAGGCTTGCTTCCCGGCTATCTCGTCGGGCGCTATTGTTTAGGGCCGGGAGGCTTTCGTTAGTCCGCAGTTCAATATGCATGGAGCACTATATTTTGAGCTATTACTTCCGGGGAGATTGAGGGATGAAAAAGGAAAACAAAATAGCTTGAGCTAGGGAAATCGGAATATAGAAATACAAGGACACGAAATACGCGCCGTTATATCCCAAGACAGGAATAAATTGGCAACAAATTCACCTCGGGTTGCTGTAGGGAAAGTAACTCTATATGTTCTATCACTAAATCGGATGGGGATGTTAGCCCTGTGTCAAGTTATAGAGATGCTCTACTCAAAGCCCTCGCAAGTAGTCAGTATTATTATTCTCTATCGCATGTACTTCATGTTTGAAGGCTTACTGAGCACCCTCGGCTATCGCAACACAGTCGATTTCCACCTTCAAATACCATCAGCCTAATACATAAGTGCGATGTGTATTGCATGAGGTAGTGACTTACTTTGGCGCCCCGTCCCAGCTCTGAAACGGTGACGCAGACTCTCGCAGGCTTTGGGTCTGGCACAGAAGCGATGTCTGCTGATTGATAAGTATTTTTTCACGTGCTGGTTATGAAACGGGGGAGAGGGACACATACAGACAGCATTCATAGCGGCAAAATCAGCTATGTTTGTGAGATAGATATTGACCTGCCGACGATTTAGCTCGAGCATCCATAAGACGTTCCTTCTCAAGGAAAAACAACCTTCAGAATCCTGCTAAGGTCACTCCCTGCGGTGCAAAGGACCGATTGGAGCAAGCCGAGAGCCGCTTTCTGCGACAGTCAGTGACGGCGCTATCATTGAGTGAGTTATGTTCAATTCTCACAGTCTGTTCAGCCACATCGTCTGACACAAGTATCCCGGTTTTGGCATCGACACCAATCTTTCCGCTGCAGAAGACGAGCCCATTGTGGACGATCGCTTCTGAAAGAATTGGGGACGAGAAGTCCGGTCGGTTGATAGCTTGTCTGGATGCCATTTCTACTGTAGATTTTGTATTTCAGATGGAACTGGTGTTTGAGATGTGTGCTTCCAGTGAATGATATCAATTCTGGCGCGGCTTATCTGCTTAAGTAGCCGTGTGCTCTTTGTCGCGACAGTGTCGGACTCTTAAGAACGTCCGTCAACTCGGGACTTACCGAACCGGGGAGAATCTTCGAAATCCAATGCATTGCGAGGAAAGGTACAGCAATTCATTCGTAAGTTTGGTGTCTATCAAGCCGTGAGAGAGTCTTTCAACGCCCTCTCCAGTCTACGGAGATGTCTATACTAGCGTCCCAGACCACGAACAATGGAGCTCTTCGTATTCCTCCGAGCGTACCGAAGGAGATGGTGTACACCCCTGGAACGAAGAAGGCTACAAGTACGATGCGGTTTTGAACGGGTTTAAAAACAGGAAGATGGGTCCTCGTTGCGTCATTGACCATGATTGTGGTTCGCAACCTACTAACAATACACCTTTCCCAAATACTTATCGGGTCTACTTTACACGGTAAGTGCGTCCAAATAAATCCATAGTTTCATTGTCTGATATTCAAGAAAATGAATCATGAACTGTCCCCATTGCACCTACCCAGACCATCTCTCGCCATCGGCACATTGCTGCAGAATAGGACCATAATTTATCAACTCCCCCAACAACCAATCCACCCCAGCAGAAAGACCATCCGAGATCCCAGCCACCCACTGCGGCAACTGTTCCGGATACGTATCTTTGCCAGGAATCAGCGCCGTCGGGGCGACTTGATTATCCTGCTGCAAGTCCGCCATCATAGTCATAGTGCGGCTAGCCAGTGCGTCAAAAACATCCCGATACGGCGCCGCATCAGGCCATCGTTCCGCCAGAATCACAAGGACCATCGTACAGTCCATGCAGGTACTACTGACCTGGTCATGACGAGAAACTTCCCGGGCAGTCGGGGACGTCCACAGACAGTATAGATATGTCAGGCCCGCGAGGAACAGCTCGTGCAAGGCACTCCATGTATAGGTGACTGGCTTGCCGATGGATTGGCGACGGTAGCTGTGACAAACGGCCTTGGCGGCGTACAGACATTTCAAGAAGATCTCATCAGATGCTGGATCCTTGTTGTCGGTGATCTGGATGCGATAAAGCTGCAATACGGCGTAATTGTAGTTCGTCTCGTACCAGTCCGGGGTAACGAAGTATGAGAGAGCGCCGCCTTCAGGCGGAATCATTGGAGTAGGGCACTCGGCATGCCACTTCTCGAGATTGGCTGATAGCTCTTGCACACGGGCTTTGCGAATTTCGGGATCTTGGAGGGTAATGTCGGAGTAAAGGGCCGTCTGGATGCACCCGAGAAGACTGCGGATTCGGAAGCCGTGGATAGCGTGGGTCATCATCGTGGGGGGTTCGGTTGGCGAAGACCGCGGAGAGCTGCAGATGCCTGTTTGCGAGGGAAAGGTTTCCTCGATGTCCAAAGGAAGCTATGATCTCCGGTCAGTTAAAAGTCACAGCATCGGGATGATCCAAACTAGACAACAGTACCTCCGCGTCAATTTCTCGGAAATGAAGACTCAATGGTCGTCCTAGCATAACAGCAGCCGAGCACTCCATCACATACGCACTCCAGAACGCCCTCTTTTGCATCTCCTGTTGTAGTGGATTGAGAGTAGACCTCAACCTCCTCTGACTACGATGATAGCCGAGATTCACGCATTGGCGTAACGCTTGTCCGCCTAGCTTCCTGTTATGTGTAAGCTTGGTAATATGACATGCAGGATCAGGTGGGTTACCAATGGGATATGCCCTTCGACGACCGGAGCGAGTATGCGGCGCAACACAGTATTGCTTGGATGCATTGTAGATTATCATGACATAAGATGTCATCGATATAGAGCATAGCGGAGACGTACAGTTGCTCCGCCGAATATCCGGTGCTGGGTAGTAGAATAGCTCCAATGGCGTAGACCTAACATGTAAAATCAGAAGATTGTCGGGAAAGTGGCGTGAGAACTGTGCATACCATGTTCAGAAAATATAGAGGTACAGGGTCGTAGGCGAACCTACTGATCCCCTCGAAAGGATCCTCCATTGCAGCCTCCCACGTGCGGAAAGTTGGCTCATGTAGGAACGGGTACTGGGGATGAATGTTCTGAAAGTATGCGTTACTTAGTATGACGGCCGTGCGGTAGTCTGGCAGCGGACATGGCTCCGGGATTGCGCCATGGGTATCTGCATCCGGCCTGGAGAGGCTGGGTGACAGCGAAGATACTGCCTGTCGAAGCGATGGTTTTATAAAGCGCGCAAAAGCAAACGTAGAGGATGGTCCTAGATAGCTAGGCTCTGCTCCCGCTGCGTTCAAGCTCAGAGTGCCGATGATAGAGGGTAGACCACCGAGGTCATTGCGATCGTCGTCGACAGGAGCTATACTAGCATGGGCAGGGTTCGCAACAGGCTGTCCAGTTGGCGAAGGAACCGAATCACTTGCTGCACTTGAACGTGCTTCTTGCAGCATACTCTCTAGCAGAATGACACGTTGTTCCAGCGTCTCCAGGTAATTCCGCGGTTGATATCGCTTTGTTGCAGGATCTTCAACCAGGCAAACTACGCTTCGTGGTTACCCAGATATCCGAAAATGGTACCAGAGCATTCATACCTAAATTATTGCGTCGACAGTTGCTGCATGCCGGGACCTGCTCATCACACTATGTACATGAACCAAGTTAGTTGCGTTCGGCACATCTTGCGGAGGACATGTCCTAACCCTCAGTTTCCGGTCCTTGCAGCTTATACACGCCACGAGCGTCCTGCTCCCGGTGCGCACGCGTTGTGCAGCGCCTCTCTTGGGCCGACTTCTCAAGGGGTCAGGCATTTTCTGTAACCATTCCGAGGGTCTTTCATAGGATAACTCTTGATTCGGATACAATGATGGAGACGATCGTTTGGTTCGTAGTTACCCCGCAAAGACATGACTCAGCTGATTGCCGGGTGGCGTTTTCCAACTGCCGGGTCAAAGATAAGAATAACGATTGATCTAGATGTGCTCTGATACTAAAGATACCATCCGGACTACACAATGAGTGATACTGAACCTAGGTGTGTTATGGTGGACATTGATAGGCCCGCGATGCCACTGAGTTGTAAGAAAATAAGGATATATTAATTGGCTCAATCTTGACCTCGGAGGAATACGAAGGACCAACCGGAAAGCCCTGCAAAGCATCTTCGCTAGACCATGGGTCGGCTGTCTCCGATTGTCGGATCCACACTGGGGAACGTAGGAAGCGGCATCCATCAACGTTGCCTTTGTTCAGATTTATAACAAGCCTCTGTCGTCTCTTATCTACAAATATCAAATGACTTTATCTCAGTACTCACCAAGTATCTTCCTTCTTGGATGAATGATCTTTCCGACTACAACAGCAATGCCATCCCGACTTCCTAGCAAATCTTCGCTAATCGTGATCGTGGGTGCTGGTATCTTTGGCCTGAGCACAGCCATCCACCTCGCCGAACGCGGCTACAAGAACATAAAAATCATCGACAAGCAAGCCTATCATGAATCGCAGTATTCGTACGACAAAGGCTGCGATGCTGCCTCGGCAGGTGGGTAGGCCATTCCCTCTTCTTTACATCGACTCATACCGTCTACAGACATCAACAAGATCATCCGCACAGCCTATGGCTCTGAAATATGGTATCAAGAGCTTGCGCTCGATGCTGTTACCAAGTGGAAGAGATGGAACGAGGAGATAAAAACCGGCAAGACGCTTCCTCCTGGATTCTCTACCAATGATGCGCTCTTCGTCAATAACGGGACCCTCACGATTACCACGGATACTTCACTGCCCCAGTTCGAGAAAGACACCATTCGAAACATGACGAATGCAGGTCTCGGAAGCACGCAGGTTAATCTGAGTAACCCCGACGATGTAGCTCGCGCGAAGAACAACGGCTTCGGGTTCGCTGTGGACGCATTGAACCTGAAAGATAACCTTGCCTTACTTGACACGCATGCGGGATTCGTCTACGCCGACAAGGCCTGTCGTTTCGCACTTTACAAGGCAGAGAGCTTAGGCGTGCAAGTCATCCTCGGAGGCAAGAAAGGTACATTCTCAAGCTTTCTCGAGAACGCAGAGTCCCGTATCACCGGCGTACGTACGGCAGACGGTGTCTCCCACCCTGCCGAGTTGACCATAATGGCTTGTGGCGGCTGGACTCCATCGCTTGTCACCCATCTCGATAATCTCTGCGAGACTACAGCCGGAACCGTCGCCCTGTTCCAGCTCCCGCCGAACAAAGCTCTCTGGGATCGATTTGCCCCTGAGAACTTTCCCACCTGGTCGTAAGTAGCCATGATATCCGACCACACGAGCAACGAGCAAAGCTAACCTAATCTGACTCTCTTATTCAGATATAACCTTCGACACGGAAAACACGGCGGTTTATACGGCTTCGCCCGGGATCCTCACGGCGTCGTAAAGATGGGATACCGGGGTTCAAAATTCACCAACCCGCAACCACAACCTGACGGCGCAACCAGAAGTGTCCCAAAGACGCGCTGGACGGCAGAATCGATCCACCAGATCCCAACCACAGCAGCGCGGGTATTCAAGCGCTTTGTGCAAGAATTCCTACCCGAGTTGATGCAATGCGAGATGAGCACCCGGCTCTGCTGGTACACCGATTCATTCGATAACCACTTCGTGATTGACTTTGTGCCTGGCAAAGAAGGGCTGATGGTTGCGACGGGAGGTAGCGGACATGGGTTTAAGTTTCTTCCGAATATTGGCGAGCATGTGGTAGATAGGATTGAGGGGAAGGAGAATGGTTATCTGCCGTTGTGGAAGTGGAGAAGCTTGGGGGACGGGGCGATGCCGGTTAATCGCATCATGCAGGGCGTTGGTAATGAGCTGTCACTGCAACGCCAGAGTTTGATGACGATGAATGGTTTGACTGAGCAGTATAGTCGTTTGTGATTGAGGGCTGTCGCGAAGTCCACCTAGATAGAGGAATCCTTCACTTTTCTTCACTTAAGTCAGCGAAAGAATGGTGACGGCTAGCTATTTTATATACTTGACTTTCAATCACTTGTCGCCACTTCTCCCATATAAAACCTTCGAATGAGACTTGGCGCGGTAACCGTGTTAACACTTATGTGTACTTTCAAGATTTGACTAAGATGCATACATGAATATTTGAACATGTCATATGAATGGTGATCCTAATTGAATATCGTCTCAGTTGTGTACATAGACTGGATGCTGGCATATCGGCTTTGACTGTAGAACCTAGATTGGCAAAACACCACCTCAATACCACTTGGTCTGCTGGGGAATAAATTCCCCAATATCCAATATCTACATCCCAGGTTCTCCCGAGGAAACCTACGTCGAGAAACTATCTTCCACCGTTACCCGTGAGATAATTAGCACTTATCGCCAGCGTATTTCGCATCATCATTAGTCCTAGAACGTCCCATGTTAGCTCTATCATCATTCCGAACAAGCCAGACCAATATACTCACCAAGATCTACCCAACCCATCCCCAGGACACCCTTCAACAACAATCGTCCTACCGCCCCGATGAGCACTGAACCACGGACCCCTAAACAACTCTTCTATTTCCTCGACGCTAAGCCCCGCGATCTCCGGAACCATGAAGTAAGTGTAGAGAATGCCGAGTGCACACCAACCTGCAAAGAACAGGAACGCGCCCCATTGATCAAAGCTGGACAGGATAGAGGGCATGCTATACTGCATCCCGTAGATGAATAGCCAGTGGAACGCCTGGCCTACGGCACCACCAAACGAGCGGATGCGGTTGGGCCAGAGCTCGCCGCCGAAGATGTATGGGAGGATGTACAGCCCTAATATACCCGTCAATATCATCCTTAATTGGGCGCAGGTTTTATCGAATGGAGGATACGGAGGGTTATGTAAATGCAATAAACTCACCAACTCCATAGCCGAAGGCATGAATAAAGAGAGCAGCAATCGCCGCGTTAGACGCAGACTCTGGAACCGGTCCTTTCTGCGTATATCGGATATAGACAGCAAGGTAGATATGCGTGATCATCTGAAGGCTGGCACCAACGAAAAGGGAATTCCGACGACCAAGCGCATCGACGAAGAAGAACGTCGCAATCAAGACAAAGAAGAACTTAGCCAGGCCATACATGCCACTTAAGAACATAGAATGGGCCGTATCGCCTCCGGCACCGACGATCTCGAGAACCGGCACCAAGTACGACGTGATGAGATTTGCTCCGGAAAGCTGGGCGAGGGCGTAGCACATGATGCACTGTTGGAGTCGTCGCAGATTTGAGGGAATAGTAAACGTTTCTTTAGCAATGGCCCAGAAACTGGAGTTTCCGACTGCTTCGGCGGTTCGGCTGATGTCGTCTTCGATATTCCGCAGCTCTCGCTCCACGCGAGGATGGTCAGCTGGTAAACCACGCAGCTTTACTAAAGAGGCGATGGCTTCTTCGCGACGGTGGGCTAGGAAGAGCCAGCGGGGCGATTCACTGAGGTAAAAGGTAGCGATCATGCAGAGAGCCATAAGAATCATTGGGGTGAACCAGACGATCTGAAATTGCAGATTGCCGACAGGGACATGCCGGTAAACTCCTAGAGCGCAGAATACAGATCCAAAGAGTCCGACACCCATCATGAGAAGAAACCACGATGTCAGAAGGCCTCGAATTTCCGCCGGGGCGATTTCCACGATGGACATTGGGCCACTAACGGTAAGGGGCCCGAGTCCCAGACCTTGAATAACGCGAGCGGCATAGAGGACTTTGACGTTTGGAGAGAAGATGGCCATTATGGAGCCAATACACCAGATGAGGGTATAGAGACGAAACGACCAGATTCGACCAATCAAGTCATTCACGAAAAGGGTCAGGGCGGCACCTACCCCGAATCCTACGTAGACGATGGAAATAAAGGTGCGTATATCGTCTGCGTTGGATCCAGAGCTGATCTTGAAGTGGTTTTGGAAGCCAGGAAGGGACGGTATGACCGAAGATGCACCCTGATCCCAGACTAAACAGAGCGAAGCAAAGATAATCAGTTGGTGTTGTGATAGGTTAGGAGGCTCAGTACCCTCCGTATGCAGACATGTGTATACTTACTGACTGGAACACCCCCAACAGCGTAGATAAATCATGAGAGCATCAAGTGGCGGTTGAGGATGATCTCCCGAGGTGCTTCCCGGATGGCTTTGCCATACCGTGTTAGTGGAGATCTGCGGACAACGTCTTTGAAGGTCATATTGGTTGATGTAAAGTTCGATTTGCTGCTTGGTGGGCCGCGCTTGACATTTGAAGGTTGGCCTTGGTTATCAAGACATCCTGTGTATACCAAGCCTGAACTTGACATAGTTCTGCGATTGTATCCTCCAAGAAGAAGATATCGGATTCCCCCGAACGCCACCAGCCTAGTCTCGTATTCCGCCGAGTTATCTAAGATCCATGACTCCCCGCATCCGGGGAACCCTAATAACCCCGGTTTATCATGGTACAATTGTGGAACTCGTGAAACTAGTGCGCCTCAACGAGGAGGATTTCTGATAAGACCCTGATAGGTATTGTTCCTTATCGCCGTGGGAAACCGCTCGGTCAGCGAGCCCTAAGGGATACTACTAGGTATGTAACGGGAAAGAACCACGACTACTTTGTTATGCCGAAGCAGACCTAAAACGTTCGGCATGAAAGCCAAGTTCTAAAGTACCTTATCACTCAAAGACGTCTCCACACGATGTCTCTGCAGTGTGTACTGATCTCTCGAGGAGGTTCAGCCGTTTTCCAACCAAAGAATCCAACTAATTTTCAATCAAGGATCATATACCCCGGCAAGGACAAGAGAAGCCGGGAGCATCAGAAGAATGGCCTATAAGTCGTGTAATTACCTCGCAGACATTGAAAATCAGATAACCGAAGAATGCACTATAAAACACTGCAGATAACAGCATCTTAGGCCATGCCCAAGATACGATAACCCTTATACAAAAGAAGGAAAAGAGAAATGATACACTTTTTTATACTACTTCAGTAGTGCACTTCTAATATTGCATAATAGATTCGTCTCACTTGCTTACAAACAGCCCTTGCCTGGCACAGAAATACCCATGCATCACAACAGGCGCAGAAGATAGTACACAAAATAAACACAAGAAAAAAAAAAGGAAAACGTCTACCTACTCAGCACAAATGAGTAATCCAATAATTCACAAACCCAAAGGGACAAACATTTTACCTGAATCAAACACACCGCCATAACCAAAGTTGCGCCAGAGTCCAGGTGTAGAAAAGGATTGAACGTTGAGAATTGGAACAAAAAGATTGAGGAAAAGGGAGTGGGAGGACTAGCTGGCAGGAAAGATCACCTCCATGCTGGCATTCCTGTCCAAGAGCACCGAAACACCGTCCGAGAAAACCTCTCCGTCCTGGGTGTTGTCGACCAGCAGCTAACCCCCGGAGAAGGACCAGGAAGATGACGGTAATCAAACCCTTTAGGAAACCTTGAATAAACGAGTGAAAGAATGAGGCAAAAGGGAGAAACATGTCCGAAGAAAAAGGTAAAAAAATATACAGTCAACGCCCCAAGAGCCGTTTGTACATACGAACAAAAAATCAACAAAAGAAAAGGACAATAAAGTAGACCTGGCCTGGCGAATCCCCAGGCCAAGATATACTCAGATGGAAATTAAAGCCCTGGCCAACGATTACGAAGACCTTCGGACCATCGCTGATATAACACGTCCGACAATTGCTTGGTGTGCTCCATTCCGGGCACTTGTTGACCCGGAAGATTCGCTAGCTGCGCCGGCTGCAGGTTTGAGTCGGTCACTACCGCCGATTGACGCCGCCGGTGGCTTTTTAGATGTGGGTTGTTTTGCGCCAAAACTAGCCGTGGCCTTTGTGGGGATTCGGGTGCTGGTGGAGCTTGTGGAAGTGGAACAAGACTTGACAGCTTCGGGTCTCTGGTTCGGAGAAAAATCAAAAATTTAGCAACGGTTTCGCAATCGGTGATGAAGTGAGTCAGGACTTACGCTTGGAGTCGCTCGTTCGTGGCTCTGAGGATATGATACAAACCCTCGGGGTCTACCATTTCCAGGTCACTCCAGGCCTCGGCTAGTCGCGAAATGGCCTCTCGCTTCTCCTGGTCGCCGGTCGTTCCCAGCACCTCCTGGCAGGCTATCCCTACGGCTTTGCTGTATGCGCGGCGTCCCAGCTGAGTTTCCTTGCTGTTTGTGTCGGGCGACTGGACAGACTTGGGACTGAAGTTCTCATCCGAGGCAATGGGGTACGACGACCCATAAGGACTGTCGCCCGACATTTTGTCCGACACCCGACGGAATTGACGGGCTGCCGATGGACTATTGCCAAAGGTCAAATCCACACCCAAAGGCTGCTTCACTCCGCTCGAGCGTCGCTTCCTGGTTGTCCGTCTTATCGAAGGGCTGCGGTCGGGGGCGAGTGTACGTCTAACGGCCGTGTTCACGTAGAGCGGCTGTTTTTGGGGTGGACTCGAGATGTGCAGGTTTTCCATCATCTCGGATGGCTCCTCCTCGTATGGGTAGTATTCCGGTTCCTGCTCGTCCATATCGTACGGGTCTTCGGGGATTGTCATGGTCGGCGCTTTGACGGTGTCGAATACCCATCCGTCGTCATCCTGCAAGTGCGTGATGGTGTTACTAGAACACACCTGGTTAGTACGCCACCAACATTGGGGAACTCCGATGAACATACAGTGACTCCGCATAGTACTTGACGTTCCGCGTCACCCCTCGTCCGGCATCCCAGTCCTGTTTCCGCTGGATCAGCTCCTGCAACGCCTCCGTCTTCCCCGCGTTCCGGATGAATTTGTGGCGGAGCAGTTCTTTCGCACTCGGCCGTCGATCCGGATCCTTAGTCAGGCATTGCGAGATGAAGTCCTTAAACGTGCTACTATACTGATTGCCTTCCAATCGAGGAGCCGGTTCTTTGGGAATCAGGAAAAGCACTTTCATCGGGTGAGTGCTCGCATGCGGCGGCTCGCCGTTGATCATCTCAATGGCCGAAATTCCCAGCGACCAGATATCCGCCTTATAGTCGTACCCTGCTTGCTGGATGACCTCGGGCGCCATCCAGAACGGCGTCCCGACAAATGTATTCCGCTGAGACTTGATGTTGATGAGTTGCGCGGCGACTCCGAAATCCGCCAGTTTGACTTTCCCCGTATGCGAAAGAAGGACATTGGCAGCTTTGATGTCGCGGTGGATTTTCCCCTCGCTGTGCAGATATTCCATTCCGAGTAGCAATTGCTGGCAGATGATCGCGACGTGTGCCTCGTTGAAAACGCCCGGTTTCAGCTGTGGCAGTTAGCGAATACACCCCAATTTCTTGGAAAGGAAAACATTTCCGGGGTCGCTACCAGATCAAGACAGGACCCTCCGCCCAAATATTCCATAACAATCCACAACTTGTGCCCGCGCAGAAAACTCGCTTTGTATTGCGTCACGAACGGGCTCGCGCATGTCGCCAGGACGGAGATCTCCTGCTGAATTTCCTGGATGTCATCTTCGCTGGACTCGAGATCGATCTGGAATTGAGGGTTGATTGTTAGTCGGTTTGTCAATCGGCAGGCACGCAAGCCAATGCACGGCCACTTACATGCTTCACGGCCACGATCTCCCCGGTAGATTTCTCAATTGCCTTATACACCGTCCCAAAACTCCCACCTAAACGCGCGAACAACACATCAGTAACTGCAATTGATTCAATTGGTCGAGCAGACAGCACATACTCCCCAATTCCTCCATCATCTGGTAGTGACTCGACATATCCGACTCCATGGCTGCGGCTGGTTGCTGACCGACGCCGAAAATGCTGCCCGACCTGGAAGCTCCACAAGCTTACCTTGGAGAGATAGGGCAGAGAGAAAAAAAGATAGAAAAGAAAAAAAAGGGGGGGGGGAGAGGGCAACCCGCCAAACAACCAGTTTAGCTAGCTAGCTATGCACTCGCGGAACACGGTAGCTGAGCTGAACAAAGTCGATTGTGCCCCGACCTTTCAGAAGTGGGATGGGTAGAGCTGGGAGAGAGAAAGAAGAATGACGGGAAAGGCTGGCAGGATAAGCAGCTATCGGGGTCCATCGCATCCACTGGTTGGCAAGCGGAAGACTTCCATGGTTCGCGGGCAAACAACAAGTGCAAACAAGGACTAGAAACAAGGCGGTCGCCGCTCGTAGCGCATGGCAACCGCCTCAGGCAGCATGTGCCCCGCTTAGGTAATTTCCCCGCACGGACGGAGCATTTCTGCATAATGCATATCGATAAGCATAACTTCTTAGCGTCCTTACTTGGTGTATAGGGAGTACATTGCGGTGTGCTCCGTAGTTTCCATGGAGATTATAATGAGCCTACTTCTACATATGGCTGACATATAGCTTACTTTGTACTTCACAAATGCAAAGTCTCTCAGTAAATCCATAAATTGGTATAAAACTTTTAATCAGTCCGTCTATCTTTACAGGCCCCATGTACCATCTCTAAATGTACTTGTAGGGGTTCATGATACCGTTCTAGCCATGTGTTAGTGAAATACAGACTGAAAGGTTGCGGGATTCGATACTCACCGGATCATACAAATTCTTCAACTGCTTCATCAGCTTCACCATGGTCTCGTTCTGGCTGTATCCAATAAACTCCTTCTTGGCGAGTCCCAGGCCATGCTCGGCACTAATACTACCGTTGCGCTTCTGAATCCACTCGTAAACCCACGGCTCAATGGCCTTCTCGACATCCTTGCTGTACTGGCGAACAGCAATGTTCAGGTGCAAGTTCGAGTCACCCATGTGGCCGTATCCCACAACAGCCCGCACGGGGAAGGAGTCGTCATCACCGACGAATCCGAGTTTCGTCAACCGCTCCCGGCAGTCATCGACCAGCTGGTACAGCTCGGGAAGAGGGATGGAGACGTCGTACTTGTACGTACCACCCAGGTGGCTCAGGGCCTCCGTGATGCCCTCACGCCAGCGCCAGATGGACTGGAACTGGGTCTCGTCCTGGGCCAACACTCCGTCGGCAACGATGCCCTCGCCCATAACGGATTCCAAGAATGTCTCCAGCTTCTCCATGTCGTGGTCGGGGTTCGATCCGCTGGTCTCCACGACACAGTAGAAGGGGTACTCGCCTTCAAGGGGGTACTTGTTGCCGGTGGACTCGTGGACCAGCTTTTGGCTGCGACCATCCATCAGCTCGAATGCGGAGAGAATCTCGGACAGCTGACCCTTGGCCTCCTTGAACGCCTGGCGGACCTGCTCGAAGCTCTCCAGACCGAAGTAGGCTACGTTGACGGCCTTCGGGCGGGGCGGGCACAAAATGGAAACAGCGGTGATGATACCGATAGTACCCTCGGCACCCACGAACAGCTGCTTCAAGTCATACCCGGTGTTGTTCTTGCGCAAAGTGGACAACGAATCCACAATCGTGCCGTCCGGCAAGACCGCCTCCAGACCCAGCACATTACCATGCAGACTGCCGTAGCGAAGCAGACGCAGACCACCCGCGTTCGTAGCCACATTGCCACCGATATGGCAGGATCCCTTGGCGCCCAGATCCAGCGGGAAGAGGTGGTCTTTCTGCGCCAGGTGCTGATCCGCCACTTCGAGAATGACACCGGCATCGGCAACCAAGACTCCGGAGGCCTCGTCGAACGAGCGGATCTTGTTCATGCGCGACGTGTTGATCACGATCTCGTCGAACACGGGCACCGAACCGCCCACCAACCCGGTGTTTCCTCCCTGTGGCACAACCGCCAGTTTCCGCTCGTTGCAGTGCTTCAGCACCTTGCTAAGCTCCTGCGCGTTCTGCGGCTTCAGCACCAGTTTCGTATGTCCGCGGTACTTGCGCATCCAGTCGCCGTTGAAGGGCTCGATGTCGTCGGCCGCGTCGGTCGTCACGCCATCAATGACGGCAGACGGGGAACCTAGCAGGTCTTTGAAGATCTGAACATCCTCGGCGGTGATCTCGGCGAATTTAGGGTCGCGCTTGAGGTCGGGGTAGGCGTTCGTGGTGTACTTGACCTCCTTGGTGGCCTTGACGGGGGCGGAGACGCTGAAGGCGCGGGTCGCATTCACGGTCGGGGCGCGAGGGGCAGCGGTGAGAGGACGGATCGAAGCGCGGGGTTTGGGCACGCGAGCCCGTCGCAGGGCAGTTGAGAAATTCCGAGCACTCGACATGGTGTGGTTGTGGGGTGTGGGTGGGATTAACAAGGAGCAAGGACTTGTCGAACGGGCGACGAACGGCTGTCTAAAAACCCGTCGGCGGCCTGCCGACTCCGGAGCGATTTCCGTGCCGATGACGGTCGGTCCGCGGCTGGGCGGATATTTCTACTTTCTACGGAGTACGGAGTACATTGACATCTCACTACTAGAACGCCTCGGTTTTTTAGTGTTTTTGTAGTTTGGTTATACATAAGGTGGATCTTTATTCCACTGTCTCAAGTTGACTTTGCTTTGATCAGCAGTGTTTGCAAAACCTAACAACATTGATGGCAAGCAAGGAGCTCTTATATAAATCCGCGGGTCTCAGCCATATCTCTGGTCCGTTGTATCTCTGAGTCAATGTGCTAAATAAATCAACAGAGTAAGACATTATTGCGTCTTGATCATTGCGATAAGCCCAATGCCTGAGGTGCAAGAAGTTAAGCATTTCACTATTTGCTGACCCTTCCATAGCACCTGTATGCATTAGGGAAGGGCTCTCTCTATCAACGATCAAATCATACATTCCTTTATAGCTCTAGACGTCCATTGTGCCTCTTTCCATGATGAGGTTGGGTCATCCCAGTTGTCACCTGGCACCTGTAATTCTCCCCAGTTATACTAACTAGAGCTTTCCTTGACTTGCCAATCGTCCCTTCAACCATGGTATCTCCTCCAACGAATACCTATACGCTCGAAACAACGCATTCGACTCCCCAGGGAATATCCTGGCCGTCACCTCATCCGAATACGGCGCAAAGTGCGGATTGATATACTCCCAACAAATGTATCCATCACGAGTGACCTCAAATAGCCGACCAAAAGCACTCTCGCAGAGCAGGGTATTTCCATTCGCAAGTCTCTGCGCGCTGCCCATAAACGGTGTGAAGAAATACAGCATCTGCGAGCGGTCCCGATACTCCCAGACAATCTCCTTCGTTGCGCGACTGACCTCAATCGCCCGAGAGTAAGTGATTGACTCGCCGCCTCGGAAAGCACCATTGTCGAAGATGAGAATGTTGCCGTTCTCTAACTCCGTGGCGTTGTGTTGTTGCGCTAATACCTCGGGCCCGAGTTTCCATACTATATCGCCGGTTGATTTCTCGATGATGATGACCGCGGAGACAGAGCGCATGGATGCGAGAATGTGCTTTCCGTCTTTGAGGGGAAGAACGGAGTTGATAAGAGGGTAGTGCTCGCGGGTGTAGTGCGGTTGGAGAGGGAATTCAGCGCGAGGCAATCGGTCAGAGACTTTCCATTGCCAGACGAGGTTCCCGTGTTGGTCGACTTCGTTGATGGTGTCTGCGTAGGTGATACCGTCGATTTCACTGCCGGGTACGCCCCCAATCACCTTGGCGGATTCCTCTGGGGATAATGCCTCGAGACTTGTATACAGCAGCCGTCCATCGCCGAAGTGATACTGGTCGTGATGACCTAGAGGATCGACGAATTGTCGTACCACGTTGCCGTCTGGATCAATCTCGCTCATGACCCCACCGCCGTACTTGTTAAAGAAGGGGAAAGGGAATGGGCCGCCGTCTTCGGTTGTTTGACTAGGAGATTGGCGGAGTGTGTTGACCGCGAGGTTCCCGTTGGGAAGGATTCTCGCATGTCGTCCAATGCGCCCGGGTAGTTTCCATGAATGGACTTCATGTCCGTCGATGTCGACTAGATGGGCCGTATCACTAGTCAATGGACAAAATAGAGTGTAGCCTCCGAATGAGCGAGCTTTGTCGACACCGGTTAGGCCAGCGCCTCGTCTTTTAAGCGTATTTTGTTCCATCGCAAGATAAGTAGGTGTAAATCGCGTGTTGCACCGCTTAGTAGACTCTGAAGTCGGGATATAACATGCATTTATTAAAGAAATGATAAAGTGAATCTTCAATCATTTTCTATTCTATCTCCACAAGTCCTAATTAGGGTTCTGATGCCATCCGACGGCATCCCGACGTTCCTACGGCAAGCCGTCGGCATGCCGCCGGAAGAGGCCTATCACGGCCAGCTCTAGGCATAAATACAAGACTGCCATAGGTGCATAGTCTTATCACGTCATTATCGTAGCCATGATAACTTCAGCATCCTGTGAATGGCTTTATCGTCTATCACCTCATTCAGCGCGGCGTCCCTTATGTCATGTGTGCTGTGTGTAGACCCGAGAATAAAATGGAGGTGAATGCGAAGGGGGTCCCAGGGTTCTGGGTTGATCAAGGAGGCTTCAGTGGAAGAACTTCAGGATTGCCATTTGAGCCACAATGGCTTCCCAATGCAAAGCGAGCGTTGCAATGGATCTCCTGAAACCTTATTCCGAGCATGAAGTTAACATCGTGATCGATACCCCCGGCTATGACCCCAGCATCCAACCCGAAGCCGACGAAACCAGAAAAGCGTTATTGAAGGTTGACCTATTGATCTTGCCTTTTATAGTAGTCTGCTTCTGCTTTCTTCAGTTTGACCGTACCAACATCGGCAACGCATTGACCGACACGCTCCGAGCTGATATCCAAGTCAACAACACGGCCATAAACCTGGCTCAGACCTTGTTCACGGTGGGCTTCGTCATTACAGAGTTACCCTTCAACATGATAAGCAGGTATATGGGTCCGGAGCGTTTCCTTCCCATCACCATGTTTCTCTGGGGCGTTGCGACGTGGTCTCAGATCTTCATCAAGAATGCCTCTGGACTCCAGGCGGCTCGCTTCTTCATCGGGGCTCTTGAAGGAGGGTATATCCCTGGATTTGCTCTGTACATCTCAAAATACTATACGAACCAAGAGCTCGCCTTGCGGTACGCAATCTTTTGGGCCTCAAACAGCTTCGCCGGAATCCTGGGAGGACCGCTTGCAATTGGACTTGTTTCTCTTGGAGGACGACATGGCTTGGAAGGATGGCAGTGGCTGTTCCTTATCGGTATGGCCGTCTTTCCGACAGACAAAGAAATACTAACATTTTCCAGAGGGGGTCTTGACATGCTTCCTCGGACTCGTCGCATACATCTATCTTCCGCACAGCGCGGTGACTCCAAAAACCTTCTTCGGCAGATCATTCAACATGTTCACGCCTAGAGAAGCAACAATTCTCACCACCCGAGTGATCAACAACGACCCCACCAAAGCCTACAGACAGAAAAAGAGAGTATCGCCGTCCGACATTCTCGAGACGTTCCTAGACTGGAGACTTTACGGCCACATCATCGCTGCATTTCTCTCTATGATTATGATCTCACCAATGAACACCTACGCCCCTTCTATAATCAAGAGTCTCGGTTTCACGAGCTTACAAGCCAACGGCCTAAATTCGGTTGGCAGTGCATGTGCCCTGGTTATGTCTATATCGTTGGCATTCAGCAGTGATAAATTCCGGGAACGAGGGATTCACATCGCGATTGGATATCTGTGGGGTGCGGCGGGGTTATTATGGCTAGCACTTACGCCCGAGGCTAGTGGAAAATGGATTCTCTATGGTATGTCTATCTATTCTATCTGTATATTTGGATATTGTGGTTCATCACAGTGCTAATGTACCCGCGACAGGAGGCGTAGTTTGGACTCAAATGGGCATGGGCTGTGCCCAGGCAATCAGCGCAGCCTGGTTAACTGCCAAGATGCATGATCATAAGCGCCCTGTTGCTTTGGCGGCGTATGTGATGAGCATTCAGCTTGCTAATTTTCCTGGGAACCAGCTTTTCCGGTCACAAGGTATGTTTTATCTGAATCGGACATCAGTTGAGATCAAGGCTAAATAGCTTTAGACGCACCTAGATATACTCGAGGGTTGGTTATTGCCGCTGCCTGTACCATTGCAGCAGCTGTTGTTATTCTACTTTGGAAGTTTCTGTACCGTTTGTATGATCATGGAGATAGTGGTGTTGAAGTTAGGTATGGCGTTGCTGAGCCGCGAGAGAAGAAAGTAGAATCTAAAGGGGGAAGCCAGGAAGTTTAAATCCGCGGAAAAAGCGTTTATTGGGTCTTTTACTACAAATTCCTTTCGATATAATGATTACGACAATGCTAGTAGTTTTCTCCGACAGTCATACTTCGGTACTTCACGTGATTTAGTGGCGATTGTGGAATAGGTACAGTTCAATCTATGTGAATAGGATAGCCCTAATATAATGATACCTTCATGGCCATTCTGTAATTGCGCCCATAGTTCGCATGTAGAACCTAGACACTTTGTACGCACTTAGTTGGAAGCCTGATTTATCAGGCTTTCATTCGATCACAACATCAGCAGCGGGATGTCGCCATCTGATAAGCTCCTGATAAGCACATTGCCCCGAACGTCAACCGCCTCACAGGCGACATCTTACCTATGTTTATGTGAAGCATGCCTCCACTTCGATCGGGTAGGGCTTCGAAAGCTTGTGATCTATGTCGGAAATATAAGACGCGATGTTATGCTTCGTCTGATGGCGCCAAGAATGGCTGTCTGCGCTGCATCACATTATCCCAGCCGTGCTCTTTACAACATGAATCTGTGACGGCGTATCGTCCAATCTCGCCTGTTGAGAGTTCGTTACCGTGTACTCATGCTTCTTCTGACAAGAGTGACGGCAACGGGCTCAGACAGCGACGCTCTACAGACGAGAGGTCTGTTCAAATTAGCGAATGGGCTTGGTATCAGGAAGAGCTGACAGTCTTTTGAACAGGCTCGAGAGGCTCGAGAGAACTGTCGAGAGCTTGGTAGGCCGGCTAGATTCCAGACTTGATGCTTTGACTAGTAGCTGGAATAATGAACCGTCTGCAGGGAAAGCCACAGAATACGTTAGTTCGACTGAGCAGAACCCAGCCCCCGTGCTTTTGATTCGAGATGCTGCCATGGATGCTGGTGTGCATTCGCCTGACCAGAATGACTCCCATGTGGGTTTATCTCCAGATGTCATCTCATCGGGGCTCGTGACACTGCCGACTGCCCACTCCTTAGTACAGTTGTAAGCTTCTTCGATAAGGATTACAATTGCTCATCTCCAGCTAAACCTCCCAGATTTCACGTTCATTATGGTCGATGGGTCAAGTTCCCAGAACACGTAACGACTGAGACTCTGCTAGCGCGGATTAGAAAATCTCCAGTTCTTCTATGCAGTGTCCTTCTAATTGCAGTCCGTCATACCACTCAAGACCTTGCAGATCGACTTGCGCCTCACTTATTCAGGGAAGCAAAAGGTCTTATTACGTCTTCGCTACTTGTGGTGCCTCAAGCAACCGAGTTCTTTCAAGCTGTCCTCATTCTGAGCTTATGGTCCACGACAATAGGCCAAGTGCCCTTGAGCCTTGACAGCTGGCTCCTGACAGGATATTCTCTACAGCAAGCATTGATCAGCCCTGACTTTATGGAAGTATTTCGACCAGGTTCATCCCTCCCTACCGCACGTTGTCACCTTGATTCTTGGTGTTTGTGGAACCATCTCTGCCTGGCCCATCTGCAGTGCGTTTCCCAATTATGAGTCACCGGCGGGAGCTAATTCCAAATAGATACTGCGTTGGAACGCGTCGGCAGGCTATGCTCAGTGAAGCTCAAATCGGCCATTGTACCCGATTTATTGAATCTGATAGTGTCACCAACTACGAGGCCAGAATGGTGGCCGAAGTGAAGCTATATTGGATTATCTATAAACATTGCTCCAGATCTCAGATCGATTTACCCGAAGTAGAACGTGTCTTGCAAAACTGGCAACACGAATGGCATGCGTTATTTGGTACATTTTCGCACAATGGAGTCCTAAAATATTAAGGCTAATTAAGTGTCAAGCCCAGCCTCGATCCCAGTTTCTTCAAATGGGCTTTCATTTCGCTCATCTTCTTGCCTACAGCAATTCTCTCAAATCAACCCAGACAGCGATGGCTAGCTCCACGGTCACAGAAATGATCAGACATTCAACAACCATCATCAACCTTGCCATCGACACAACCGACGAACGAACACGTCATTTAACAGATCAAATATACCACATCGTGACGTTTTCCGCACTGACCCTTTCTCGCCTTGTTCATACATATGAGTCACATCTTCAGGCGGTACATCACAACACCCATAGTCTTGATAACCTCGTCATCAAGCTCATCAATTGGCTCAAATCAATTGGTCTCCCATGTCACACTGCATACATGCTGGGCGATATTGTCTCAGCCCAGTTGGGGAAACTGCGACCGAACGTTCGGCAAGCAGCGACCATTGATCCTGAGTTGAACAGCTTTTGTCGCGATGGCACTACTACTGATCATCAGCTACTGCCACTTGATGTCGCTCTCTTCTGTCCCGAGTTCATTGGATCCGAACTCTTTGACCTAGATTCGGAGCTGGCGTCGTGGCCGCAATGGGGACAAATGTATCCGCATATCGAAGAGTCGACTTAAGCAGTCTTTCTACACCGCGCGCTGGCACAATGCTCTAGTTGCAAGCTCGAGTGAACTATTTGAAGACTCCTCCGCGAACTTTGATACCGGTATGGAGAATTTAGAGCTGGAAAGCGTGGGTCTATCAACAAGATGTGGTATACGGAATTCTTTCAAGCCTACACATTTATTTTGGACCTCGTTTTGTCAGAGCAAAGTTGTTCTCAATAAGAATACCTAATTCAGATTACATTCCTTATGTTACACTGTCATCTGCGTTGTGATGAAGGGCTCAATGTTACCACGTAATATTGCTAACCCCCCTTTTTTCTCTTGAGGGAAGAATATTGAGAAATTTCCTCCTTCGAACAACTGACATCTTTCCAACCTACGTCTTGCCGGCTCATCGGAACACTATGGCAAGCTCCTGGATATCAACGCCAAGTCGAAAAGCGGCGCTCGGACGATCGAAACCCCGCATAATGCAGGTCATGGAGGTCCACATTGCCTGCCAGATAGTCAGAACTCAATAATGTAAACTTACTTAGACCACGCCAGACTCAAAACAAGATGAGTGACCCTCTGCTACAAATTAGAAGAAGCAAAACATATTAAGGATCTGACAGACCCACTTCCTCGCAATCCATACACAGTCCAAAGGAGACTAGTTAACGGAGTCCCTGAACGAAAAAGGGAATGGTTTCCAGATCGGACAATTATTCCCCGAGATGTCTGCGGAGGCCGCTGAAGAGTCCGCTCATCGTTCCGGAGTAAAGGGAGCGAAGAGTTTAGCTAACTGACGCTTTTCAAGAGTCTTGACTCCAACGAGGTCGGCTAAAGAAGCTCCGAGGGCGCATCAGTACGCATAGAATGGGTTATATGACGTTTCAAGGACCATTTCTAATTCCGCTGGACCGAGAAGTAAAAATTGGAAGAAAATGTGTCACCATTGAGATGAACTTGGAATATCTTGGCATCATAGAGAATGGTTATAAAATCAATGGTGTGCTTGCAAAGGATGGCAACAGTCAGGATCAAACGAAATTGGAAGACCGTAGCCGCCTTTGCGACTTACTTGCATAAGAACGATGCATTTAGCCGGGGGTGTACTCTTGCCTATTGCATTATTACCACTCTCTGTGACACTTTCCATATCCCGTCTGTCATTCGAGCATCATCGCGAAGCCCTCGGTATTGGAGAAGCCTCGCCGCGCATCTCATGGCGGTTTCATGGCTTGGAGCCCAATTGAACGCAGAGCGGCTACGAAGTGGAAATCAACCGTGGCTCCAAGGCTCCGCAGATTTATGCCGTCAACTCGAGCGACTCTGTTCTGGTGCCGTGGCCCGACAAACCGCTGCACCCAGCTGAGCTGGTTAACGTGAGAGTTCGATCTCATGGACAACCAGGGCAGCCTTCAACCCCATGGTCTACCGCGATGAAGGTTGAGACTGGGCTTCTCAATGAATCGGATTGGGGCAATGCGGTTCCCATCGCAGCTGAGCGCCAGACAGAGGTTGATGGGCCCAAGCGACCGATTTACTTCCGACAATCATTTGCCATCGACCAAGATATTATTTCTGCGAGGCTTTACATTACCGCGCTTGGCCTATACGAGGCAGAGATCAACGGAGCTCGCGTGGGTGATAAAGTACTTGCACCGGGCTGGCAATCATATAACCACCGACACGCTTACGACACGCACGACGTGACTGAGCTGGTGAAACGCGGTGTGAATGGGATCGGCGTGGTCGTGGGTGAGGGCTGGTACTCCGGTATCCTCACTGCAGCGGGAAATTATCGCAACAACTACGGTGACACGCTAGGTCATCAGGCCCTGCTAGTAGTTACGCTTCGCAATGGAACGCGGGTTGAGATTCCCACGGATACACAATGGCAGGCGACTACCGGCCCTCTGGTCTTGTCGGAGATCTATAACGGCGAAAAATACGATTCTCGGCTGGAAACAAGATTGAAGGGCTGGTCCACGGGGCAATTCGATTCCAGTAACTGGCTGCCAGTCAAAGAGCTAGACCAATTGCAAGGCGCCCTGGTCCCCTTGGATGGTCCCCCTGCTAAAAGAACGCAGGAAATACAACCTCAAAAGATCTTCAAGTCCCCTTCAAACAAAACGGTTGTTGACTTTGGCCAGAACTTAGTGGGCTGGGTCCAGTTGAATGTGGCCGGTCCAGCTGGTACGAATATCATACTGCGACATGCTGAGGTTCTTGAAATGGGCGAGTTAGCTCTACGTCCGCTTCGTCGCGCATCCGCAACCGATTGGCTCGTTCTCCATGGAAATGGTACGCAGACCTGGGAGCCTCGATTCACATACCATGGATTCCGCTACGTACAGGTCGACGGATGGCCGGCATCATGGACCCCGTTGGATGGGAACTCGATCAGAGCCATCGTCGTACATACTGACATGGAGCGGACAGGATGGCTCAAAAGTTCCAACGAGCTGCTTAACAAGTTTCACGACAACGTTATATGGTCCATGAGGGGAAACTTTGTCTCTTTGCCTACGGACTGCCCCCAACGGGATGAGCGACTTGGCTGGACAGGAGATGCTCATGCGTTCGGGCCCACGGCGAATTACCTCTACGATGCATCGGGATTCTGGCGTGGCTGGCACCGAGATATTTGGTCGGAAATGCAGCGCGAGAACACGATGGCTGTGCCATATTTCGTCCCCGTCATCCCGCCCGAGATCGACAGAACCGCATGGAACCCGTCCAAGCCCTCGGCCATCTGGGGTGATGTTGCTGTAGGTGGGCCCTTCAATCATTACTTGGCTTACGGGGATATCGGGATGTTGCGCGAACAATACGATCAGGCGCGCGCATGGATTGATTCGGGAATTCCACGACATGAGTCAGGGCTCTGGCAACATAACACCTACCAGTTTGGAGACTGGTTGGATCCAAAGGCCCCTGTGGATGACCCAGGCGATGCAACGACAAACAAATACTTGGTAGCAGACGCTTACCTGGTTCGGATGACCGAATACATCGCCAACATCTCTCTCGCGCTTGGTAACCAGGAAGCAGCCGTAACATACACAAAGCAGCATCAAAGCCTCATCGAGGCCTTCCGATCAGCATGGATATCCAACGGAACGATGGCCAACCAGACCCAAACTGCATACGCGCTAGGCCTCCAGTTCGGACTCTTCGCCAAAGGCAGAGAACAAGACTCAGCAGCTTCAAACTTACGAAAGCTAATCGCAGAGAATGATCACCTCGTCGGCACTGGGTTCGCCGGCACACCAGCTCTCGGATTCGCGTTAGCCGCGAACAACGCAACGGAGGACTTCTACAGCATGCTACTGCAAACGAAGGTCCCATCATGGCTCTACCAGGTTGTCCAGGGTGGTACAACGACATGGGAACGTTGGGATAGTTTACTTCCCGATGGCAGCGTTAACCCAGGCGAGATGACTAGTTTCAATCACTACGCGTTCGGGTCCATCGCTGACTGGATGCATCAGGTCATCGGCGGCCTAGCCCCCGCCGAACCTGGATGGAAACGTGTTGCCGTTGCTCCTTTACCTGGTGGAAACATAACGAGTGCGGAAGGAAGATATCTTAGTCCATATGGAGAGGTCCGCTCGCAATGGTGGCTTAATCAACAGGGCCGGTTCAGGTTGAAGGTCCAAGTTCCGCCAAATAGTAGAGCCACGGTGACCTTGCCATTCAGCAAGGTAGTTAAGGAAGTTGGGTCTGGACAGTATGAGTTTCAAGATATCAAGCGAGGGAATGTCTACTAGCAGTGATTTGTTCAAGTGATATACATGGTAAATTGGGCAAAATGACTGGATTGATGTATATGCCAATCAGGGCATTTGACTTCATTGTAATAACCGTGATTGACATAATATAACCCGTCAATGGCTGTTTACCGAGTAAATATATAGAAACTCTATCAACAAGAGAATTGAGACATTGACGACATGATGAGACTGTACCTTATTGTGCTCTGTTTCAGTTAACAGGTGACACAGAAGTCCGCCTGATCCTAAATCCTAGGATTTTCGGAAACTGCAGAAAGTTCTTTGACGAGTGTTCTCGCTTGTGGTCTACGAACGACTCATCGAAATTCGTCTCTTCCAGTGCGTCGAGGACCAGGCCTTTCTGAAAGAAGGGCGCGAAGAGCTCATGCAGAGGGCGATGGAAGGAAAGCTGTTGCTGTTAGAGAAGGAGGCTCGCATACTCAGGGTATGAACTGGGTGGAATTCTAGAACAAACCGGAGGTGGAGTGTTCTCGTCTTCGGAGAAGAGAAGTTGTCGTGCTGGTGGAACGTCAAGGTACCTGTTTAGTATGATCGAGCGAGTGATCTCGCGCTGACCAGTCGTCGGGTTTTCATGAAAGGTGATCTGGCGATCTGCACCGGAGGTGAAGAATAAGGGATGGAGGATCGTGGCTACGAAGCTGTAGTCGTTGGGGTTAGGGGTCGAGTGCTGGACATTATGTGTATGTACTACTTACCAGCCATCCTGCGTTAAGAGGCGCTTCAAAGCAGTGGCAAGTGGTTTTAGATCAGGGATATCCATGATTCCCATGTTCATCGTAATGATATCGAATTTTTCGGTCTGATACCTGTCAACAAGGCCCGTCCCGGCAGCAGCATGACTACTAACCGGGGTTAGAGATTGGGATATAAACTCCTCCCAAGCATCCATACTCGCAGCATTCAAAGTCTCAAATGAGATTTTCTGTTCCCTGCTCAACCTTCCGTCCTGGTACCAACTTTCTGTCCTCGCCCTGGCACGCTCCAGCATCGGTCTGGATGCATCTGTCGCCACAACCGAAGCACCCTCTCTTGCAAGCCAGCGCGCAACAAGTCCGTTCCCCGTTGCAAGGTCCAGTGCACGGGCGCTCTTATATTTCAGAACCATCCGCTCGAGAATAGGCAGTTCTAAGGCCGAGAAATACGAATTTCCGTCATCGCCCATCTGTTCGTCCCATGCTTTCGCGTGGTTTTCCCATGCCACGAGAGCTTTTGTCTTGATATCGGTGAGGTCCATTTCGAGTTACTGGGCGTTGCAGAGTGCGAGGAGCTCGATGAGTTGAGAATTGCAGGACGTCGTAGTGACTTTGATCGTGGTTATAATAAGGCCAGGAGACAAGACATCCCCCACTTGGCGCGTTCTTGTGAATACGAGGATCTTGGGATTGGATGGAACCTCGTACTCTCGTTTCTTGGTGGTTTCTTGGCAGTGCTTTGAGTCATTCTCTAATGGAATTATTGACTAGAAGAATCTGGTACTCCAAAATTTATCACGAATCATGCAGACACGTGATTCTGTAAGAGTCACTTGACGGTCAAGCCCTAAAAGCTCCCAAACAGCCAAGACTTGATCTACGGCCTCACGCAGAGAAGCAATTTCGACGAGGTAAGCTAATGAAGACGGTTTCTTTAACTCTCTCCTCGGTTAGTTAAATATATCCCGTCTTTACAAGCCATAATGCAGCTAATTGATGACCACCCTGATAAGGCATTCTACCCCAATGGCCGAGGAGTCGGACATCTGGCCTAAAATCGCGTGCTCTGTCGTTATCGGCCACATTAGCGCGATTAGAAATCGGCTACGGGGTTTATGAAGTTATCGGCAAAAGATGCAAGCACAATGGGACTTGTGATAGGCTGTCAGGTTATTGTTGAGGATTGCCGAATGCACCTCCGCTTCTCATCGACCACCGCTGTTGTCACCAAACTTCCTGGTCGGGGATGATATGCATAGCGGCATCTAGACCATCTCATCTGCCACTAATGAGAATGCTTGCCTTCTCATTTATCCCATTTATCATTGGATAGAGGAAGAATGTACCTCTTGGTCGCAATTATTACTTCTGATAACGAAATCATCTACCCCACGCCCGGATGTTCCTTGACCTGCTACATTCTCATTTAAAACCGAAGCAACTGTCAAGGATTTGGGTCCAGGCATACCCAGGTAGAGTGCTGAGAACGAACACACTTCGTGATGTCTACTACATCGGTTCCTCCTGAGAAGATAGATGCTATCTCAAGCACCGCCGCTATCGACGAGGACGTGCGGGTTCACTGCTCGAATGAGCTCCCTGATCCCGGAAAGCAGAATGTACATCTTGTCAGTCGCAACGAGCACGGGTCGCTCCCCGCATATGATCAAGAATACATCCCCGGTTATGATGCCAACCTTATGCAAGCTCGAGCAACCTTGAGTAGTGATGAGGAGAAGAGGTTGCTTCGACGAATAGATTGGCATCTAATCCCTCTGCTAGCGGTAATGTACATGGTCAAGACGATTGACTCAAATAATGTGGGCAACCTAGCACCTCTTCTATAAGAATAAGAAGACTAACCGATCTTAGGTCTCTAACGCTCGAGTGATGGATAAAGACACCCCGTATAATATCATGACTGAGCTGAACATGACATCCAATCAATATAATCTTGTCACGACCATGTATTATGTGAGACAACCTCTCTATCCTCGGAGGTCCTAGCTTACGTGTTTAGATTCCCTACATAATTGCTGAAGCACCATCAAATCTACTTCTGAAAGGCGTGCGACCGTCTGTATGGCAGGCTCGAGTCATGGTGAGTATCACACAATGCTCATACTATGCATGGTCTAACTTCAGCAGATCTCATGGGGCATAGTCCTATGTTGCCATGCCGCTGTCGTTAACCGACAGGGCTTATATGCGGTGCGATTCTTCCTCGGTCTTTTCGAGGCAGGGTTATGGCCAGGAATGCTTCTTCAGCTATGTTACTGGTACCGTCCAGACGAAATGGCACCTCGCATAGTCCTAGTGACACTTCTCGGCAATTTCAGCTCTGTAATCAGTGGGGTTCTTGCGTTTGCGTTTAACGGGGTACTAGCTAGAGGACTATCGGGCTGGAAATGGTATAACTCAACGCACCTTTTCGGGCGAAGCCAAACTAACACATACTAGGTTAATCTTGACTGAAGGTGTCTTTACTGTCGTGCTTGGGATATTCGTTTTATTCTTTCTACCAGACTGTATTACTTCTTTCCTACACTCTCCATATTAACGCTAAACTCCTTCCCAGTCCCCTCTACAGCCTCCTGGCTCTCCGACAAAGAGAAGGCATTCATTCAAGCCCGCCTACCGAGTAATTCGCCACGAGCTGCCGAATCAAACTTTGATCTCCGCGAGCTCATCACCACCCTGAAGAATAAGCGAATTTGGCTCTTTCTACTTTGTTGGGCATTTTTTACGGTCGGCACAACTGGTCTTCTATTCTACCAGCCAACTGTCATCGCCAATTTAGGCTTCACGTATGTTGACCCAGTCGTTATCAAGTTCGAACCCTACTGATACGAAGCCAGATCAATTGCTCAAACCCAACTACTGAATATCCCCTCCGCTGTATTCGCAGTGGTTCTGACTGTCATCTTTGGCATCTTCGCAGACACAGGTCGCATTCCGCAGCCGTCAATTCCTCTGGGATTCATGATCGTCATCCAAGCCTGTTACGCTGTTCTCTATACCTTCCCAAGCAATGGAGGCGTCTACGCAGCTACCATAATCGCCACCGGCTTCTCAAGTGCATGGTAAGCATCTTCCCCCCCCTCAAGCCCTCTCCCCAAAGCCAAACCACTAACACAATCCACCCAAAATAAACAGGTATACCATGATGTGGCCCTGGCGCGTACAAACCACCCAAGGCGCAACAGGCTCTGCATTTGCCATCGCGTTCGCGAACAGCTACGGTCAGATCGGAGGTGCGGTTGGCTCACAGCTGTTCAACTCTCGGTATGCGCCTCGATATGCTACTTCTTTTGGAATAGCGATGGGGTTTGTGGGCATGGCGATTGTGATGAACCTTGTCACTTGGTTCTTTACGTGGCGGGTCGATGTCGATACGAGGCGGTTGAAGAGGATTCGGATTGCGGCTGCGAAGAGAAACGAGGCTGTTTTGGATGATGTGGATATTAGGGAGAAGAGGGATTAGGGAAGTATATGATTGATCTTGTGTGTGGTTTCTAGGGAGAAGGATGAGATGTCTTTAATAGTTTTGATATATTATGAGAATTTTGTATGTCTTCTCCTTTATTATATTAAAGCATAGCAGTGTACATAGGTCGAAAGAAGCCCTGGCACATCCACCTGAGTAAGGGGACGAATAAATGTGTCCCCTGACCCCTTTATCGGATATTCGTAGCTTCTTCGTCAACCTATCTTAACCTATCTCTGTTTACTCACTCTTCTAATAGAGAGCACCTAACAGTCGCAGAAGCAGGTAGCATCTAAAGCTCCCCTTACCAGTTGGCTTTCGATATCCGGGTGTTTTGCCTATCGCTCGGCCTCGTCTGAGTTCATCAAAGTTATCGACTTGATCCGATGGGGTCACTTACGGTCACTAGTACTGATCTTCCGTTTGGAATAAAATGTTAGAGCAACCCAAAACCTGTTTCAATGTTCTTTGTAGAGATTTATGAAGATTTTCTTGATAATATTCGCCAAATATAGTTTTAAAAACTTAGATAAGAATAAAATATAATAAAATAGACAATATGGCAATAATGGGAGTGCAATAGTTTTTAATTATTATCAATAGTTTTGTGTATTCAAAGTAGTTCATACTTCCACAATCAATTCATCGTCGCGCGAAATTTCATATAACAAGCCTCTTTCCATATCTGGGATTCGTGAAATATATACAGCCCTTAGTATGTTGTGTCTTTTATTATGCGGCAATTAATAGAAAGATTAATTTTTGAGTAAAATTTATCTTGTTTTTATTTTAAAAAAGCGCTTATTAGGACTTCAAAATCAATATTGTCGATTATAAACGATTTTATAATAACAAAAATTGATATAACATGATTGCTTTTTACGCAAAAAAGTTATAGATTTGAGAGTGATATATATTCTGTATTGTATTTTGGTTTTGTAGTAAACTATATCATAGTCTTGAATATGCAGTAAGGTTAAATAGTCACAATATAAATATTTATATTTTATTTTTTGATATATAACTCTGTTTGTATTTAAATGATATTTTAGCTGTTTTTGCTAACTATCTTGTGTTATTTTTACATATCACATACAATTGATTATTGTGCCGGAATTGATTGGATTGAATTATTTTTTTGATAAGAATGAGAAAAGCTTTTTAATGCAGCTTTTATAAGGAGAAGACCTGTATACAACGGGCCAAATCTATAATATTAATGATGACTGATGAGTAGCCATTGAGCGAGTTAAAAAAAACAAATTGTATTTTTGTTTTTTCTAATAGAGATGATTAGAAGATGCGAGAATTGTGGGTAATTATGAATGTAGAGAGTCTGGGCAAGGGTAATATGTATAATAGGAAATTTAAATAGTTAAAAGATATAAGAGTTTAGTAGTATCAAGAAAAATAATAGATCAGTAGATAAATAGTTCTTTTGTTGATATATTGTACTCTCTATACAAGACTTTTTTTTTAATAGGCAATTTAGTTTAAATAAAAGCTGATAGCCACTCTAGTGCTTTATATTTTTAAAATTAAAGAGAAGACATGATTTTAGTAAATTTCTGCTATTTGTTGCTATAGCTATTTATATATAGACTTCATCAGAGCCCACAAATGGGCCTAACTCTTGGGCCCATGGCCCAACCCACTGTGGGCTGATGGCCCAGATTTCAGGCCCAAGCCCAACCATCAGGCCCACGATGGGCCCCCAATGGGCCCCCGCAAAAGCCCAATTTTGCATAAAATCTTGGTCTTGGCGTTCATAAAGCTGCTAAATAATCAAAATAAAATACTGTTTTTTACATCTGTTCCAGTTTGTCGACTGAACTTCTTTGTAACCTTGCCTAAAGCAGTAGGAAATTCTAGGAAATCCTCTTCGAATTAAAGAAAGTAAAGCTTATTTTAAGCTATTTACTTATAAAAATCCTATATTCCGATTGTTATGGTGGTGTACGGGTGGTTCGTGGATGGAGTTAATGTAAACTTGTCTAGATATATATTTCAAATATAAAAGGGTGTGTGTATCTTCTTGACAAGAGAAAAAGTAAAAAAGAAGTTACTTCTGCTTATTCTGATTTGTTTATTCTCTACACGAAATGAAAGCTCATTTTCTCTATTTTAGAATTCTAATCATAAACGACAGTATAAAGAAGTGAATTTGAAGGAATTTAGCTCTTTGTATCAGTATTCTATCTATATATCTGACCGGATGAAAATATTTTGAGGGTATCTAAAACCAAGTTGGGCTGGGAATGGGCTATCAGTGGGCTGTTCGTGGGCTTTCGTGGGCTTTCGTGGGCTTTCGTGGGCTTTCGTGGGCTTTCGTGGGCTTTCGTGGGCTTTCGTGGGCTATTCGTGGGCTTTCGTGGGCTATTCGTGGGCTTTCGTGGGCTTTCGTGGGCTCTTTGTGGGGTTTCCTGGGCTATTCATGGGCCCTGATGGGCTTTGTTGGGCCTCGTTGGGCCTCGTTGGGCCAAATACACTTCACTTGTGATATGTAGGCTTGTTTGTGTGACTTACTATCAACAGCTAAGTAAATCAAATTATTAGAAATCCTTCTTCTAGTCATGTATCTATCTCCTTTACCCTTCTTTTTTTCTTTATTTATGTGTTGTATACTTACTTTATCATGTCCCAAAGCCAGCAATCTGACTTTGCATCATCTCTTTATGATGCAGAGATAGATAATCTAACGTTTCTGACTTCTTCAAATTACGCAGCTACTCCATCTGGCAGCCAGCATCCATTTGATGCCCTTGATCCTTCGGCGTCTTCATTTATTCGACCAGCTATTCCTCTTACAATTCCATCCTCTCTTGAACGCGTCGGGCCTGATCGAAGAAAGGCATATGTGCTTTACAACGAAATGACTCATAGTGAATGGGTAGACTGGTGGTTACAAACTGATTATGGGTCTAAAAGCAAGATACATTGGGACTCAAACCATCTTTCAGATATTTGGAAGCAATATGATCAGGTCGCTTCTAGTATAGACGGCGCCCCAAAGGTCATGTGTAAACGCTGCAGCCAAATCCTTGAACATCCTTACTCTACGAAAAAGGACATTAAAGGGAAGGAAGGGCGTCATGGCTTATCAACAATGACAAGGCACCTAAAGACCGCTGCGTGCCAACGGTTTGAGAACAGACAGAAGGATGAAATCATAAAATTCCTACAAAAAAGGGTATATCTAATATTCTATTATTATACTTCTTTAACTAATAGTTAATTATTCTACTAGGAATCTGCTCCGACTGACGTTCCTTTCTCACAACCAGCCTGGGAGGAAAAGATTTTATCATTTCTTACAATTAATCGGCTTCCCTTTTATCTAATCGAGCATCCAACATTTATAAGCTTGATTAAGATGGCCCACAATGCACCCAATATGCCACAAATCCCATCTGCAATGACGATCCGTCGTCGGCTAGAAGTGCTAGTCAAAGACCGGCAACAAAGGGTCCTTAGGATGCTTCCTTCAGGTTCAAAGATATCAATTGCGCTTGACAGTTAGACATCTCCATTTTCCCAGGCATTTCTAGCTATAACTGGCTACTTTATTGATGCTGATTGGGTATATCGGGAAGTACTTCTTGGCTTTAAACCTCTTCATGGAGCACATACTGGTTTAAACATGAGCAGTGTTGTTCTTGAAACACTGAATAGTCATCAGATTCAAGATCAGGTCTTTGGATTAACCAGTAATAATGCATCAAATAACAAAACACTGGCTGATTCCCTCCAGCAGGCTTTATCTAATGATGTTAATATTATCCGAACTCCTTGTCTTGCTCATGTTATCCAACTTAGCCTGAACCAGCTTCTTGACCGTCTCAGAGCAGTTCCACAAAACAATATTACAGAAACAAAGTGGACTGATCGGCTGTCATCTTCAACCAAGGCAAATACACAGCACCAGAAGCATGAGGTCTCTTATACCTTGAACAAGGTCCGCTCTCTGGCAATTTATATCCACGGAAGCCCTTCACGCCGGGAGGCATTCAACAGTCTCCAAACAGACGGTCTCAAGCTTTCACCAATCCAAGATGTAAGAACTCGATGGAATTCAACCTTTCTCATGCTCCGTCGCGCGAAACGACTCCGCGATATCTTTACACAATTTTGTGCGGACTATGATTGCGAAGAGATGGTACCAAATAATGAGGAGTGGCGCCAAATCGACTATCTTCTCTATATTACTGAGCCGTTCTTTCTCTATACAACTGAGCTATCAAAGACTCGAGAGATTACAATACACCTCGTCTTCAAGATCTATAATGCGCTCTTTGAGCATCTTGAAAAACTAATGAAGCAGCTCCGGCGGAAGTGTGTTCCATGGAAAAAACAGATGCTTGATTCTCTTGAAGCTGGTCGATCAAAGCTTGATGAGTACTACTCGCAGACAGATAGAGTTAAACCACATATCTATGCGATTAGCACAATGCTTGCCCCTGATAACAAGTTCCAATTCTTCCTATCTGATGACTGGGATAAACAATGGCGTGAACTTTACCGGATATCTTTCCAAGAAGCTCTGATTCCTTATCAAGAACGTCTCTCTACTATTCAAGGCTCTGCTACTCCCCTTACCACAGCCAGACCAAGCTCAAGGCTTAAAAAGATGTTGAATGAGCACAAACCACAGCCAAAGCCAGTGAGGGATGAAATGACTCAATATCTTAATAGTGGTATGTTAAACACGTTATTTTTCTTAATCATATACTAATATCCTTGAAGACACTATTGATATGGAGCCCCTTCAATTCTGGAGAGATAATGAATATCGATTTCCAGCTATTGCAGCCCTTGCACGGGATATTCTCTCTATTCCAGCAACAGGTGCTGGTGTTGAACGACTTTTCAATACTGCTCGAGATATCTGTCATTACCGCCGCGGTCGGATGAAGTCTGAGACAATTGAGGAGATTATGATGTTTCTTTGTACATCAAGATTTGATCTCGAAGACCAAGAGGCAGAATTTCTCAAGGAATTCTTCTCTATCTACGAGATCGAGGCAGCAAAGGAAGAGAAGGATGAGAATTTAGAGGAGGTTGAGATAGGGCCGATTAGTGACACTGAGGAGCAAGAAGATGAAGAAGTAGCAGTGATACAGAGCCATACAGAGCCTGAGTTACCAGAGAATATCACACAAACACGAGCTTCAGGAAGATTCAGAAAGAGGAAGAATAGGGAGGATGATGAGTTTGAGTATCATTAATATATTGAATTACTGCTTTTTAAATAGTATCTTAATAACTAATCTCTGCACGCTGACCGCTTCAGCAAGTAAGAATATAAGATATAACCAGGCGAAGTAGACATTACAACGAGTCAATGATTGCTTTTCAAGAGAAATAATGTAAGAGAAATACTCAATATTACAGCTAAAAAATGCATAAATTATGCAGTCATGAGATCGGAGCATGTTTGCACTGTTTAGCCTAGTTTGGGGGCCCATTTGGGCCCCATCTAATGGCCGTGGGCCCCTGGGCTCAGCCCATAGCCCATTATGGGCCCTAAAACCTGGCCCAAAGCCCAGCCCATTTGTGGGCTGGGTTGGGTTGGGCTTGGGCTTTCGTGGGCTCTGATGAAGTCTATTTATATATAATTTATATCTGATGATCCAGACTCTTTATCACCGTTCTTCTTTCTATTCTTCATGTGGCCTTAGATTCTTTCGTTAGCCTCGTCGAGGTTATCTTTAACTTTATTCTATGTTATAGAGTCCTTCAAATCAGCCTTCTAGATGTTATTATTGAGCGTCCCGATCCACTCGGCCAGATGAATCCCCTCGGTAGACGACAATGTATTCATAATAGTGGACCGGTTTAGCAAGCGCACAGTATCAATACCCTGCTTTAAGACCATTACAGCAGAGGGCATGGCGAAACGCTTCCTACAACGAGTACCTCTGGACCGGTCTACCCGATAGTATTGTCTCAGACAGGGGAGGACAGTTCATCTCTGAATTCTGGACAGAGCTCTGCAAGATCCTGGGAGTGAGACTGAAGCTGTCCTCTGGATATCATCCGCCGACGAATGGAGGAACAGAGGTAGTTAATCAGTACGTGGCTCAGCGCTTGTGTCCTTTTGTGAATTACTACCAGGACGGTTGGCCAGAGTTGCTACCTATAATGGACTTCGCAGCAGCGGCACTGCCACACGAGTCAACTGGCGTGTCCCCGTTCTTTGTGGAAAGAGGATTTGAACCCCGCATGTCTTTTGATTGGCAAGGAGCCTCAGAACCCCGAGAGTTGAAGGTAGAGAGCCAACAGGCGCAAACCATGGCCCACCGATTAGAAGAGATATGAAGCTACGTAAAGGACCGCATAGGCGATGCTCAGCAACGCCATCAGACCCAGATAAATTACCACCGCAGAGAAGTCGACTTCACGCCAAAAGACATGGTCATGGTGACAACAAAGGACTGGCAGTTAGGACGTCCTAGCCGCAAGCTCAGCCAACAAGCAATGGGACCATTCAAGATCCTGAAGAAAAGAGACCACTCCTACCTGCTCAATCTGCCAGAATTTATACGCGTCCATCCTCTCTTTGCACCTGAGAAGTTTCGGCGTGCGAATGAAACAGAGCCATTACGAGGGCAAATTCAGGATCCACAGGAGCCGGTTGAGGTCAATGACCAGGAGGAGTGGGAGGTTGAGCGGATTCTCGCCTGCCGTCTGCACTATCGGAAGCTTCAGTACTGAGTTAAGTGGACTGGTCATGATGATGACAACGCCTGGTATCCTGCTCGGAATTTCAAGAATTCGCCGGCCCTGATTCGCGATTTCCATGTCCGATATCCCAATCTCCCCGGGCCCCCGTCTCGCCTCGACCTATGGCTAAAGGCCGCTGGGGATGATGAGTTCCTGCTTGATCATCCCGATGATGATAAACCTCGGCAGCATGGCAGTTGAGGGCAACTGCGCTCTGGAAGGGGGGGGGGTAATGTGATGTCCTGACCTCTGACCTCACTGTATGTAGCGATGTTTGCATGGTTTGCACTGTTTGATTTGTTTGTCCCACGATGGGTTTGTTTACATACTCCCTAATGCAGTAACCCATTTCTCTTTCTTTCTTCTTCTTCAACCTAGTGCCTCGTATTTAGCTTACAATAACGATTTATTTCTTTATTCTTGAAGCTGCCACGAAATATAGTATTGATAAAATGTACAAGATCCCACCACTTAAAATCGAATGCCACGTACACGACCACGCTAATCAGTATTCAATATAGCAATCTGTCTGTCGATTCTGATTTGGTTAGTATATCACTGCAAAAGATATTCTGCCCTCTAAAAGTAGAATAAGAAGCTGAACCTACCGGAAGCTTCCCGGCTCCCAAGACAATATTTGCTAGCGGAACCATGCCGCCTAAAAAGTCCGCTAGCTGGTCCGCGGCACTACCGAAATCCCAGTCTCCTACAGAGCAGTACGGCAGATTCTGTCCTTTATTTTCTTCTGAATCGTCCACGGAGTTGAAAGTATCGCTGCCAATGTGGAATATGAGATCCGAGTGATCAACGGGGTAGGGGCGAGGGGATACTCCCATCCGCTTGTTTAACGAACTCCGGCGACGCTCCCCCTCATCTAAAAACTTGACGGATGCGACTGGCTTAATCTTAATTGGGTAGTCCTCGTGGTTTGTAACAGGAATGGTGAGATCATCGCCTAGATTCACCTTAACAGCCTCCCTCTGGTCAGCTACTATGACCTGGTCTGTATCGTTCATAACGGCAGCCAGGATAACGGTTGGCCCGATGGCGTCGGTCTGCCAAGCTTCCCAGACATGGATCGTTGCAGTGCCTGGCTGCGGGTGGAGGGTTGATATAGCGGCTGGCTCGTCGCACGTTGTATGTGTCCAGGGATCGGCTACTTCAGTCGCGGTGTCGCATGAATAGACGAGACTCTCAATCGGGTTCGTCCAGACATAGCCGGTGACCGTAGGAGCTGGGGTTATTGTTTCGGAAACGGTGGTAGAAGGGAATGTAGTATAACCGCAGACATCGTAGCTTCTGTCAAATGCAGGTGCGGTGAAGTACTTGGTTTCCGACTCTGTGCATTGACACACAAGCGATGGCTTACCCCTATATGTAAACATTAGTTTGTTTATTATTCTCGCCAGGATGTAAAGTACAGCGCTGGAGAAGTAAAAGCGTACTTAGGTTGGCAAGTGACGGAGGGCGTTACTGTTGGTGTTAACGTTGTGGTCGATAATACTGGCGTAAGTGTAGGAACGACTGTTCTTGATGGTTGAATTGGTGAATTTGTCCTCGAAACTGGAGTAGCCGCACTAGAACTTTCCGAAGAGGATGGCTTGGGGGATGATGAAGTTAGAGTCGGTGTTAAAGCTGGAGATGAATACGGAGGCAGGATAGTAAAGACTTCGTAAGTCAAGGGTGGTAACGAGGCCTGTGACGAAACTGGCGATAAGGCTAGCGTTGATGACGGAGGCAGGACAGTAAATACTTCCATAGTGAGTGGTATATCGATAGCCAACTCAGAGGTGATTATCGAAGTACTTGTCTTCTCTGTTTCCGTAATATCGCAGCCCACGGTCGTACTTGTCTTAGTAGAAGTGGAACAAGCAGTTGTCGTCGTCTCAAAGCCCTTGATACTTGTCGGGATAACAGAACACAAGATTGATTCAGGGAAGAGTGTCTGTGTAGAAGCAACAGTACAGGACTACGCTGTACTAGTAGCACGACTGACGCTACTTGTGGTAGTTTTGTCGTCGTCATCGTCGTCATCGTCATCTTCAGGATCATTGTTTGGATCTGGAGCTCCTGCAGATCCTCCAGCCGCAGGTGAAGGCGATTGATTATTGCTGCAGCCAATTATGCATGGGATATTGATACCGCTGGATATACCAGGCAGGTTAAAGTAAGTTCCTTCAGTATTTACCCCGTGTAGAGCTTGTCCTAAGAAGACAGGAAGGATTGTTTGGTGGTGGTCTTCTATAGTGGTGATTATAGTATTCTCCGAACTAAGGGACGCGATACTGCTGATGGAGAAACCCTCAGGCGGGGTGGTAAAGGTTGGTAATAAAGAGCTAGTTTGGCTTAGAACTCCAGCTGCTATACCACCTTGGGGTTCGGATGTTGAGGCAGTTTCCGAACTCATTGCGCCTGATGTGCCTGTTGTGGATGTCTCAGAGGGCACAGGTGGTGCATTTGAACCAGGGACTGGGGATTCAGATATTCCAGAAGGGCTTGTAGCTGGAGGGTTTAATGGATCTAGAGGAGCAGATCCAGTTCCCCTTCGCCCTATAGAGCTTGAACTCGAGGTAGATAAAGGTAGACCACTCAACATGTCAGGGACATTACTCTTGGAAGACACTGGCGAGGGGGTGGTAGGTGGATGAGGCGTAGTAGATGGAAATGATAGTGGATTTAGATTTGCTTCAGGAGATACAGACTTGGTCGAAAAACCATTCTGTGTGCTGATTTGCTGTGGGTCGACCGAAGGAGGCAGAACGAGAGACGGAATAGAAGACGGAATAGAAGACAGAATAGAAGACGGAACTGAAGATGGAACAGACGATGGAACGCGAGAGCTGCCTGGCAGACATGCAGCCTGCTGTGCTAGGAATAATAACAGGGATACAGGCACGGAGAGCATTTTGATAGCTGCTTTATCCCAGCATTGAGATACAGGAAAAGGAAGAAAGAGTGAATGGATGGATAAAGGAATGAATAAAAGAAAGAAAGAAAGATAGATAAAGGAAATGAACTATTTCAAGACGAACAGAGCGCGGCGGACCACTTCTATTCTAACATGCAGAGCACTTGGAATATATACTATTCACATATCCCCAATATCTCCTGGACTCATGCACCATCAAGTGAGAAACCCATAAAATTACCCAGATACCTAAGGACCGTTCTGTCTACCCTAACGACCTAGTGTGTCGCACCACTTAGCTATCAAGGGCCCGGTGATCCATATGCAAGGTCTATGAACATCTTAGCCAAACGTGGCTATGACAGGCTAGTAATTCATGAGGAATGCTACCTAGTTAGCCTTTACACGATATCGATCCTTACCCGTATTGACTGACGCTTACGGGCCAGGCCCCGACGCGAATTTGATATTCTTATCCAAATATGCACAAGCGACCCAGTCGATCCCAACTCGAGCGATGCTGACCGTCTGCCCTATCTAGATAAAGAAAGACATATGTCTATTATAATATAACAAATGTGTGTTTCTTTAAGCTATTAGTGGCGGACCCGACCACCCACCGCCTTATGTATTCTATAAATCACGCATTGACTGCAGCGATACAGCAATAGCCAATAAAAAAGAACAGAGCTTTCGAATGGATTTATTATCAGATTGATTGGCATAAGTCCTGTTTATTATAATTAGTATTAATCTTTACCGGGCTTGTCCTTGTCCTCTTGAATGTCGATCGTAATTCCACGGGCACCAGGCACATGCTATTTGTAGCAAGTGTAACACTATAGCTCTATCCGTCCATTAAAACATCTGATTAGAGTAATGTTTCGAGGGATTATCTCGGTGGTAGATGCCAGAAATTAACGTCGGTAGTAAATGTAAGGAGTGCAGTTCAGAAAAGAATCTCAGGGGTGAGTGTAGGAGTGACATCCAGAAGATAAGATCGACGGTGGCTGCCAGGGTCCTGCGTGCGTCCTATTGGTAATAGACACTTGACGAGCTACCTGCTGCGAGGACCTGGGGCCAAAATGGATATTATAGGCTGCAGTGACCTTGTTTCCATTCTCAAATGAAGGGTCCCTTCGAAATCCCACACCTGATATTTACTGCTGAGATCGTCTTCTGGGCCCCAACGATGAGACTATCCACTAAGTGGTTAAGGTTGAAACAGGGAGAGTGTTACGGCCTCGTTGGCGAAGATCTCTGCGCAGCGCTGCTTCCAACATGGGTGCCATTCCGTCTCGCACAAGGGTGCGGTTTTGTGCTAGGGGCCGTTTTCACCGGCTAGGTGCGACTCCACGGTCGAAGACGGATATATAACCTATGAGTCTGTTCCAAATAATAGAGACATTTTGTTCAATCCAAATTTATTTTGTGCCAACTGCTATCTTATTTCTTTCTAACCTTGAGCACTAGAATCTTCCTTCGCCATGAATCTCTTCACCGGGAAAAGTCAGCTGCTGGCTCTACTTTTCCTCGTTCTCTCCTGCATTACTCTTTGTCTGTCCTCGCCGACGCAATCCCTGGCGTAAGTTCCCCAGACAGATACTGTTTACAATAAAACACGCAGACTGAAGGACGCAGTGATCCCGTGCCCCTTGGTAAACGTACTTTCCTGACTGTCACTACCTTCGGGAGTAGTAGTGGCCCGCTTCGGCGTCAGGCACCGGGAGACAACCTGAGGAGGTACCAACAAATCCTCGATGAAATTGAAGCCAACCCACAGGTCGATGTCAACACGGAACAGTCTAAGGCATTCGACGATAAGCCAACCGTACTCGGCAGCCATGGCTTCCAAACGTGCTTCGGCATAGTGGTTCTGTCCGACCATGGCGTCATCCTCGGGCACTACAACCCAAGCCAGACAGATATCGACCAAGCCAAAGAACACATCCCCAAGCTTTACCAGGAGAATAAGGACAGGCTTGCTGGGGCGACGGCGTACCTTCTTGCAAGCGTTGACTTGTGGACAGAGGAATACATCGATCCGGAGCTTACATCTGAATTGGAAGACATGATAAACAGCGAACTGGGGCTGGAACCTCACATCGTGAAATATACGGATCAGTCGAACCTGCTAGCGAAATCTTCAGACGAACTCAGGGATGATGATGATTATGATGAATGGGTGGAGAAGCTCATGCATGGGGAGATCCTGGTAAAGCATCCGGGTGGCAAGGATCCTAAGGGAGCCGAGCTTATCTTCGTCCACCTTCAAATGCAAAAGGATCCCTAGACCAGTCGTTTATCAATCAACCGGGCTCGACGGCTGGTAGTTTCCTTACCCTGTCACAGGTACTAATATGCTTACTATCGGCGATGGGGCTTTGCATATAATTCTATAGCGAGTGAACTCGATATACAGATTGTGAAAACAAGTCAGATTTGTCTCTCTGATACAAATTAAATAAATCTCCCACCTAACATTGTAACAGCCTCTTCATAGCCTAATTGCAACCCAATGTCCCTCACAGTACGGCCCATTTTATCTCTCACACTAACATCAGCACCCCGCTGCAGCAGGAGCCGCACGCAGTCCAATGCATTACCCCTAACCGCATAATATAGAGCCGTTTCCGTCCACTGGTAGTAGTCATGATATTCGTACTCACGCTGATTCACAGGGAAGCCAACTTCATCCAGTAACCACTCCAGAACATCGGTCCTGCCGCCTTGGGCAGCCCGATGCAGGGCATTACTGCGACAGAAATTGCCCCCGTGGGCGGCGAGAAGTCGGAGAGTCTGCATTGAGCCATGTTTAGCAGCAAAGCTAAGGACATCAATATGACCTTTGTAACCTTGGGCGTTTGGATCAGCGCCATGGGCGAGGCACCAGCGTACGCGTCTCTCACAGTTCACGACTTGTCTGGAAACGATTTAAATTAGAATGGCCCCCCGGCGTATATTACCTAGGGAGACTTACTACTCGATAGATAGGTAGATCCATGGCAAGGGGAGATGCAACTAGAAATTCACGCACCTGAGGATCGTACAATGGTTCTGCTTTATCGGCTCATTGATCTCCCATCCATATTTCTGAAATAACTCCAGGACATCAAAAGAATCCGTCTCCATCGCCCTCTGCACGGCGATGCGTGAAACTGGCCACTTTCTGTCTTCCAGAAGGTACTGGATTACATTTACTTGATTCCTCCTTGACACCTGGATCATCAACCGGTTCAGCATAATATAAATTAAATCTATGGGCTCGGCGGGGTGATACTTGCGACCGAGCGCCTGGCAGACTTCCTTTTTCTCGGCGACCGTAATATTAGAGCATAGATAATCCTCTTGCGTCAGGTTGTTACCGGTTATGCCTGCTTCCCAGTGGGCGAGCTGGGTTTGGAGCTGAGCGAGGTTGCCGTCCTTGGCGCTGACTTGCATCTCGTAGCCGAGCTTCTGTTCTATTTTGGCTGTTGCCATGGCGCGGTGTTTATTTCGGGTGGATTGAGAGGGGGTTTATTTTCTTCCTGGAAAATGTAAGAAGTTTAGCGGATGAGCAAGGGGACATTTATAGCCTATGGAGTGTAGTAGGGAAGGTTTGGCCCCCATGCTCGTGATGAGGTAATAATGAGCTCACAGGAATCACTGGCCCAGACACAAACCAATCAGACTATTTGCACCAGGCGTATTTAGAGGATGGTTGGGATATATCTATTAGCAACTTGGTCCGCTCTCCGCCTCCAAATATATTGCCTCCTACTTCGTGAAAATTAGGTTTAGTGGGTCCAGGGGACACAAACCATCATCCACCCGATTTAATATCAATGAAAGTCTTGATTATTCTAACTATGCGGACGGGCTTATAGTTATGCAATGTCTCAACCTTGAAAATGATCAATCATTCAACAGGCAAAGTGATTATGTTGAATAAGTGACTGACTGATTGATTATTTCGGCTGAGCAAGGCAACGACTGGACCCTGCAAGGCTGAAACGCTTCAAACGGCCGGTAGATCGCTCGGTGTAAGGACCCGGAGGCTTTCTAGGCATCTTGACAGGCGTTTTCTAGGCCCCCACCTCGTTATTGCGCATTTTTCTTGAAAAGCCCTCCACAGAACTCGTTCGTTCATTACTCCATACATCCTGGACAGCAACTTTCCACCATGCCTTCCGACTCCCCTTTAGGCCGTTTTCCGGCCGAGTTTTCGTATCGATTTTTCGGGTCCTTCAGGGTTTCGCCCCAACCACTCACTTTTTACCCATGGACTGGCATGGTTGTTAATAGGTCTAGATGCCCTTGCGGAGATGGTTGCAAATGATATAATATACTAAATAAAAATTGTACAATCGGGGGCCGTGCGAAGACCGGGACAAATTAACCAGGCGAAGTGTTTGAAGTCGGCTAGCGGCTGTCGATCGATGTACATACTATATCTTAACTACGGTGTAGTTAACTACTACGTTAGTGCTTACAGGTGTACTCAGTTCTGTCGATTCTTATTTCCAATAGAAGCATCCAACGGGGTCGGTGGGGCTTTGAATCTGACTGCAGCTTAGGGCCGGCGGGAAGGATGTAACCGTGATGATCCCGTCAGGTAGCCGTGGTTGAGCCGACCCACCCACCGCCTTCCGCCGGTGGGTGGTCTGCAGCGGAAAGGAATTTTCACCGGAAAGGAAGAAATGAAGCAATTTGTATAAAATTATATATATCAATCAATCACGCGGAGGATCAAAACAAGCGATATTATCAATACAATCAGTAGCTGATTCTGCATCAGGGACTGCAGGTTGAGGAGGTAAACAACCGTATTTCTCTTTATACGCCTTATTCAATCTCTTATCCTTGCTGGCGGCCTCTTTCGCTCGTTTATTCGCGATAGAGCCATTTGCATCCTTTACACTCAATATTCAACTATCCGAAAGGCCCTTTACCTCTCGCTTAGTCGATTTTCGCTTGCGCGGGCCCGAAAGCGCCTCTATTCGTTGAAGAGTAGTGATCGTATTCGCGAGATCTTCACATTGAATCTTCGCATGGTGTAGGATACGCTCAAGGTTACGCTTGACCTTCGGGGTCAAACCTTCGCTCGTGAAGATTTGAGCGATCTTCTTCTCATTTTTTTGAGCTTGTATAGAGCTTCTTGGAGGCGTGTTTTCAACGCTTAAAGAGACAGGATTCGGAGGAGGCGTAGTCTCTCCATACGGCCGAAGATCAGGCGCTGATATCAACGGAATCGGCGGTAGAGTTTCTTCAAGTGCTTCAATAATTGACGATCCATTTGGAGGGAAGATTCCGCGTTCTTTAAAGGATTCTCGTATACGCCGTTGCTTAAAGATTTCCGCGCGCGTGGCCACGATATCCTTCAAAAAAGTTGCTTTATCTCCGGACTTCCCGGTCCACTGAGATATCTCATTGTTTTTCGTCTTGAATTTCTGTTTATATGCAAGAAAAGGGGTCCCATCAAGAGGTTGACAGATATCCGTTGTATGAGATAAAAAACAGAAAGGAATAATCTCGTAGGTCTCGCAGAGTTGAAGAAATTCAACTGTTTTATGTGAAGTATGACCGTCAAAGATCAGCACGCGTTTTTCTCCTTTTTTGGTGCGATTCAGAGTTTCCTCGTGAAATAAGCGAAGCCATTCAAGCGCGAGTTTATCGTTGATATAGCCTTTTTCTGATACTGCAGTATAGAGGTCAGGTAGATCCTCGTGATACCAGTTTTTCATAAACTTCTTGCCTTTGAAGATAAAAAGTGGTTTCATGATCCAGCCGTCTGCAGAAATGCATTCAAGCGCTGTTATATTTTCAGAATGCTCGGATTCTGCAAGATCACGAACTCTTCCTTTCCTAGTCAGGACGTTTTGACGCTTTCCTTTGCTTGATTGAAAACCGCATTCATCGAAATTGTATACGAGGCGCGCAGGAAGGCCTTTAAGCACGTTGAAGAGCTGATTATACCAGAATTGAAGCAGTCCAACATCTTCAGCATCTAATCGCTTCTTTTCTTTCGGTTTTTGAACTATCTTCTTCAATTTGAGATGATCAAGAAGCCTCTGGTTGAAGCGATACGCCCATGTTGCGGAAACACGTTGATTCAATCCCGTACGCTGCAAGGTCTGATTTGCCATCTCTTTAATCATTGATATCGTAACAGAAAGATAAAGATCATCCATACGAATGATCCACCGCTTCAAAGCCTCCTCCTGATACTCATTGAGCGTTTTATTTTGTGGGATTTGAGCAGTACGAGGCGATCGATTGCCTGAAACGCGTCCGTGGAGTGTGCGATAGGGAACCTCGAAATCTCGCGCAATTTTTGCTATAGAGAGATTTTTATTGCAACGAGCGTATTCAGCGGCCTCGTTTACACGTTCTTCTCGAATTTTGCAAGATTTAGGCATGTTTGGTGGTTTGTATGGCTTCAAAATAATAAAAATATGAATTTCTTCCTTTCCGGTGAAAATTCCTTTCCGCTGCAGACCACCCACCGGCGGAAGGCGGTGGGTGGGTCGGCTCAACCACGGCTATGGGTCGCGGGCCCGACCACCCGCGGGTCGACTCAATGATCTCTCCATTAAGGGACAGCGGACCAGGTGCGCGTCGTACATAATCGCGGTAAGGATCGTCATAGTTAGCGCGCATACGAAAATACAACGCATCCCACGAAGACATGATCCGGGTGGTCCGTACAAAGGGATATGGTTAGCTATTATTAGAGTCCAGCGATTGCAGTAGTACCGAGAGAATTCCAAGGCTGACTATGTCCTTGCCCCGGTCGAACCGGCCGAGGAGGTGGAGAACGTCGGGCGCCTTAAGGCGACCCCTGCCACGGAGTGCTACGGGGGAACTTTTCCAGGATATACACGCAGCACCTTAGACGGTGGGGGCGATGCTATATAAAACGTTAACTTAAGTTGTATATAATATTCTATTTAATATATAATATAAGTCTAGCCAGGGGCTCATGTATATTAAGATATTAAAATCTTGATAGTAGTGAAAAAGTGCTATATAAGAAGGATTTGTACTCTTGTTATTATCGCTTAAAATATGTTTTGGTGCATTGAGTATAACGGCGGGGTCGCTTTTATATAGTTCGACAAGGGTGTCAAATACTCAAACCCCAATCAAGATAGAGCCAGTCTCATCCGTCAGTTCTTGAATGAGGGGGAGCGTCGCCGGAGTTTGTTAAACCAGCGAATAGGGGTACCCCCTCGCCCCTACCCCGTTGACTACTCGGACATTGTATTCCACATTGGCAGTGACAGAATCCGCCATACTGCTCTGTAGGAGACTGGGATTTTGGTAGTGCCACGGACCAGCTAGTGGACTTTTTGGGCAGCATGGTTCTACTAGCAAATGTTATCTTGGTAACCAGGAAGCTTCCGGTAGGTTCTGCTTCTTATTCAGCTTCTTTGCAATAACATACTAAATCAGAAACGATAGATGAATTGCTACAAGTTGTACCGAGTACCGTGACGCGTAGGGGCCCACTATTATTGCTTATTATACTCCCTTTCTCCTCTTTGGAGGAAGGCTGTGTGTGTGTGTCAAGTGGTGAAACGTGCTAGCAAAGTATTAAAGCAACAATTCATTGATAAACAAAAGCAGGATAGTGGAGGTGTTATTCGCACCTAGTGTAGCGCAATGACGCCCTATCTCAGTTGCCATAACCAGTGCAGTATATATAACGAACTGAAAAAATTATATTCGACCCTCTCAAGACTAACTTTGCTTAAGTCTCTCAATATCGCTCTCCAGTCTTGGCCGCACTTGAATAATTACCTACCCTGGTGTCTATTCCAGGGCCCCGGCCCATACCTGACGGGATCATCACGGTTACATCCTTCCCGCCGGCCCTAAGCTGCAGTCAGATTCAAAGCCCTGCCGACCTCGTTGGATGCTTCTATTGGAAATAAGGATCGACAAACCTGAGTAAGCACTAAGGATAGTAATATATGGTATCGAATCAAAAGCTGCTGGCTGACTTTGAACACCTCGCCTACTATGTAGTTAATTAATCCTGGTCTTTGCACGGCCCCCTACTTTACGAATTTCATTCGGCCAATCGTATTATTTACAATTTTCTCTCCTGAAGAACAATATCAGTCCATGGACAAAATACGAGTAGTTAGAAGAAAATCCTTACAAATTGTTACTAAAGCCTGGCCTAGTGGCAGGAAAGGAAACACGGTCACAACCACGACACGCAGTGATTCGACCCTAATAACCCAGCTGTGACTATCGCCCACGGCGCCTATATCATCCACTTTCCCTACACGATTCGTTCCCACGCCTTTATATATAGAGTTAATACTCTCTTATAGAATATACAGCTGATCCGCCGTCGAAGTATCGTTGGCGCCAGGACAGCCCTCGGAGATAACCACATCGGTCTACTAGGATATGTTATACCTATGAGTATCCCTGCACCCTGGTCCCCCCTTTCCCGGGAACATAGGATAAGCGACAAGCTAACAATCCGGCGATGTAATCTAGGGAAGAAATAATTCAGCATAGATACAGCCTAACTCCTTCTGAGTTACAGGTTCCTTTTCCGGTCTCTTATATGGTATCGGCCTCCACCGTCTAGGTCCCAAAGGCCCCCAGAAGCACCCCCGTGTCTGATATGGCAGAGGCCGCCTTAGGGCCCAATGTGCTCCACTTCCTCAGCTGGTTCGACCGGGTTAAGGACACAATCTGCCTTGGAATTGTGGTATGGATGTACCTGTAATGCAGGAGGTTGTTGTTTCAGGCCGACCTAACCCCACCTCCGTTCATTTACCAAGGTACGACTATCGAACAGGGTATATTGACTGGTTTGCTTCACTCCAATTCTTCTGGCTCCTCAATCTAATACCGAAGGATATTGTCTCTACCTTAATATGCGGCTTAATGTTCACTTTCCGCAAGTCTTTGCGATGTTTATACAGAGTAATTTTTACACCCCGACTTCCTGTCAGATATAAAAGACACGGAATGATTTAACATTATACTTATCGCATGTGTTGCACACTGGCGTAAATATTTATTATCTTAGCTTCCTTGGCCTGGATTGTTATCCCATTCAGACTAAGATCAACATCAACCGCCACGAAGATGCCAAGGTTGCCATGCATGATATACCAGCACGACGTGCTTTAGATATCCTCGTGAGACTTTGGGGCCAAAGTCCTCTCCCTCCTCAATTTTCCCCGCCTGATTACTGCCTATACCATCGGCCCCGGTGCCACTCATTTTTCACTGGTGGAGGTAAGCGAGCGGGCAATCCTTGCCCTTTTATATTTGTCCTATAACACCAAGGCTTATAAAGGTCGTCTGTCCGTTAGAGATGTCCACGAGAGAATTGGAGGGATGCTACTAACTAATTCAAACTTTATCGCTCCTTTAAAAAGTCCTCAGACCAGGCCTTACAATAATACTAATTGATTACCTTCTACTATTATGTTCTCTTCCGCCGCCACGGATACTCTGCCCGCCCGGTTCAGGGAATATAGTGGGGATAAGACTCGAGATGTCGCGATTGCTTTTATTGTAATCGAAATTATTGCAGTCGGGCTACGGTACCTGGCTTTTATGCTAAGCGAGAAAAGCTTCGGCATCGATGATATTTTGATGATCCCCGGATTGATCCTTTGCTTGGCGCTGAATACTTCGGCTTTGAGTATGTTCCTTCCATCTAACTATATATTTCTCACGAAAAATGCATCCAATTTGAAGATATAATTCAAAAGCCATTGGACAAATAAAGCTAAGAAAATGACTAGTTGGTATCCGCCTAGGCCGTGTCGGCTATCATCTCGACGTCGTGAAAGCCCTCTACCCCGAGGCGATGGTCCCATGGGCCAAGGTCCTGGTCGTGACGCCTATCGTGTACTCAGCTGCCTGTATGGTCCCCAGAGTGGTGATCCTGACTCTTTATCTACGCATATTCCCCGAGAAGAAATACCGGATTGCCTGTTATGTCTTGATCGCGGTGGTTGTCGCTCTGGGCGTCGCTGATATCCTAACGGGTGCTTTCGAGTGTATCCCGATCGCGTATCTTTGGGATAAAAGTATCCCTGGGGGACGGTGCATCGATCTCACGCAGTTCTTCCATTATGGGACCCTGCCGAATGTGTTTGTCGACTTGCTTATGCTAATCCTGCCGCAGCCAATTATTTGGAAGTTGCAGACTAGCAAGCAGGTTAAGGTTGGGCTGGCGGCTACTATATTGACGGGGAGTGTGTAAGTATCTTCTCTTTTCTCTTCCTGTTTCCTTTTAATTTGTTCAGTGCGGTACACAGTTAGTTCCCTATCTTCCAAAGGACTTATTATTATGTATTTTACTATTCCCCCCTGGCGCAGGAAAGCAAGCAATCCTACACTACCGCACCCATACATATACATATTCATATATACTAACATGAACTAGAGGACTGATAACGTCCATAATGCGCTGCGTTGCATTCTTCCAAAGCAATCCACTAGAAGACGGGACCGGGTCCTCAGTGACATTCCTAAACTGGAGCATCATTGAGCCAGGCGTCTACCTCCTCGCCGCATGCCTACCCTGTTACAGGCCTCTAATCCTAGCCGTGGTTCGGCTAACTGCAAAGCACAGCACGAAGCGATCGGGAACCGCATACCTGAATCTATCAGATAGCAAGCTGATAGATGGGAGATGGAAGAATAGAGAGGTATTGTCTACTCTCTCTATTTCGAATAAACAGGAAGCCGTGGAGTTGTATCCTTTTCGGGTGAGTACTAAATCTACTAAGCGGACAAATGATGAGTGGGGTCTGCCGGAGGAGGAGGAGAGGATGGGATCTGCTCGAGGTGAATAGTCTTTCTAGCGATGGGAAAATAAACAACGTTTGTTGGGTCGGCGAATGTCATGGATACCAATACCTTGGATTTGCTTCTCTTAGTTCTACTTTACCGCTTGTACGATGCTTCGCATGCTTGAACTGCTGGCTTGTATGGGATTCAGGAGTAAATGTGCTTAATTTAACGTGAAAATTACTTGGTCTCAGGCGATGGAGGAATACCTTTCTTCCGGACTTTGGGAAGGAGAAATTGCTGTTAATAGAGGGCACTGTTTAGGATATTGATTGGATTGTCCCCAAGATAAGTCCGCCTGGACATACTTGCACGACAACTCGCTTTATCATCTGGGATTTTACCACACGCGGATATTAGAATTTTTATAGTAAGACAATATTAGAAAGAACATTATTTCTACCTACCTGCACTGATCAAGATCGAGATAAAGGCGACGAAATCTACAATCTTATCAAGCTAGATAGATTTGACTTCTACAGGTACCCGCACTGCTGCGACCCCTATTAAGCTAGATAACTTGAACCTCTATATCTACGCCACTTTAACCCCTACGCCGCTTCCGATATTTATATCTTATTAGCAATATCCTATATTATAGCCGCCTTATCTAACCCTATTTGCGTCAGCGTAGCATTTAAAGCGTTACTGCTCTCAATATCCTACACATTTTCTATATAATTCAAAGATCTCGCTCTCTAGACCTTTTACACCCTTAGGAATCTAAGCAGTATTCAGCTCCCCTACATCGTATGTGGCGCTGGCGAACTAACTTCTAGGAAATTATAGCTAATCCTAATATTTAGCATATATATACAATTGATTTTAGTAATGTGCTATATATCCATATAGTACTTTTGTTTTTAATCGCATGATTGGAATTCTTTCGCAAGTTTTTCAGATTTCTTGCGTGTTCTGACGCGGTGATCCGCTACTTGGTGTAGAACTCCACAGAGCCAGCGTCGGAGAGGGGTTGGTGATCCTGATCGTCTGTCTCACAGCCCTCGCCAGTAGCCAGCTCCACCGTAAGCACTAAAGCTTACCCGTGCTTGCCGCAGTCCGTCATAGCTCGAGTGGGCCGGTTCCGTCCGCCAAGTGAACAGTTGGGGTTAAGAGACGTCCATCACCCGAAAAGCAAAATAATCCCTCTGTTCATGCGGGGTGGATAAGGGGGCGGAATCTTAAGTAGACTACATAGAGCCAGAGTCCTCGGGTCTGTTGTGCGCAATGCAACTGGCATCTCCAGAGAATTGCTTGGCAGGAATACTAGGTATACGGAGTACGGTAAAAACCTGTTATAGCGAGATAAAGCGGACACGGTGCAATCGCAAGACTTCAACTGGTGCATCAATATATGCAGGATTGCTCCCATCTTCTAGACCTGGCAAACGACCCGTACCCATGATCGGATATACGAAGGGGGGCGGAAGTTGTTTCACGATTTCCAAGTATGGTGGGTGACCTGTTGGTCGGTCCAGATCTCCGGTTGCAGCTTGTGTGGCGGTACGGTGATGCGATATCTAATAGTACCATCGTTATGGCCTTATAATAATCGAGTACGTAATATCTTCCCGAGAAATTAGCTGTACCGCAAGGCTGATTTCGCTCTCCCGGGGGCTCCTTGTCGATCGCTGGTACCTGTAAACATGCTGTCCAGTATAATATTTCGCCCTATCGCGACCAAGGGAACTCGCAGGCCGGTACAGCTAAGGGAAGTCATTGACGAATGATACAGAAAGCAGGCCTGCATGGTATTTATTCTCTTTTATTCAATTGGATGTATATTTCTCAGTACGTAAGGCTGGGGCCCAAACAGGGATTCCATTCCCTCAGAGCGTCGATGTAACCCTCCACCCACCACGACGCACGCGCAGGACCGAAAAGCAAACGAAGGCTGAGAAGTAACTGACGCCCGAGAAGACACACGCATATGTGAAGTCCCCCTCCTCCCGCGCCGCAATCGCCCCAGCAATAGGAGGGCTGGTGAGCCCCCCGACGGCCCCGATGGCTAGCGTGGTGCCCATTCTTAGGCCGACTTCCTTGATAGGAGACAATATGGCAATCAGGACAGGACCCAGGCCGACTGTCGCTCCTGAACCCACCCCAAAGAGGGCCGTGAAAGTCAGGAAAGCTGCGTTGCCGCTGGCGGGTAGCAAGAGGGCGAGCACGATGATCGCGGTGAACAGTGTCATGACAATCATAACATTAAATGCGCCGCACCGGTCGGCGAAGTAGTTTGGCACGGTGCGACCCAGGAAGCTGCGAGCGTTAATTTCCTGAGGCTCAGGCTGCGGACCGAGATGTGGTGGAAAGGGACAGCAAACCTACCTCGCACCGTTCAGGATGGGGATTAGGCTTAGCGCCAGGCGATGGGACATACCATGGCGCATTGCGACGACGGAAATGTAATTGAACGGGACAAACATCCCCCCTTTGCATCCAATTAGCCTTGTTAAAGATCCTCCCGTGGGCCATTATGTAATGGGCGGGGGCCTATTTATTGCGCAACCCACAGTACAGAAAAAAGCACGCTGCACATAAGATGCAGAAGTCCAGCTCGGATAGAGGCTTCACGTAGTCGACGATCTTCATTGGCGTCGGACGATGCTCAATGCGGGATGAAACCGTCAGGACAGCGAAAATCAGCATGGCCAGGACCAAAAAGGCGCAGATTCGCATCGTCCAGCCAAATCCCACTCGGGGAATCAAGTGTTGGACCATGAGAGGAAACACCACCCCACCAATCGAGGACCCTGCCACAGTGAGCCCAGAAGCAATCGCCTTCCTTCTGCGGAACCAGGTATACGGCTGGGAAACAGTCAACAAATCAACAACCACCCTGGGGGACAGCCCCCCATTGATGTATTCCTTACGGCGGCCATGGCAGGGGTGAAGATGAGAGCGCATCCCAGTCCAGAGCAAACCGATTGGCTCAGCATGAACTGATAGTACTTGTGCGAAATGCTGGCCATCATCAGCCCGAAGGTGTGCACCAGCGTGCCCATCGCAATAGGCACTCGCGGCCCGTAACTGTCAAACAGCTTCCCCGTTACGGCGGAGGGGAACATCATGAAAAAGACTGTGAATGATCTTCGTGAGTTGAGAGTAAGTGCTACACCGAGGGTTTGTGGGGACCAACATTCCATCGACGTGATCCAGGAGATCTGGGAGCTGCTGTACTCGCGTAATTGATTATTTTCATACTCCGCCTGAAACACCCCGATGCAATTGACCCAGCCGAACGAAGCAAACAGAGCAGCGGCCGAGCCGGCGACAGTCAGCCATGCCGTTGGGCTCCCCTCCTTGGGGGTGTCAAGCTCGGTCTTGGGGACCTCGGAAGGATCCGATAGAGGGAGTGGTTTAGAGGGAGAAGAAGACATTGTCGGTGCTTCCTGGAAGTGGGAACTTTTTGTTTTTTAGTATAATCTTTCGAGATTGTTTATTTCGAAAAAAAATCGAAGGGTCTATTGGTAGACTAAAAGCTATATATGTATCGGAATGCTGGACGCGTATGCCGCTGCATGAGATGCGTGGCAATAACTAGTTAACTAATTAACTAACTAATCAAACAGCCTTAGGTAACCAAAAACAATCCCTGCAACCTCGGCTACGAAACTTCTTTGTCTGCTCCCCCGAAAGTCCCTCCAACGCCTCCTTTCTCCATCTATTAATTTTCTTTCTCTGCCGGACCAAACGACGAAGAGACCGACCAAACCATGTCGACCACCAATTTCAACGTTACGGAGCATACCATCCCCGCGGGCCACATTCGCGAGTATGCCGGCAGCACCGCCAATAGTCAAGAGGATGTGTTGCAGCTCCATGTGAAACAGTACACTCCTAAGGAGCAATCACTGCCCCTGTCCTCGAATGCGGTGACCATCGTGGCAGCCCACGGGGTTGCCCTGGCTAAGGTAAGTCTCCGGGACTCTCGAACGAATTGGAACGTTAATTGGCTGTAAAGGAACTGTACGAGCCATTGTGGGACGAAATATGGCAGCGTTCAAGACAGCATGGAAACGTGCAGATCCGCAGTATCTGGATTGCCGATATGGTCAATATGGGTGGCAGTGGCATCCTCAACGAAGATAAGTTGAGCACGGATTGTGAGTTATGGTTGGGAATCTTCTAGGTTAGCCAGCTAATGAAGATAAATAGTCTCCTGGATGGATTGTGCCCGAGACCTGCTATTAATGGTTAATCACTTCCGCGATCAAATGCCTCGACCGATAGTTGGGGTGGGCCATAGCTTTGGAGGCACCATTATGTCCGTCCCCTCTCCATATCAGATAGAAGAACTATAACTAATAAGGCGCGATAAGAACGAACCTAGCATATCTGCATCCTCGTCTCTTCACGACGGTCATCCTCTTGGACCCCGTCATTCAACTAAACCCGCCACCCATGGGCTTTGGGACCGAGCCCCCCAGCGCAATTAATTTTACCTTATACCGTTCCGACGTTTGGCCAAACCGTAAGGCGGCTATGGCCACTTACGCAAAGATCTTCCCCGCTATGGACCCTCGTTGTCTGGATCGAGCGGCCAAGTATATGTTCCGCGATCTGCCCACAGCTTTGCATCCACTCCCGGAAGGTAGCGATACGTCCGACCCACCCGTTACGCTGACTACTACCAAATATCAAGATCTGCTGGGTCAGATCCGCGAGAATTTCTCGGCCCGTGCCTTAGACGGCTCTATCCAAATCAACCGTCGCACGCACGCAGATATGGATCCTCTGGCTGCCTTCATCCCTATGTATCGTCCAGAACCACGCAGCACGTTCTATAAGCTTCCAAGTTTGCGGCCGTCGGCTCTCTGGCTTCTCGGGGGAAATACCTATCTCCGTATAGACGAAATCCGCCAGGGTGTCCAGATCTGTGGAACAGGGGTCGGTGGCAGTGGAGGAATTTCTCCAGGGAGGGTTATGGAAGTGATCTTGCCTAAAGCGGGTCATCTCTTCCCATTTGAGAATGTGGCCGACGCGGCTGAACATTGCTTCCAGTGGTTAGATCATGAAATGGCGCACTTCATTCGTTTAGAGCGCGAGTGGGAAGAAAAACGCCGGTCTATGAGCAAGCGCGATCATCTTGTCTTAGGGGAGGAATGGTATAAAGCTATCAAACCGATCAGCGCTTTCCGAGCTCCGAAACCGAAGAAGGATAAGTTGTGACCTTAGAATTACTGGCTTAGGTAGAATAACTTGCCTGTTGACAGAACGTAATGCAGTTCATCCCTCAAGTGTTTTATGTTAATATTCCTCACCCCAGGCGATCTCAATTCTATGTAAGCAACTAGCAAGCTAGAGCGACAACCAAAAAAAAAAAAAAAAAAAAAAAAAAACCACCGAATCGAAATACACTCAGACTTAATCAACCCCTCTGACGAAACTGAACCATCGGCCCCTCCTTACCCACCACGAAATTATCTCTAATCATATACTCCCCACCACGCTTGGCGACACCAACATGCTCCCTACCCGGCGCAATTCGAATATCATACAACCAAAGCGCCCTCGCGAGCCCCACCTCCAGCTCCATCCATGCTACATTTCTCCCAATACAGGCCCTCGGTCCTAAGCTAAACGGCACGAATGCCTCCTTCTGCCGGGCAAGGATCTCCGCGCTAACACCCTCGTCGCCCTGACAGACCGGACTACCATGAAGCAGCCAGCGAGAGGGCCGGTAGGCAAACGGATCGTCAAAGTACGCCTCGTCGTGATGCAGCGAGTAAGTCGGGACGCCGACTATAGTGCCGGGAGGGAAATATTGGTTCATGACGCGCAGACCGCCCGGCTGGACTTCTCGGGGTAGATCCATAGGAACGGGAGGGCAGAGTCGCATGCTTTCACTTATACAGGCGCGGAGATAGACCATTTGCTGCATGGTAGGGCCGGAGACGATACTCTCTAGGGTAGAGAATGCAGTACGGATTTCGGTGGAGAGGCGAGTGAGGACAGGGGGGTGTTTGCAAAGGAAGTAGAATGTTGCGGCCAGGGCTGTGTTAGCTGTGTCGAAGCCTGTGGGAATCAGAGAAGCATACGGGGTTAGCGATCTCTATACAGACCTTCTTGGCCTCGATCTAGGAAAGGCAACCCACCGGCTCCCATCAGTAAAGTAGCCTCCGAAATCAGCTCTGGCTGCGAGTACGCCTCCCCCGTCTCAGGGTCGCGAGCCTTTTGCAAATAGTAGATAATATCTCTCCTTTGCGTCTTCTCCGAATCAATCGCCAGCCGATCAGCCAACTGCTTTCGCGAGAATCGGATCTGCCTCTCGCGGCTCGCCGCCGTCCCTCGACGAAGGTAGGTATCAAGCCCGAACTTCCTCAGAATAGGCAGCTGGCCACAAATATTCAAGATGCGCACATTCAACGCCATCAGTGAAAAGAAGAACTGGTTCTCCTCTTTAGTCGACGTCTCGAAGCTCCGTCCGAAACATATCTCCCCTAGTACATCAAAGACCATACAGGCACTCCAATGCGCCATGTCCTTCGGCTCCGTCCACCTGTCCGACCCACCGCTCTTGCTCTTGGAGCCTGCATCTTTCCCGATCGCACCGCACCATTCTCGAATGCTAGAGATAATATGCGGTTCCATGGCGCGGAGGGCCTGGTCTGAAAAAGCCTGCGACATAACCCGTTTCTTACGGGCGTGGACATCCTTGTCGATGGCGTTGAAGATGCTCACGCTGTAGAAGGAGCTATACCAGCGGGATTTCCTGACGTTTGCCCCGTGCCCATAGATCGGTTCCAAGGCTCGAACATCCTTAATAGAGATATGGTTTGGGCCGAAGCGTACAATGGGGCCGTATTGCTGGTGTAGTCGGTAGAGGTCGGCGTGGCGGTCACTCCTGAGAGCATGATAAACGGAGTAGAGGTGCGTGAGTTTCGACACTAACGGACCGGGGTATTTGGCCAAAGGATGAAGCCAGACTTGGTGGATGACATATCCGGTGGTCTGTTTCGGTTAGTTAGCCTTGCAGTCCGTCCTCTATGGCCAAGAAGTACTTATACGGGTCCATACCAGGCACAGAACACCGAGCAGCAAGGCCCCGGGCAGGGAGAAAGCAGTCAGAAAGTCACTTGTGATTGACATGGTGGCGACTGGTGAGTACTACTGGTGCTAGTGGATATGACTGTATGAAGGTGGTAATTTCGGCGGTTTGGAGACATTCAGGCGCTTTATAATTTCACCTTGCGATCCGCTTTTCAGTCCTCCTTGCTCACTCGGATAATGCCACATCCGGGGAGGCCATTCGGACGCACCTCACTAGTGCAGACCCCGCTTAGAGGGGATTCTGGTGAGGTGCAATCAGCGTGCAGGCGGATTCCCTCACATCACCTCCGCGGAGCTTTGTCGGGCTGATCCGGTTCCAATTATAAATTAGGCGCAACGCACCCTTCCTTCGAGCAGGCGCAGTTGCGCCGCTCAGTCTGAACCACAATGCATTTTCTTTGTTTACACGGGGTGGGGTCGAACAGCCAGGTGCGTTAGCCGGAGAGATGGCGGTGCTGTGTGTTGTTTTGCCCTTTTTTTTTCTTTTTTCTTTTTTTTTTTTTTCTTTTCTTTTTTTTTTTTCAGTTGGACTAACCAGACACAAGATCCTTGAAGCTCAAACTGGTAAGCCACCGAATTAGTGAATGACGAACGATGATCTCTGACCCATGGGGCCATTAGCTGCCCTCCGATATGAGTTGGGAGACGGTCACACGTATGACTATGCCGAGGGAACTATCTCATGTCCTATAGACCCCGGTACGTTCAGCAGAAGCATGTGGCATGTTTGTCAAAAGTACGTAGCTCGTTGACCGGCCCACTTAGGTCTGGCGACGTATTTCCCCACTGACGACGACTGTTTCGCGTACTTTGATCCATCGCGACCGGAGTCATTTGCGGCGGCTTTGCAACACTTAGCCGAGTTCCTCGAGCACGAAGGTCCCTTCGACGGAATCCTGGCCTTTTCCCAGGGCGCCCAGGTGGCCGCTGCTCTGCTGGCTCAACTCCAGGCCCACCGCCCCACCGGCTACCCCGTACGGTGTGCGATCTTCCTCTCGGCCGCCACACCCGAGGGCGCCCCCATTATGGGCCCTCCGACCAACGATGCTCCGGTCAGCACCGAAGTTGAGGTTCCATTGCAGCTCCCCACCGCGCACATCTGGGGCGAGACTGATAGCCACTCGGACACTAGTCGTATGTTATGCACGATGTGTCGGCCGGAGTGGTGCTCCCCGTTTGTGCATTCCGGAGGACACGAGGTGCCGGGTGGGAGCTCAAAAGGCTCTTTGAAAGGGTCCGTGAATGCGATACGCAGGACGGTGGACTTTGCAGAGGGACTGCAGTAGTTGTTCTAAATAGCACTTGGTTTGGTCGTACATACCTAGGATAAGCAGAATTAATTGTCTTCCGGCGCCATGTTGGTACTGTTCCAGTCGTTGCTTCTTTCCTTCATTCTTTCTTTCTTGGAGTTTTATTTCTTATTATTTTCTCTCCGTGGAGGAAACCGATCGACATGACACTAACACCTATCCCGGTTAACCATGGTGATTTCGTTAGTACGTCCCACCTGACGCGATAGTGTTCAATATTGGCTTGGAGAGTATTCTTCCCAGTACGCAGTACTCTGTATGTGCAGTACTCCGGAGTACTACTCCGTACATACACCGGAGTAGTAGGGAAGGCGGTTCGTGTACCGTCCTATGGCACCTTCGCAAAGAGCAATCAACTCCAGAGTAGGTACTAACCTCCCCACCAGTCTACGGAGTAATACTGATTCAGTTCTTATGCTGCATACTGCAAATCCCAATTTCATCCTTGCCCATTTGTCTCATTGACATTTCGTACGGAGTCGTATTTCAGCCATGCATCCCTAACCTACTATGTATTACACCTGGATAGAGGGGCTCCAAGCCAGTTATCTACTCTGTTGGACCGTAATTTTATTAGTGCGGTCCACCTGTAAGCCCTAACTGAGTAGGCACATGCCAAACTGCCTTCTTAATTAGGTTGGCCATCAAGTTAGTAGGACTATCTTTAATTAAACAAATTTTATTATTAGATTTATTGATTTATGTTAATACAAGGTTGCTTGGCGGGGCAAAATCTTAGCGTACAAAGTGGGACGTGCTAACAAGATCACCGCCGTCAACAAGATTGTGTAGCCCACTATGCCAATCACCTCGGTGAATTACTTACTGGAGGGGCCGTTGTGTTCTCGCGACCTCGATTCGACTCTTCCGAGAATTATGGGTAGTGTATTTGGGGCGCTTTCAGCCTTCCCCAGAACTTCTTCCACTCTCTACGGAGTAAACCTCGGGACTATATACATACATTCCCGGATGGCCCGTGCCCTGTAAACTCCAATTCCGTGAGCAATCGACCAATTTTATCTTTTCACCATTTCGACTCCAAAGCAGATAGTCATGACAGCTAAGCCCCCTCTCGTGGGCACATCCGAGCAGGATGTCCTCGATCCCATCGCGATAGTCGGACTGGCCCTTCAGTTTCCAGGAGGGGCCACGGACCTGGATAGCTTCTGGGACATGCTCATCCAGGGCCGATGTGTATCGCAAAGCCCTCCTCCTGAGCGCATCAATCCGCAGAGTGTGAGCATTCCCCTCCCTCTCTCTGCGGTGGTCCTCACGCTGATTGACTCCTTTTGAATGGACAACAGATTCCTGTACGACAGGCGCACTTTCTAGCAGACGACGTCACGGCGTTTGATGCGCCGTTCTTCTCAGTGTCCGCGACAGAAGCAGCCTCAATGGATCCACAGCAGCGCATACTTCTGGAAACAACTTATAGAGCTTTGGAAAACGGTAAGTCAGCTTCTCTGCTCCTTGTGATCATGGCGCCTTTATTCTCTGACACCATCCGATCCTTCCGCAGCTGGAATCTCGATCGCAAGGGTTCACGGGTCCAATACCTCCGTCTACATGGGCTGTTTCACCGACGACTTCAAGACATTATATGAGAAAGACATACGTGACCAGGCCGCATACGCAGCGACGGGTATAACAACGACTCTGAACGCCAACAGAATTAGTTGGTTTTTCAATTTGCTAGGGCCCAGTATTAATGTTGATACGGCTTGTTCTAGCAGTCTGGTAGCGTTGGATCACGCGTGCCAGAGCATTTGGTCTGGAGCCAGTAATATGGTATGGCTATATTTCGTTTGATTTCAAATATAATGATCCTTAACCCCAGTCATCTCCAACTCCATGGACGGAAAGAACTCCGCTGACATGTTCAGAGTCTCGTCGGCGGCGTGAATCTGCTCCTCGCGCCCGACCTTTTCCACATCCTTTCTGGCATGAACATGCTTTCTCCCGACGGTCGGTGCCGGAGCTTCGATGCCCAGGGGAACGGATACGGCCGCGGCGAAGGGGCGGGCGTTCTGGTCATCAAGCGACTCCGAGACGCCATACGCGATGGGGATACCGTCCGGGCCATCATTCGGTCCACGGCATCCAATCAAGACGGATATACAAACGGAATTACGCGACCCAGCAGGAGTGCACAGGAGCGTCTTGTCAACCAGTGTTATGAACGAGCTGGGCTGGATAAGTCGCGCACAGCGTATGTGGAGGCGCACGGTACAGGCACTCCCGTCGGCGATCCAATCGAAGCGACTGCAATGGGAGCGGCGTTCTGTCGGGGGCGAGATAGGGAAGATGGGCCCCTTTACATGTAAGCAAATTATTTTTCTATCCTCAGAACCGGTGTCGAGACTAACTGGCTCGAAGGGGATCTGTCAAAGCAAATATTGGACATTTAGAAGGAGCAAGTGGAATAGCAGGTGTGATTAAGGCGGTTGCAATGCTTGAAAAAGGCCTCATTCCCCCTGTGGCTGATCTCCGCGTGGTCAATCCGCAGATTGACGAGAAATGTCTCGGAATAAAGGTACTTGCATTGGCCGACTTTTCATGGATGATTGCTGAACGCGAGACCAGTTTCCCCAGACAGTCCTGCCGTGGCCGCATAGGGGCCTGCGGCGTATATCGATGAATTCGTTTGGGTTCGGAGGGTCGAACGCACATGCTGTTTTAGATGATGCCTATCACTTTCTGCTTGAGCGTAGTCTTGATGGGATTATCTGCTCCTCAATGGCGCCCAAGGAAACAGGCAACCTTGTCTTGCCGAGACGCGTTCGAGAGAAGATCTGCTTGCAGTCAAACGGCTACCATCCTTCCTCCAGCCTCTGTCTGTTTCCGTTTTCCGCCGCCAGCAGTAATGCGGCCCATCGCGTCGCTGAATCCTATAATAGTTTCATTCCTGGCAGTGACCAGTCGCAGAGTGAATTAATCAGAAGACTGGCTTATACCCTTGCACAGAAGCGGAATCATCTCCCATGGCGAGGGTTTAGTGTCATTGATCCTCATACCAGTCTCCGTGAGTTCGAACTTCGAATTTCCGCGCCACTGAAGTCATCTATGAAGCCGAAATTGGCGTTTGTTTTTACCGGACAAGGAGCACAGTGGCCTGGGATGGGCATAGAGCTGCTGCAGTATGATGTGTTTCGGGAAAGCCTGCGACAGGCCGAGGTCTATCTACGATCACTTGGGTGCGAATGGAACCTAATAGGTGATTATATTGACCCCTACTAGATACGCAACCTAATGCTTACTTGCTCAGACAAACTTTTAAACATATCAAGCAGCCAGATCGAAGAGCCCCATTTCAGCCAGACCCTCTGCACAGCACTTCAAGTTGCCCTGGTGGATCTTCTCGCGTATTTCAACGTCCGCCCAGATGCTGTTATTGGGCACTCGTCTGGAGAGATTGCAGCAGCGTGAGGTGGACCCAGGCCGATGTCTAACATATTCACTGATTGAATCTAGGTACTGTTGCGGCGCCATATCGCGCACTTCGGCTTGGAAAATTGCCTACCTGCGTGGGATTCACACATCGAACTTATATAAACGCAGTTCGATGGAGCGTGGGTCAATGATGGCTGTCGGCCTCTCGTCAGAAGAGATTTCAAAGTTTCTAAACGAACAGACCCAGACCTCCGGTTCGGTCTGCATCTCCTGCTATAATAGCCCTTCCAGTGTGACTATTTCTGGGGACGATATGGCCATAGACTCACTCAAAGTTAGATTCGACAGAGCTGGCGTGTTTGCCCGCAAACTCAGAGCCACTGCGGCGTATCATTCTTCGCACATGAATCTGGTCTCAAGTGACTATTTGCATGGGCTGGGAATACTTGAATCAGGGGATAGCTTTCTCCATGGCCCCGTTATGTTCTCGACCGTCTCGAATAGCAGATTACAACGGGAGAGCCTGCAAAATCCGGCCTACTGGGTTGAAAATATGGTCCAGCCAGTCCGGTTCTCGCAGGCCTTTCAGCGACTGTGCGCAAAACGAGTTGTAAAAAAGATTGACAGGAGCCACTGCGGGCTGATGAAGATCGACACCTGTTTGGAAATTGGCCCGCACAGCGCCCTTCGCGGACCTATCCGTGATATTGTCACGTCAAAGGAAGCCAATATGGAGTATGCCTCCGCACTTGAACGCGGCTCTTCGGGGGTGCAGTCGATAATGCAGGCCATGGGACGGCTTTGGTGTCTTGGGCATTCGCCTCATCTTTCCCGACTGAACGGCGAGTCCAGTAATATTCTTCCGCTGTCCGATCTCCCTCCATATCCTTTCGATCATTCGGAAAGCTACTTCCACGATAGTCGAATTTCCAAGTCTCATCGCCTGCAAGAGCATCCCAAAACTCGTCTTTTGGGACACCGCGCCGTGGATTGGAACCCCTTTGAGCCACAATGGCGCGGCTTTCTGAGCGTAGCTGATCATCCTTGGATCGAACATCATAAGGTGGAGCGCTCAGGGTCCTGAAGACAGCATGTGCTAACGAATACTGTAGATCAATAATTCTGTCCTTTTCCCAGCTGCTAGCATGATTTCAATGGCTATTGAGGCTGCAGCCGAGGTTACTTCCGCGCAGGGAGTTATCTGTGGCTATGAGCTCAGGGATATTAAGTTCCACGCGGCAATGGCAGTCCCAGAGGATCAGAGTGTTGAGACGCAATTGTTCTTGCATTTTGACAGCAACACCACGGCGCGGAATCGCTCCTGGGCGAGCTTTCGCCTCTGCGCATACATGCGCAACAACTGGGAAAACATCTGCACCGGGCGCGTTCGCGCGGAGCATACGTCCGAAGTATCCGAAGTTGACAACGGACAAGGGACCGCAGATCTCCTCCGCGAGCTTCAGCAGGATATTGATTCAGTGACGAACACTGGCTCACCTGCTTCAGTGGACTCCCTCTACGAATGCCTGCGAAACTGCGGGATGGACTACGGGTCACTCTTCAGAAACATCCAAAGTGCCCATGTTTTAGGAAACCAGTCAGCTGGCCGTGTATTTCACTGCGAATGGCCACCAGGTGCAGACGAGAAAAAACCTCAAAGTAGAATCGCCTTTTCCGGAATGCTCGATGCACTCCTTCAGCTCGCACTGGTGACCTACACCGAAGGGGGGAAAGCTATGAAACCGACTCTAGTCCCATCGCAGATTAGGAAAGCATGGATATCAAGCTATGATGAGGGCTGGGCGGACGCAAGTTCTGTTAGTGCCATATCCAAGATAACGTCGCAGACGGATCGCGGCACAGAATGCGAGATCACCGCGTTGAGCAACGATGGGTCCAGGGTGTTTGCCCAGCTAGAAGGCGCCAAGATGACTGTTGTCGATACGATTTCAAGTCCTTCCAGTTCTACCGACAGAGACATTCCGCTGTGCTGGAATCCGGTTTGGTTGCCTGATCTGGACCTTATGGATGCTAAAGAGCTATCGAGATACTGCGAGGCAGGTCTTCCAGAAGATGACGGGCCGACTGGGCTTCATCAGCAACTACTCGCTCTCCAACTGGATTGCTTAGAATATAACCTGGTGCAGTTTGGAAAGTCGCCTTTAAAACTTCCTTCTCATTTGTCCCGCTATATTACATGGGCAGGAGAGTTTGTCAAGAGACATGGCCGGAACGTATCTTTCTGTCGGGACCATGAAGTCGACTACGAGGCACGGATAAAGGAACAAGCAAACTATTTAAAACATTTCAACGCCCAGGGCAAGGTCCATGCCGCGGTTGCACAAAATATGAAGGGAATCCTGCTCTTAGAAAAGGATCCCCTGGATCTGCTTTTCAGCAGTTCCTTGCTTGAAGACCTCTACACCGAGCACAGCAAAGTACCGGGCTGCTTCGGACCATTGCAGAAGTATCTCCAGCTATTCTCGCATAAGCATCCCAACGCGGAGTATCTTGAGATAGGCGCAGGAACGGGAGGAACCACTATGCCGATTCTCACGTCTTTAAGCCGCGGGAGCATCTCACAGTCCACATATGCCCTGTACAAGCGGTACACTTTCACCGACATCTCCGAAGCATTTTTTGCACCAGCGAAAGGAAGATTCAGCAGTTTTCCACGTTTGGAATTCCAGCGCTTGAATATCGAACGGCCTGGCACAACCCAGGGCTTTTCTCCAGAATCTTACGACGTGATAATAGCAGCGAACGTTCTACATGCAACACAAGACCTTTCCACAACGTTGAGGAATGTTCACCGGATGCTACGCCCTGGTGGTAAGCTCATTTTGCACGAAGTAGTGAAGCCATCATTAGGCATAACTGCCTTTGTCATGGGGCTTCTTCCTGGCTGGTGGTTGAGCAGTGAATCGTTCCGCGCACAAGGGCCCTGCATTGACGTCGACTGCTGGAATCGAATCCTTCAGGAAACTGGCTTTTCTGGTATTGACCACGAATTTCGTGATTACCGTGGCAGTCAATGCCATGAACTTAGTGTTCTCGTCAGTACTAAGGTTCAGCATCCCGGGACACCTTCTGGGGACTTTAACGGCATAGATATTATCACTGATCAGACCAATCACGGGGCCACCATACTAGCTGATTCCTTGCAGCGGGTCCTGCTAGATACAGGCGATCTGGATTGCAAGCGTGCTAATCTCGGTGAGCTTCGTGCTACACACACCTACCCGGAATCCACAACCATCATTATCGACAACCCGGATCGGTCTTTGCTTCTCAATCTAGATGGACCTGGTCTGCATTTTCTTCAGAAGCAGGTCCAGTTATACAAAATGATTATCTGGATCTCCAGGACTGTGGATGATGGCTCGGGTCATCCGTCCTTTGGGATGGCTAGTGGCCTTATTCGATCTTGGCAAACCGAGGTCGAGTATAGCAAGGTCTTGAGAATTGGATTGTCCACATATCAAGGCTCTCCCGCGGAGAAGTTACATGCTGTCAGAGACATCATAGTTCGATTCTGTCAAGGCGATGACGAAAACTTTGAACTTGAATACGAAGACCACGATGGCCTCATGAACGTCTGTAGACTCCAGATAGACAATGACTGTCGAAACGCCATCTCCGACAGTCCAGCAGACGAAGTTCCCCAGCAAACAACTTGGCAAGCCTCTCCACCTCTCCGGCTCGTCACTGAAACGCCCGGCCTTCTGGAAAGCCTGATATTTGTCGAAGATAGCCTCCACTCCCAGAATCTCGCCGACGATGAAGTGGAGATCGAAGTTCGGAGCATAGGCCTGAACTTCAAGGACTGCCTGATTGCGCTGGGCCGCGTACCAGACCAAGATATAGGAAATGAATGTGCTGGGGTCGTCCGGGCAGTCGGATCGGCGTGTGCAGGACACTTCCAACCTGGAGACAGAGTATCCATGTCCACCACCGAGTCATTTAAAACCTATGCGCGCAGCAAGGCACAATGCGTCTGCCGGATTCCCTCAAGCATGAGCTTTGATGAAGCAGCGTCGATACCTACCCAGTTTGTCACGGCATGGACATGTCTTCACGATATCGCGCGGTTGACCAAGGGCGAGACCGTCCTCATTCACGCCGGTGCAGGTGGAACCGGCCAGGCCGCCATCCAAATCAGTCAGTATTTAGGAGCTCAGGTCATAGTGACGGTGGGATCGAAGCAAAAGAAGGAGCTGCTAGTATCTGAATATGGCATTCCAGAAGACCACATCCTTTACAGTCGCGACTGTTCGTTCTCGACTGCGGTCAAACGAATCACCAGGGGCCGCGGTGTTGATGTCGTGCTAAATTCGCTAGCGGGTGATGGCCTCTTTGCCTCTTGGGAGTCTCTAGCACCATATGGACGATTCATTGAGATTGGCAAAACAGATATCTTGGCGAATTCCAACCTGCCTATGTTCCCATTCAACAAGGGGGTTACATTTTCGGCCTTCGACGGCTCAATGTGGATGGTTGAACGGCCGCATGAAGCGCAGAGAAACATCCAGATCATAATCGATCTTTTCGCGGGTGGACATATGCATACTGCCAGGCCTCTTAATATCTATGGCATTAAAGATGTAAAGAGCGCTTTTTCAACCCTTGCGCATGGGAAAAGTAGTGGCAAGCATGTTGTGCAAGTGTCTCCAACGGCTGAAGTGAAGGTATTTCTTTTTCTCTTTTCTGTTTTGATTCATAAGCAAACGTCTAACCGGATACAGGCAAAGATTCAAAAGCCAGTGTATACTCTTTTGAATGATGCCACCTATGTGATTGCAGGAGGCTTTGGTGGAATCGGCCGCACTATCGCGAAGTGGATGGTTGACAAGGGTGCACGCCACCTTATCATTCTGTCGCGTTCAGGCCTTGGATCTCCAGCATCGCGAGAACTAGTCGAAGCTCTGCAGGGCGCTGGAGCTACAGTGCAAGCACCGGCCTGTGACATCAGCGACGAGGCTGAGCTTCGTCGTGTCCTTTCCGATTGCGGCAAGGTAATGCCTGCGATTCGAGGATGCGTGCATGCTTCAATGGTCTTGCAGGTTAGTGTAATTGCTAATATCTTAACTAGAGAAGGGCTAACTCCTCACAGGATGTAGTCTTCGGTCAAATGACCCACGTCGAATGGGTAGCCTCGACCGCGCCCAAAGTGTCCGGTTCTTGGAACCTCCACCAAGTATTGCCCGAAACGTTGAACTTCTTCATCCTGCTTTCTTCCGTCTCTGGGATAATCGGCCACCGCGGCCAATCTAACTACGCCGCTGGAAACACCTTCCAAGACGCCCTCGCCCATTATCGTATCTCCAAAGGCCAAAAAGCAATCAGTATTAACCTTGGCGCGATGGTTGACGACGGCTACCTCGCCGAGGTGGGAAATAAACATATCAGGGAAAGATTGTTAAGCGCAGGCGCCATGCAGCCTATTACCCGGCAGGACCTTTTCTCCCTTCTTGAACGCTACTGCAACCCGTCGCTGGACATTCTCGCGCTCAGCGCATGCCAAGTCGCTTGTGGGATTAATACGCCACGCGATCTCCATGCTAAGGGCCTAGACGAGCCTACTTGGCTTCAGCGGTCTATGTTCAGTACTCTGTATTGGGCCCCCTCGACAACGATGACCTCTACTAATGGCGGCATGCACGGCCAGGAGAACGTGCGCGACTATCGACAGGCGTTTATCGAGGCGGCGAGCTCTTCTGAAGCTGGCCAAGTCGTGGCTGAAGCCCTAGTAGCCAAGATAGCACGGAGTATCTCGCGGGTCACAACGGGGGATGCCGAAGTTGATGCTAGCCAACCGATCGTGGCGTATGGGGTTGACTCTCTACTTGCAGTTGATTTGAGAGGGTGGCTTCGCAAGATCTTTCAGGCCGATGTCCCTACGTTCGAGATTCTGGGAGGCACCAGCTTTGTAGCGATGGGGGCGACGGTTGTGAATAGGAGCGGGTTGAGAAAGGAAGGGAATTCAAATCCAGTGAAGATGACACATTGATGGTTCTTTCGGTTCTAATCATGGATGCTATTTTTTTCATATAGGAGAAATAATGTCAATCTGCAGTTCCCTAGTCTGTCATATTGTTGAGCACTTAATGTGATCTGCTTTCCCGGTGTAGAACTCTACCTATACTAGGGCTGATCAGGTCTCTAGCACTTCTCTACCATTTTCATTCTGTTTCTTACTGTTACGACACCAACACCAGCCTACAGCGGATAGCAGCGGCCATGTTGAAAAAACGTGATTTGTTACTAATATTAGCAACACCCTATAATAGATCTGCTGGCAGAATAAGAAGTCATTGATTCGTTCTATTATAAAATTATATATACATTAATATATAATTTGCTTAATTTCATTTTTCAGCTACTAATTCTAAACACCATGTAAAAATGCAAATTCTTGCTCAAATATTATATATAATTATTTTATACAACTAGAATGTTCATCACAAAAAAAATAATTGAAATCATATATATTTAATCTAATACAATTAAATTATTTCAATTCGAATGAGCCGATACCCGAACAAAAATAATTATTTTTTTCAAATGACAAATCCTCAATCTCAATATTATTTTTAATTAAATCTTTTTATATTTTTTCAATTTCATTTTTAATAACAAATAACTCATTTTCAATGACAAGTAATTCATTTTCAATTAAAAACATTAAATTATTATAAATTTCTTTAATCAAAATCTAATATATGATTAGAGTGGCTAACAGCCAGGTCAGGTTAGGTTAATAGGAACTTTTATACCTGACCGCGATATAACTAAAAACAGGACGGTTAATCGTCTTAACCGTTCTTGGCGCCAAATCCTACCTATTATATCTTTTTTAATTCTAGCACAGTTAAGATATACCCAGATTAAACAAGAATTAATCTGACCGTTTTAACTGTCGCTTAAAAATATACAAAGATAAGCTTTCTAAAATAAAAAAAAGTAATTAAGAAATATAACAGTATCTTCTTTCTCTCTATCTACAAGAAATAATAGAAAAATCTTGATAGTGTTGATATAATTCAGTTTCTTATAATATTGATGCTTTTACAGCAAGAAACATGAAAAAAAATATATAATTACAGCTTGATTTAGATCGTATATCAAAGGTTCGATAGATTATACAAAAAATATTATACTTTTATCACTAAAATTATAGTTAAGATCTAGTATAGTATTTCTAAACTACTATTAAATCTTTCTAAACAAGCTCAATAAGTCTGTTATTTTTTTATTTTTCATTTAAAGAGGTCTTAATTGTCTGTATAGATTATTTGTATTACACTACATAGTTGATCTATTTCGATAAATGTATTATTCGCAATCACAAGCACCACATCACGCCCTTATAAATTTTGTAAAAGTCTTTTTCAGATCTCTCTTATATAGATATTTTCTTTACTTAAATCTATTATTTCTATTTAATATTCATTTTTTGATCTCAAAAAAGAGCCAGATATATTGAGACTATCACATTTTCAGAAATCAAAATATAAATAACAAGATATCCGTTAAGATACGAATCGCACAATACAACAGGTGGATTAAACTGAAAAAAAAAATATGATAGACTATATTCGCACGCGAATGCATTTTTGAACCAAATAATGTTGCCTTTGCAAAGTTTTTTTGCTTTTTTTTCGTTAATTTATTATTTGCAGAATCTTTCTAACATCATGAATCAGTTACAATCATTTGATTTATTTTCAGAAAATACTATTGAATTCTTTTCTTTTGTTTTTCAGATTTTCATAAATAATGATGAATTTCGAATTGAAATAAGCTATTTAAGTCAGATCTTTATTTTTTCTCCAAATCTTAAGATTACACGCATCGCGAAAAATCAGAAGATTATTTTATATCTAATTTTGCAAGAAAAATTTTTTATTTTTCATGATTGATGATAAAAGACATCTTTTTTTAAAGTTCGTTCACAAATTCAAAAATCGTTATTTCATTTCGGTCGAAAAAAGTTATCAACATTATGAAAAAGCTTTTAAAAAGGTGCATTGTTTTTCAATGGAATTTTTTACATCTATTGTTTTGCATATTTTTATATTTTATGATATTTGAGAATTAAAAACTCAGAAACTAATTTTATGAGCTATTATTTTTGCAAGAATTGTAAAAAAAAAATATCTTCAATTATGTTCAAACGAACAGTTAGTCAGATGTTGAGTGAAAAGCTATCACAAATATTTATTTATTCTTTTAAAACAAATCTTTACTGATTATTCTTTATCTCTAGGTCTTTATTGTTTATAACGAATAAGATTTTCAAAATCAAGTTCTATGTTTTATAATTGCCTGTCGCTTGCCGTTTCAGATTGTTGAACATATACAATTTAAATGAATGATTAATTTTGCTGTTTTATTTTTTTGTCAAAGACCAAATTTTTTCAATTGAATGCAAATTAAAGATCGTTTATTGAAGCTGTTTGAAAAAATATATATAAAATTGTTATCGAAATTTTCAGATATTGAATAAATATCGATTATAATTGATTATTGAATTAGTCTTGATCAAAAAACATTTCTTGCTTTAACTGAGTATTTTCTGACAGAAGATATGGATTATCATGAGATTTTATTAGATTTCGATCAGTATTTGAATCTCATACTGATAAGAATCTAATTGCGATTGTTTTATTAATTTTATACAAACACAATCTTTTCAATTAACTATTAGATGTGACAATTGATAATGCTAATAACAATAGTTCAATGTTTGATTTAATTTCATTAAAATTTCAACCTCAGTTCAGTCAGAATATTCAATTTTATGATATTTTTGTCGATTTTAATTTTATAAAAATCATTCAAAATCAACATTATATTTCTTATCTCATTCATATAATTCAATTTATGATTAATGCTTTTGTACGAAAACTTTGGATCAAGATCTCAAACAATATTGTTGAATATGTTTGAGATAATAATGATGGAAGTTTTAAAGTTTTTTCTAATATTTCAAGAACTTTTGAAAAGATATGTCTTAAAAATCGTTTATAAAAACCTTTTTCAGATAATTTTTAGAGATCTTTTTTTTATAATAATATATTATACTAATTCTTAATTACAGATTTGAAAGATTGCACAATTTGTAAATGCAAACTTTCAATACCGTGAAAAATTCTAGTTTATTTAATGATTTGAATCTAACTCAATCTACTATCTTTTTTTGGATTGCAAAACTCGCTAGAATTTAATCTATCTTATAATTTGTCGGGCGTTCAATCTTCGTCAAATAATTAAAAGTTTTATTTAACACTGTGATCATACTAATATTGATTATTTTTAATCAATTTTGATTGAATGAAATAGGCTGCGGCAGCATCCGCGAAAATCCAAATCCGCTCCGCATCCGCTCCGCAGATTGCGGATATGGATATGATTCTGACATCCAACTATCCGCGCGGATTGGATGCGGATTTAGGCTTCAAAAAGTTGGATATCCGCAGATATCCAGCGGATTTGAAAACAATACAAACATGCCAAATCTCGTGATCTGATTCGACATGCACATCTTATGCAGATTTCAAGATAATATTCTATATGACCCGCGTTATGTATTATCGAATTAATTACATATTCGTAATACAAATATTATTTCTAATGATATATCGCATTAATTCACTCTTCAACTGCTCCATTCAACATATTATATAGTTATATTATGGCTTGCTTATTTCGAATCCGTCTAATAGTCGTGACTTCTTTCGAATCCTTCCTGTTCGGATTTGTGTATCATTGAATGCCGTTTCCTCGAACAAGGCACTATTTTTCAGATCTAAACTATCCATCGATCGTTTTGAGGAGCGAAAGATCGCCAGTTCATCTATATTATTATCAAAAATCTCTTGTTGATTCTTTTCTTGTAACTTCTCTTGGCATCCTTCTTCTTTACTGTCACTAATCGATTCTATAAACTCAAGTAATGGTGAAGATAGACGGCTCTGATCAAGCATAGCAGCTTCATTAAATAAGAAATATTCTTTAATCATCTCAACCTCTGCCTGTTTCAGCTCAAATTTAAATAAAAAATGATGAAACATTAGACCTCTGATTGTGTCTGGCTTCAGTTGCCCACGGCGATAATGACAGATATCACGAGCACAATTAAATAAATGTTCTACTCCTGCTCCACTGGCAGAAATTGAAAGAATATCTCATACAATTCTGGCAAGCACTGGGAATTCCTGCTCATGTTCTTTCCAGTAAACACGTGGATTTCCCTTACTGAGCCCTAATTTTTTATTAGATGCAGTAGACAAATTAAATCAATAAATAATTCATCTTTTGATAGATATCGTGTAATCTCATCTTGTTGGCCATCAAATTCGCCGGTAGAGAATGTACTTTGTTGTGAGTCACAAAGCATTACAAGCTCTTCATTTTTTATATCATTAATCTTTTTTGAAATATCTGATTGATGAGCTTCTCTCTGAGCTTGTTTCTGATAAATTATAAATTTATTTCGAAATGCATCTTGATACTGCTTCATGAAATCAACCTCACCACCTCTCCAATCCTCATTATCAAAGTATCGTAGCTTCTTTGATGGGTATAGAATTGTTGCCAATGCACAGATTGTACCATATGCACTATCATCAATTCCACTGTAATATTTAAAGAGCTTTTTCTATGCCAACTGAAGTGCCTGAAGCATGCTTTTCTTCCAATATACACGCTTATTCCTTAACTTCTTTTCAGCCTCTTCCAGGTGGGTAAAGAGTCTGTTATAAATGCTAAAAACGTGATGTACTGTGCAGTCTCTAGTCTTTGATAAGACATTGGTAAAGTCAAAGAAAGATTTGGTAATTAACAGAAGATATTCAATCTGGCGCCATTCTTCATTATTAAGCTTAAACTGGATATATTGGTTTGTAGTGCAATATTCATCAAGATAAGATTGAAGCTTTTGCGCACGGGAAAGCATCAAGAAAGTTGAGTTCCAACACGTGCGCACATCTTGAATTGGAACAATCT